ATGCGCGAAGGGAAGCGCAAAGACTGTACTTACACACAGCAATCGGTGTCACCTGAGCAACCTTGCCGACATCCTCATCGGCCTGCATGATGCGCTTAATGCGCGCCACGGGAAACTTGGTCTTTACTTCAATCCCCGCACTTGGAGGAGCCGGCGGCATCTCTTCCTCCATCTCCGGCGCAGCGGCGGGGACTGGTGCCATTGCGATCGGCTCTGGCATTGGTTGGATTATTTCGGGCATGGGTTGAATTGCTTCGGGCATAGGTTCAGGGATGGGGGCGTGGTCGGACTGAGCAAGACGGCTTGAACGACGGGCCATGTCCGAGTCTGGCTGATATGGTGGCACGTACTGCTGAGACACGCGACTTGGATTTGGGAGGTGGTATGGTTGGTATGGGTTGAAGAAAGACGATGGGTAAGATGTAATTGGACTTGCAATCGCGTGTTGTTGAGGAGGAGGAAGTGATAGATCAGGAGAGCGAGGCCGATAATTGTCCTCTGTCATGGTTTAAAAAGAAAAAAAAAATTAAAAAAAATTATAGTGGAATCGCGAAAAAAAGTAGGTGGCCCAAGCTCCCTGGAGAGGAGAATCCAACGACCGAGTCGGGCGCCGCTGTCCTTTTTAAATTCCGTCGTGGTTTTTTTGGTAATGTTTTTACCGAGTTGGTCTGTTTTGGTCTGTTTTTTTCGAATGAAAATCAACATTTTTGGCCCTTTTTCATCTTCTTCCCTTTGTTATATCTCACTTTCCCTCTTCATTTTTTCAAATTCTTGGTTTTTTAATTTTTAATTTCTATTTCATCGTTTTTTTATCCTCCCTTGTTCGAGTTACTTTGTACTCTCCACTTCTTCTCTTTGTCAGATTCACCTTCTCAAATATATTATTGCATTGTCCATATATCGTAGGTGACTCCTTTCTTTACCCCCCCTCCCTCTAGGCACCCGTAGAATAAATACCAAAATACCCGATGACGATAGAATCCAAAAACGTCGAGTTGAAACAGATGAAACCATCAGAGTATCGCTGTTCTTCTATGAACGCCAAAAATAACTTGATCTAATCTGAGGGTCTCATCACGTCTACAATGCACCTTGTTTGTGTGCTCCACGTCATCTCTTAGTTCCCGGCGTCTCTTACTTCGCTCTGACATGTAACTTCGGCGAAATAGTTTTTCCGACCAAATTCAAGCATCACCCTCTACACTTCTTACCAGGCATTGAAGTCATGTCACTGAAGCTATCTGTCTAGTCAGGGTCATTTAATATCTCCAGCCATCCCCAGTCATGGCGGTGGCGGATATACCCGGTCTCATGGACATTGCCAGGTATGCAGTACTGGCATGCCGATCAAAAATTCGCCATGATGCTAATGATTCTGCAGTACCCTGACCCAAGATGAGATCCCATTCAAACTACGATGTGCCATCTGCAATAAGCTGGCAGTGAGCGCATTTCGTCTCCCCTGTTGTGACCAGTCCATCTGTGAGACCTGTATGTTGAAATGTTTCGTACCTGTCGCAAATGGTAGCTAATCTGATCTCTGTTCTAGGCCAAGCTTCCCTTTCCGACACATGTCCTGTCTGCACACATACACCCGTCTCTCCTGATCTCTGCAAACCCAACAAGGCTCTGCGGACCACTCTCAAGGCTTTCCTGCGCACCGAAGAAAAGAAGCGGGAAAAAGACCGCCAATCTGCTGCGCCTCCAACACCATCCAATGTCACGCCTGCGGATACAAACATACCTGCCCAGGATGCAGCCCCTGATCAAAATGGGGCTGAGCTAGTAACAGCTGTGGAGACCAAGACCCCTGCATCTCCGCATCCTGCGGAGCCTACTGAGTCAAAGCCTCAAGAGCTGGGACTAGACACCTCGGCCCCAGACACGGTTGGAGAGAGCATTCCAGAGCCAAGTGCCCTAGATTCGGCCGATCAGCCAGCTCAGGTAATTTTCCACTGCTATTCCACACTCTACTTTTCTAAACTGACCCTATATGTATAGCCCGAGGCAACTGCTGATCAACTCAACGGCACCGAAGCGGCCCTTGAGTCCACGACTGAAGATGCCGCAGTCAACGAAACTCCCCTAAATGGAGAATCTGCTCCTCCTCTCGAGGAGGCTCCTGAAGAATCCGCTGCCAACTCGATGGCTCCAAACATGGCCGGAAACTTCCCTGCGATGGGCTGGAACGGAAACGCCATGAACCCCTTCATGGCTGGCATGTTCAATTACTCGAACACGATGGGTAAGTTCAACGTTACCAAAATGTGACATTTCAATCTGGCTAATCTCTTTCCACAGGTATGCCCATGGGGATGGACCCGATGGCAAATCAGGGGATGTACGGAATGAACATGACTGGCATGGGCATGAACACTGGGATGAACTACAACGGGGGCATGTATGGATCGTTAGGATGGGACGCATCCCAACAGAACAACAATATGTGGCAAGGCGGCCAAAATAAATTCAATCCAAATGCTTTCGCAAATGGCACGGGCCCTCCTTATGGAGGAGCATTTGGCGGGTCTAATATGTCTGCTTACCCTTCTCATTCAGACTATCAGTCCGGTTACTATGGTGGTTATGGTCGTGGTGGATACCGAGGTCGCGGCCGTGGCCAGTTTGGCTCCGGTCGAGGTGGCTTTGGACCCATGCAAGGCCATTACCGTCAGGGTGCTAACTCAGGCTATCCCAACCAGAATCCAAACATGGCTAATGGTCCCAACGGTACTCCAATGGATGCTCAAGGTAATATCCAAACAAATGAGGCTCAAGAATCCGGAGAAGCTGCACCGGATATGCCAGGTAATCCAGATGATATCCCAACAGGGGCCACAGACCAACCCCAGGGAATCCCCACCATTGACAGCCTTGATAATCCTGTACCAACTGGGCCCGGATACGGTCATATGAGTAATGGGTATGGCCAATACAGGTATGGCCGGTATGGACAAGAACGCGGGCCAGGCGTCGAAGGCGCTCCAGCTGCTCCACGTGCCATGCGGCAGGGGCTACCCAACACCAGTGTACTACGACAGCGTGGCTTCCAGGCTCAGGGCCAAGCCAGTATTTCTTGGTGAGACCTTCCTCTTTTGTCATTGTCTTGGCAATCTAAATTCTAACTGCCAGCAGTGAACCCACTGAGGACAATCGCACAAGAGCTACATCCGACGCGCCGTCCCAACGTGAGCAATCTCGATCTCGCTCTCGATCTCCCTCACAGAATCCAGCTTCTCGCCCCCGTTCACCATCTATTCATGGTACTGAAGATGACCGTGACAGTCGGCGTGGAACAGAAACTAAACGCCTAGATCGGGTTGATGAGCTACAATCTGGTGCTCGTCACTCTCGCTCTCCATCCCGCACATCCTCTCGTCCATCTTCACGACGCCGGCATCACGACAGTGATCGGGAGCGAGATAGAAGAACCAGCCATCGCTCACATCGCTCCCGTCGTCACCGCAGCCGTAGCCGCAGCTCAAGTCGAAACGGCGACGTCCGTCCGTCTAGTCGCCTAGAAAAGATCGCGGAGAAAGACGGGTCAAATGGCAGGACCAAAGCGTCCTCTGAAGCCCCAGAATCACGCGATCTAGCAAGCCGAATCAGCAGTACCTACCGCTCTACCAAGGACAGGGGCAGCCGCCGCGAAGACGACAGATCACGAGAACAAGACCGAGATCTTCGCCGCCGAGATCGTGACCGAGACCGCGACCGCCGTGGCAGAGACCGGGATTCCGATCGCGAACGTCGCCGCGATGGCGACCGCGATAAAGACAGGACTTCAGAGCGCGACCGAGATAGACCAAGGGAGCGTGATCGTGATCGTGATCGTGATCGTGAGCGTGATCGCAAACGCTCTCGCCGCGATCGATCCCCATCTGCTGCCACTGGCGACCATCCCCAAGCCCGTCGTGTGAAACGTGGTGATGAGGACCGTAGTCGGGACACGAACGGAGCCTCGACCAAAAGAGCCGAGCCTGATAAGGACCCTTACACTCTTGAGCGCGAGGCACGCAATAAGGAGCGCCTCGAGCGTGAACAGCAGCACCGCGAAAAGGCCAAGTCTGGCCGCCGCCGTGATAGCCGGCAGGACCGTGTGGTGGCGGGCCGTCGCATCAACTACAAGTATGAAGATGAACTCTGAGCTTGGAGTTTGCTTCTTTCCCTTCCGTACAAAATCATGGGAACATGGCGTCAGGGGTTTCTTTTTCACTTTTCTTGCATGTTGTTATTTCCCTTGAGTTGGGATCTGAGCCTGCTCAACAGTAGATATGGGATTTGTGTAGGCTATTTGAAATGGCTTTTTATGGATAGAGACAATGGACCTCCAAATGATGAAAATGACTTTTCTATTCTTATTTCAATGACTTGGTGCGATAGTTCCTTCAAGGATGAAAATGAATTTCTTTTTGCTAGTAATAATGTTGATAGTCATTCCCCCCCCCTAATGCCCTAAGCTGCTCAGTGAGCAACCTGATCGCTCACCCCGTTGCTCTCTCCTGGCCCCTCGGTCTTGCCTTCTAGCTTTCGTCTACTCCGATGGTAACCGCACTGCGTACTGGTGTTCCTGGGAGTTCCGGTCTGGAGATAACCTATGCCCACGTCGCTACAGTGACTTCCTATCCTCTTAGAACTTTCTATCGATTGACTCGATTACTTCAGCTTGCATAAGAAATTCAGCACTAATTCTGTCTCACCCGACTGTTCAGGTGACATGGCTGCCCGAAATGCGGAGCGTCAATCGAAGCACGGTCAAACAGACCGACGGACGGCTTTATCATCGACTCGAAGCTTTGAAGCACAGAGATTTTTAGTCTTCTATCCGTTGAGACTAGGATGGCCTGACCTGGCTGAGAGTGAGACCCGAATTCGAGGGGAACGATATTCAGCCAGCCACGGGTAGTTGCTGGCTGTTCATTAATTATACATGCAAATGGTAAAATAAGTACAAAATTGACCAAGCAGTACTGATAGTACGATGGTTCCTAGTGGACAACCTATAATGCAAGCAACAAGCCAGCTCCCAGGAGACCGGGGAGAAGATGGTTCGGGTTGCTGGTGGGCAACGCTGCCATTCCCTGAGATGAAGTGCTCGACGCGCTACCGCTATTAGCAGCTCCAGTCGCAGTACTAGTATCAGTGACATAGACTGTGGTTCCAGTGGGCTCGGATCCCGAAGAGCCCGACGACGCCACGGTTGCACTAGGATCAAGACCCGTCGCGGAGGTGACTGCAGAGGGCATCAGAGTCGCACCGGGCACCGCATCTGTTCCCGTGCCAATCTCGTGAATATCATCATCTCCCCCATCGTAATTGGTGTTTGCGAGAGAAATCTCGTTATTGGCGAGATCGTAGACCACATAAGCGCTACGCAAGAACGTGTCGCCCATAAGACTCACTCCGGGCTCGCCATAGACAATTCCGAAGAGACAGGTGTCTTTCGGGAAACCGTCGTAGGAGGTATTTTCCCAAACCAGGCGGCTGATGGGGATCGTGACTTTGGCACCCGAGAAGCTAAAGGTCACATTGTAATCTGCCGTGTACATATCGCAGGGAGCATAGGCGCCACCAACGGTCGATGAATAACCACCACCGATCTCCTTGTAAATAGGGTCCACTACTTCTTTGGGCAAAACAATGAAAGGGCTTCCGTTATCCAGGGTGACGGCCAAGGGAAGACCCGTTGCAAATTCCTTGCTGCCCTTCGTGGTCTTCACAGAGATATCTGTCAAGGCGATAGACAAAGAATAGTACTTCTCGTATATCGGTATAATGGGCACAGTTTGAAGCTCGCCTTGATATCTGGCTTTGTTGACACCTCCGAAAAGAAGGTTTCCAGTGCCATCGAATTTATTCAACCACAGGCTGTAGGCAGTCGACTTGATAGCACCACTTTTAACGAGCGCTTCCGGAAGGTTGGCGTATTCTTTGCCGAAATGAGTGGCGGCATCAGTATTTGCTGCATATCCGATTCCCAAAATGCCATCTGTACAGTCGCCGAAGGCCCCCGTTAGCTAGATGAAATCTTCTTTCCTTTTTGGGTGGATCAAAGGAATACATACGGGGATTGAGACTTTGTTCTGCCACTGCAAACTCCATATCTTTCACCTTGGCATCTCCGATCACCAGTGTGTCAGTGGCGTAATGACCTGCAGCCAAAAATCCACTAACGTAGGTAGCGTTCATCTCATAATCTAGCATTTTGAAGGTAGAGGAGTCTTTCAAATTGAACACGCCGGTCGAGGAACAGGGATCATCATCCCCCTCGCAGTAGGTAGAATTTGGGGTGTTAACCCAGATATCACTGCTGCCGGTATCGAGACTGAGCGAGACATTCTGGGGTGGAGTGCCGACGGTGATGTTCACCATATAATACATATTTTGCTGTTGGGAAAATATCAGTACATGACCCTAGTAATAATTCTGCATTGTGATTTTCATTCCCCCTCTCTTGTATCGTAGGTTGAGATGACAGAGATTGGATGGGAAAGAGAAACTCATACCACATTGTATAATGCCGTGCTAGCAACTTTGGAACTGCGCTTCTGTAACGGTTCAGGTCGATCACTGCGGGCGATCGGCAGCGAGAAGACCGCAGGATCATCCCGTTTGTGCAGAGTGATAGCATTGGCCCATGGCAAAGCCAAGGCGATCGACAGGATGGAGATCCCCCACATGGCCACAACGGATGTTGATCGTTGAATCCTCTGGATGCTGGTATAAATTGCAGCAAAGGAACACAGCAAAAGAAGAATATTGTAGGATGAAAGGTTTCTAATCTATAAAAGTGAAAAGGGGCGACCAGGCAGTCTTTCTACACTATTGCCTGAGCCCACTCTCGCTTGCATCTTTTACTACTCCGTAATGATCCTGATCTAACTCGGGAATCCTTTAGTGGCTTCTAGGCAGGTTACCGGCGTGGCGATAGCCAGTTACCGCACACCCCTCACGCTAGGGTCCGCCGAACAGCCTCTTGTTTTTCGCGCTAAGCTCGAAGTTCATCGGACATTGGTCCTGGATGGAGTTTGGTGGCACGCATGGAGTCGGCCACTTTAGCAAAATAGGGCTTAGGTACAGAACTGGAAATTAGCCAAGCAAATATGCACCTATCAATGACGGGCACTACGGACTAATGAAAAGAATATCGCTTTGTCGGGGGCCCCGGATGAAAGCCGGATGTAAAAAAAGTGTTTTGGCCCCAATAGACACGTTCTGCGGCTCGTTCCGCTTGACAGTTTGTTATTGTAATTTGCCGCAGAGTCCGGATTCTGCAAAAGATCAAGTGTACCAGTTTACCTTTACTTCTGTAGTTATTTTCTTTCTTATATATAATAGTACTCTGGTGGAGCAAAGTTATATTCGATCTGTGGAAGTATCTCGAGTGATATCCTGGCTAGACTTCGCCATAAACCGCAAAACCCATAAACCGCCCCACCCCAAACCGCAATTGGGGCGGGTTTTGGGGCGAGGTCTATAAACCGCAATGGTTTATGGGTTTTTACTTTCAAACCGCAATGGTTCTTGGGGCCCCAAGTGGTTTATTAATTATAGGCCTAGTAATTTTGGTAAATCTTATACATATGTAAGTCTAAATATATCATTATTTTGGTAGTAAATTAAGGTCATAGGTAATAAAAATATTATCAGTACTGGTGGATTACAATACGGTAATTAATTATAATGAATTTTATGCAAAATTATGCAAAAATGGGGTTTAAATGGTTTTTTTGGGGCCCCAATAGAACCCATCAAAAACCGCAGTGCGGTTGCGGTTTAGCTGATTCCAAACCGCACCCAACGCGGTTTGGGGGTTGGGGCGAGGGTTTGGCCCCAATTGCGGTTTATGGCGAAGTCTAATCCTGGCAGCTTTTTACGTACAGGGTACGCCCCACCGCTTGGCGATAGGGCCGACGACTCAGATATTGGGGAAAAGCCCTGGAGGGGGCCGTGGGCCTTAAACCAGCGTCCGTGACCATTTTCGGCAGCTGATTTACTCTCAATTAGCGTTGGGGGTGTAACATGGTCTATCATTACGATATATCTACTGTATATATATATCATGGTGTTCTGGACTGCCCAGGTGCTTAATTCTAATTACTAAAGTTTTAGTAGAACCGAAAACGATTGACAAAGAGTAGTTCAAACCACGTAACAACATATTATCAACCTTTATGCTAGTAGCTCACTGTTGGTGATTGAACCTAAGCCCAAAAGGCTACCATTAAGGGGAGAGGACAGTAGTATAAACGGCTATCAATGCCCAGGTGGATACAACTCTAGGATTGATGTACATAGTTTACTTGTTCGAATCTTTCAAAGCTACTAGTTATAGAGTTTGTGAATACATGTCTCGTTTAAGAATAACTACCGATGATTAAACGTAGCAAGCCGATTGCTATATGATTTTGTTAGCAAATATAGTGTACTAGTGATGTCTTATTGTATTCATTGGCACATAGCCTTTCTCGTCAAGGAGTTGTCGAGGAGTTTTATCAGGGCTTTTCTGTCTTTTCATTCTAATTCGTATGGAATGTCGGTTTCAGCCTACAAGATCCAATATGAGATGGTCCTATACACTACTATAGAGTAGCTTAGAGTACTAGCCATTCTCGCCATTCAATGAACACAATATCCTATTTTGATTTCAATGGACAAATGTATTGACAATTCCGCTAAAAAGAAACAAAAAAAAAAAAAACCTATCCACACACAGCACCGCCTCGTATACGTCAAACACCCGTATGATTCCAATCCGGAGCATAATCTCCCAACAATGAATGTACCTAGATAATATTTGACCAAGCAGTCTCCCAGAGACCGAAATTAGACCAAATTATTTAGTTCAGCTTGCTCTTCAATGCCTCAATCTCAGCAGTGAGTGTTTGCATTTGCTGTGCCTGAGTTGCAATCGTCCTCGTCTGTTCGGCAATCAGGTTCTTAATCTCTTCGATGTCGTTCTTAGGGATGGAAGTAGTGGGCGAAGGGGCCTCGCTAGCGGGTGATGGGACAGTAGAGGACTAGAATAATTAGTAGCTGATACAAATTGATAAATGTGAACAAGGATCGGGAAACTTACAACCAAGGTGGGTTGAGGCTTTGTCTCAACCTGCTTTGTCTCGGCCTGCTTTGTCTCGGCCTGCTTTGTCTCAACCTCCTTGGGCCTCAACGGGCTGCTGACACGGGGCGACGCAGACTCGGCAGCGGCAGGGCGAGTGGGACGCTCAACCGGCTTGGGAACTTCCTCGAAGCTGGAGTCATCGTCATCTGAGACGGTAGCCTCCTCTTCACCATCGGCAAACTTGTTCACCATGGCGGCCATTGAAGCGCCTTGTTCTTTCATAGACGGGGCGGGGCGCGCAGCGGGAGTAGGTTGAGAGACGGGCTCGGGGGCGGCTTTAGGGGAAGCAGGCTCAGGAGCCTTGGGGGTCTCGGCGGGCTTAGGCGCAGGGGCATCCATGGAGCCTGTAGGCTTTTCCTCCACTCCCGACACCTCCTTGATGCCTTCGCCATCGAACAGGCTGGCCATAGAGATCTTGGGAGGAAGCGCCTCCTTGCCACCCAGCCATTCGGACGAAGACATGGCAGGGGTCACTCCAACCGTGGGCGGGTAGATGTCGTCCTGGAAGGTCTCGGATCGGCGGGGGACGATGAATGAGACAGGTTCGATGTATTGATCGTTGACAGTCTTGTAGGCGCGAGCGACTTCGTTGTCATGCATGTTCACGCCACGCTTGGGCATGAAGGCAACTCCTCGCTGGGGGTCGGCAGACTTGTGCTCAGAGAGGAACTCGAACTTGTCGTTCTCAAGCTCGAAGTATCGGATGTTTCCGTCACTGTTGGTTATTAGAAAATTGCGAAGACGTAAGGGCTCAATCATGGACACTCACCCTCGTCCGGCCAAATACAGCATGTTAGTTCCATCATCCCAGAAAGGCATGCAAACGCCAGAAATGGAATCCAAGGTCTTGAAACCGTTGATGGGTTCCCGCACGGCACGGATATCCCAGAGCGCCAGCTGGCGGTCGCTCATCTTGGAGAAACCGGTAGTCGCAATGCGATCACGCTCTCCCAGCCACACAGCCCGGCTGTTCTTGGCACCGGTGTGGCCATTGGTCTCGTGAGCGGGACGTTCCTGTCGCACGTCCCAGATGCGGAGCTTCTTGTCACGCGAGGTGGTGACCAACAAGGAGCCGTTGGCACTCCACGACTGCGATTGCACAATATCGCCAATGTTCAGCGTGAGCTTCGGTGCACCGGCTTCAATATCCCAGATCTTCACGGTATAATCGCCCGAGGCCGTGGCCAGCACGTTTTCTGCCGCGGGGTTGAAGAGCACGTGGCCAATCTTCCTGCAGGGAGGGGTAAGCATGAGGCGATAACAGGTTTGATCAAAGATCCGTACTTAGGATGGCCACTCAATTTGCCAATAGGCGCGAGATCCTGGATGTCATCGGCATCGGCCTCAGGTCGAACGGTGAAGTTCTCCGGAACCCGCCAGAGGAAAACCTGGAATCAGTCAGTCGCAATGCTGATAGCTGTTGTTGGTCTCACTATACCTTGCCGTCATCGGATCCCGAGGCAATCAGGTCGTCATTGAAAGGATTCCTGCAGGGGTTCAGTTCGTTGCGGCGCGGGCGTTGTATATTTGAATTCCTTACCAGTCGGTGTCCAAAACGACTGCAGTGTGGCCTCGGCACAATGGGATGCGGTCAGGGAGCTTGCCCCGTTCCTCGAGAGGAATAATCGCAAAAGCGCCGCCACCACCCGCTTCCCAATTGACCGCAATGTGTTTCGGGTTGACCTAGATGCACCGTAAGACCGGGTTCGCCAGTGAAACATCAGGGGTGATGCGGAAGGCGAAACACACCTTAAGAAGGTTGGTATCCCAGGCGTTTCGGGAGACTCGAAGGTTATCGTAACATTGATCCTGTGGAAGTCAGAATAGGAGATCGGGGAATAATAGGAGGTAGCCTTTACCTTTCTCGTGGATCGCCCGAAGACGTGGCCTGTAACGGTCAGCGGGGAGGCGCATTTCGGATTCTAGAGGTAACTCACGATATTTGGAGGAACGAACAAAACGCCCGGACATGATTACCAAGTATTCAAACGAAAATGTTGAGCAAACAAAAAGTAGAGCAAGGGAAAAGGAGTAAGTGAAAGAGATGTTGGAGAAGCTCAAGCAACGGGGCTACTGGGGCTGCCGCTGTTTCGGGAATCCGAGTGGAGGCAAAAGGCGCCCCACGAATTGCCAACTAATTTTGGAACAGCTTCAAAAGGAGTTGACAAAGAACAGTAGTAGAGGTGTTTAGGGCAATGTACTATCTAATCTTTTGTGAGTTCTTGTTTCATTTTGAACATTGAAGCCTTTCATCTTTGGCTTTGGAACGATCACGTGTTATTTTGAATACCGTTTCTTTGGTAATACCAATACAACCCAGTTGATGGCGTTGCCGGATTTGGATTAGCGTAGCACCCCTGCCTGAGTCAGCAATTCTTTGTTTACTTTGCATTTCGTCCCTCCAGAAACCAGTTTGCGCTCATTTGATGCTCATACTTCCAAGGTTACTGCCCAGACCATCTATTGGTATGCCTTCTACCTTCTGATTTCATCTCAACCCGCTAATTCGAAGCCTCAGCGGCCAACACAGACAGTGGCTGGACGTGAGCTCCTCCTTCTCGCCCGGATACTCTATTCGCCGGTAACCTGGCGGTCAACAAATCCCAATATGGAGGGTGAAAACATAGTGAATACCCCACTTTGTGTTACACTAGAGGATATGGGCGCATAACTGACCATCTTCAGACCAGAACCAGGTCGTCTACTCGGACGCGCCTACCACAGGCCGGCCTACGGGAGGCCACCTCCGCGACGACCAACTCGCGCTCCGGCATCATGGCGCCGGGTACAATTGCAAACAAGGCTATGAGCATGTCGCGTATGGAAGACCCTCACTCGTTGGCGCAACATAAACTGACAGCGCCGGAAGCAACCCGCCCGAAAACCGCAAACCCAGAAACAAAGAGACCTGGATCCGTCACCCGACAGCCTAGTATTACGACCAGAGCGCATAGCCGGGGCAACTCGTATTCATCTTCCACCATATCCCGGCCGACTGCACCTGCATCTCGCGCAGCCAATGGCACCTTTTCCTCAACCGTCGGCCCCGGCACACGCCCAGCATCGGCCATGTCCCGGCATCAATCATCCTTTAACGGCCGCAGACCCGTTGGCGCATCGATTCCGCGCGCAGCGAGCGCATTGGATACCCATATGGAAGATGTCTCTCCCAGTGTGCTAGGAAAACGAAAGGGTATGTCACCATTTCCTTTATCCCCCAGCCGTCTCCCTTCTTGTCCCGTTGGAACCGTGCCCCCAGGATTGGACGAAGGTTGGAATGGGGTTGGTGAATTGGCAGCGCTCTCTCTGTCGGAGAAACCTGTCTCTTTTCCAAGTCCTTCCAACCAAGCAACTATCCCCGTGTTGCCCAGTACCCCATTCCGGAATGTTTCCACTGTTACCACCCCAAAGTCACTTGGATACGTCCAACCCTCCTCTTCCTCGTCTTTTTCACCACCCCTATCGCACTCTCCAGGACCCCATCACATTCCCAGGGGCGTATTGTCAAGAAATCCTCCCACCCCGCGTTTTTGACCAAAGGTTCTTCGATCAGAAGTTTTGACAATATCACAGGCCCGGAATGGGATCAAGCCTCTCGCGAAAAGAGCATGGAGGGATTGATGCAGACTTTTATGGCCCAGGTAAACCAACAAGGTCAAGCAAGCTCTGGTCTCAAGGAGACGGTTGAACTGTACAAGTCAAGAAGTAAGTTTAGTCGGATAAGGGCTATATTGAAGCCAGTCTAACCATTTCGTCCAGTCAACGAGCTCGAAGCCTCTCGGGATGAGGTGAAAGAACTCAATATTACCCAGCGCGTGGAATTAGATTCGCTGCGGAACCAGCTACGTACGGCAGAGCAGGCGCGTAAAGAGGACAAGCGAGACTATGAAATCGCCATGGATGATCTTTGCCAGCGCCAGCGCATTGAATTGGATTCGGTCCAACAGCAAAACAGAAAAGAAATTGCCGCAATCACTGACCGACACCAAGAGGAGGTTCGCGACCTGAAGCGACGATTCGATCGTGAGATTGAAGACGAAAAAGCAGCACGACTAACTGCGCTCGGGAAGCTCACTTCCCAATCTGCACTTGATACCCAGAAGTCCCAAATCGAATTGGAAAAGAAGGACCGCGAAATTGCGACATTGCATGATGGGCTACAGACCCTGAAGGCGGAACTCGATCGTGAACGAAGAAATGTGCACGAACTCAAACTCAATTTGGATACTACAAGCAGCAACAGTGTTACACTGGAATCATCAGTTCGTGCTCTTAAGGCACGCATTGAGTTCCTTGAAAGTGGACGGGAGGAACAGTCCAAATCTTTTGAGCGGTGCAACCAGCAGATGATGGATGCATTTGCCGAGACAGAGGCAATAAAGGAGAAGCTGCGCAGGGAAGAAACACTCCGGCGCAAACTTCATAACCAAGTGCAAGAGCTCAAAGGCAATATCCGCGTGTTTTGCCGAGTTCGCCCCTCACTTAAGAGTGAACCTGCCTCCGATCTCACTCTCATGCAGTATCCCGATGAAACCGACGACGGGAAGGAGATTAATATCCTTGGCCCTGAAGAGAGGAGCAGCCTTGGAACAGTTAGCCGGAAGAACAACACTTTCTCATTTGATCGTGTATTCAATCCATCCACCCAGAACGCCGAGGTTTTTGATGAGATTAGCCAGCTTGTTCAGAGCGCACTGGATGGCTACAATGTTTGCATTTTCTGTTATGGCCAAACTGGTAGTGGCAAGACGCATACAATGTCATCGGCCGACGGCATGATCCCTCGTGCTGTTCACCAGATTTACGAGACCGCGCAAGGTCTCGAAGAGAAGGGTTGGCGGTACTCAATGGCCGGTAACTTTATCGAAGTTTACAACGAAAATCTCAATGATCTTTTGGGCAACCCGGATGAATTGGATAAGAAGAAGCATGAGATTCGCCATGACATGCAGCGGGGCAAGACTACTATCACCGATATTACAACTGTCAATCTGGACTCTCCCGAGATGGTTGAGACTATTCTCAAGAATGCGGATGCCAACCGCTCGGTAGCAGCGACCAAGGCCAACGAGCGCTCCTCGCGGTCTCACTCTGTCTTCATTCTCAAGCTCACCGGCCAGAACCACATCACTGGAGAACGCAGCGAAGGCACGCTGAACCTCGTTGACTTGGCAGGAAGCGAACGTCTGAGCCACAGTGGGGCGACTGGCGAGCGTCTGAAAGAGACTCAAAACATCAACCGTAGTCTTAGCTCTCTAGGCGATGTGATTTCTGCTCTCGGCCAAGGGAAAGAGGGAGGTCACATCCCATACCGGAACAGCAAGGTATGTTTCTTACACAGTTATTTCTTCGTTAGGTACTAACTCACTTCCCAGCTCACCTACTTGCTCCAATTCTCCTTGGGTGGAAACTCTAAGACTCTCATGTTCGTTATGGTCAGTCCTCTCCAGGCGCACATGTCGGAGACCTTGACTAGCTTGAAGTTCGCCACCAAAGTACACAACACCCACATTGGCACCGCAAAGCGACAGGCGCGTGTTCGTGACGCCTGATTATGATGACACATGATACCTCTTTCCCATTCTTGAATATATTTTGTTGGTTTTCTCTATTGGGGTAGGGGTCTTTAACGATCCTGTCCTCTACCCTGGCGTCTTGGTTGGACTATTGATGTTTTCCTTCTTTGGCAAGCCTTTGGAGATACTCGGTTCCTGCCTTAGCGTGTGATTTACTGTATGGACAATGATACATTTGGTTTAATCAATGCACAGTAGCCGCTCTCAACGTTTATCTGTTTGGCTTATATTGCGAGAGATATGCTAGTCTTCCTTCTCAATGAATTTACGGATATCCAATATAGTCCGTTTCCTTCTCTCAATCCAAGGGAAATGACCACATTCGCCGTAGGTAATCACTCGGGCATTTCGAATATCCTTTGCTGTCCGTTCTGCAATCCCTATTCCACAGATCATATCTTCACGGCCAAATATGATGAGTGTTTCTGCCTGTACATCACCAAGCCTCTCCACCATTTGCATTGGCTCCCGTAATTCATTGTCACATCGACCCTGGGCTTGGTAGCACCAAACTAACAAGTTGTGATCCCCAATATCATGCAGAAGCTCTGGTACGTACTGCTTCGGGTCAAAGAAATACAAAGGCCACATGCCTCGCACCGACTCTGTAAATTCCTCGTCGGATCCAGTCTGTCGATCCATCACACTGTCCCAAGCATCCTGGTACCGAGAATCTATGCGCGTCGCTTCGAGCTGCAACAATCTCTTGTCCTGGAATCCCACTAGCTGGTGGTCGAGGAGAACGAGTTTGCTAACACGACTGGGATACATTTCTGCGTACCCTAACGCAATTGCTCCGCCGTTCGAGTGGCCTAGTAAAACTGGATATCGTTCCAGATGCAGGTGCTGACGGAGATCCTCCAAGTCTGATGCAAGATCGGGCATACTGCTCATTTGTGATGCTAGTGGTCTTGATGATCCACCCGTTCCACGAGAATGGAAGAATATGACAATATAACCGGTGGTATTTGGGGTACTGGTGTGGTCTTCAGGTCTCCATAACCCTTGCAGTCCATTTTCAAGATATCGAGATCCTAAGCCCCAGCCAGGGGGTTGAACAACAACTACATTGTGTGGATCTTCGTTTTCGGTGGATGGACGATGCACGACATATTCAAATATCAAACCTTTTCCTGGAACATTGAAGGCGTGGATTCCTGAGTTGAGTACTTCCGACATTTGGAAAGATGTGAGAAGTAGAATCAATATCCGAAAGCTATGCCAGGTACATCTGTAATCGAACCCCAATTTTATTCCATTTAGTATCAAATTGTGACGTCATTCGGAATAGTACTACTATGTTGTAAAAGCAGAAGTATACTGATGAAGAATAGAATTTGCACCTAGAGTTGACCAAAGTATCTGTCGGCCTTCTGCTTTACCTGTTGGGCCTTCTGTTGAATAGCAATGGCGTCCAAAGTCCCTTCCTCGCAGATATACGCATCTATGAGTCTAGCCGGAACCCATTCGAAGTATATATTCTTAACTTCGACTGCATAGTTGATGTTGTCTCGATCGGCCTCGATTCCCTCAGTAAGAATCTTGACTCCTTTGATGCCGCCGTCAACCCAGCAGCCCACCATCTCTTTAGGATCATTCTCTTCATGGCTATGATCGCTCTCGGCGCCAGGCTCAGCCACCTTCTCCAGCTCACTGACAACCAAGACTTTAGCGGCAGGACAAACATGTCTTGCACTCAGAATAGCTGGCAAAGATCCGGTTTTATTGCTCACTGAGCCTGAATCCGAGATCCTGTCTGATCCAAGCAGGACGAAATCCACTCCCTTGCTGGCGAGAGCGGCGGATGCATCGGAGTACACAGTTATTTGTAGGTGTCGATCGGAGGTCGGGGGAAATCTTGACTGAAAGGCAGAGAGGATGGAAGACGCCATACTGACTCCTTCGCATAGCGGTCGAGATTCTAATATCCTAAGCTCCAGATTAGGAATTGGAAGGGATGCGAAGGCCTCCAGAATGCTATCCCGGATGGTAGAGCTCGCGGAGAAGGTGAGGATGACGAGAGAGGGCGCAGGCCATGAGATTGCTGTAGGCAGAAAGTTGCATTCGAGGTAGCTGGCAAAGGAGCGTTTGATACGGGTGGGCATATCCTTGCGCTTGACCAAATGATGGTCTAGCAAAGCCAACAAGCGCTCCAATTTGATATTGCGGTCGAGAATGTCGTGTACGATCCCTTCCATGTCGGCCAGCAATCCCAGAAATGCATTCAAGGTGGCAGCACCCATGCTTTCTCGTCCATTTTTCCACAAATGCCATGCAGCCATGCGAGCAGTTTCCCACCACTTTGTGTCAATGTCCTCCTTCATCTGCGCAATAACGTCCCGGAAGGCTCTCAGCGCAATCGAGGTCAACTCGTGTGATCCACTCTGGTGATCTGCCTTCAGTTTTCCCAGACCCGCTGTGAGTGCCTTACTAGCACCCTCGTTCATGTCGCTTTCAAACCAGACTCGTCGCAGGCTTTCTTTCAGACGTGGTACGCCACCGAATTTCTCATTATCTTGAATTGTATCGGGACTGTACCACTCCCAGCTTTTATGCTCCCAGTCAATTTGGATACCCTCTTCCCCGCGGCCACCTTCACAGGAGTCCTTGAGTCGGAATAGGAATGGGAAAATAGTCCATTGTCGACCGACAGATGGATCACTGAAGGTGTATGGTTTTCCCTTTCGCCAAAGATCGATATCTCGTGGGGTGAGAGTTGTCTCCTCTTTCAATTCGCGCCATGCTGCTGTTTCTGGTGTTTCATGACTCTCTATACTGCCTGAGATGGGAGCGAGGTGGTTCCTTAAGAAGTCAGTCAATCTGGGCGCGGGGCTGTTGACAGTGAAGCGGGGTTCTTGGGTACATACTGGTATGTGCTGACTTTCTCACTTCGCCGAAATAGAGCAATTTTGGTTACTCCTGCATCTGAATAGACAAATGAGGATACTACTGATCTCTGCTTGAGCTCGGGGTTGCTCTGGCTCATCTTGCTCTTGTTGGGAAGTATAGGAATAGTTTGGGAGAAGATAAACATAAGCTCAAAGTTCAGGCCTCGGGACATCCGCAACGCCTCGTCACCATCGCATCATCGCATCATTGCATTATCGCATTAGCAAGCACTCATTTACTGGCAATTCTTCTCATGTAAACTTTGTTTCTTTCTTGAAATTCTTACCAGAATATTCTGAAGGAGCTAATTCTCCTCCAACTACCAATGACGTCATCAGTGGTATATTCTACGAATATCAAACATTGAATTGATACAATGCTCCAAGATGCCCATTCTCACAGGGTCATGTATCTGCCGGAATATCGAGTACGAGCTAAATCTCGCTTCTATTCATGACGCGAGAACATCTCTCTGCCATTGCCGCAACTGCAAGGTATATACTCAAAGATAAACGGGAACTGTTGTTTCACTAATTCTGAAATCATTGTACAGAAAGCTTTTGGAACCAATTATGGACTGACAGCCAAAGTCCCAAAGGACACTTTTAATCTTACCAAAGGTATACCAAAAGAACATGTCGCAGATAACGGATCTGGAGCTGTGATTCATCGAGAATTTTGTCAAAACTGCGGTAGCTTCATCCTGGAATATGGAGTATGTGAGCCTTATATAATAGGTACGGGATTTCTCTAACACAGAAATCAGGATGCTGCCAAGGACCATTTTCGCTACGTCTGTGTCGGATCCTTAGACGACCCGGAAGCATTACCTCCCAAGGGGGAGTTCTTCTGCAAGGCTCGGGCGAGCTGGATGCCGGAGATTCCGAGTAAGTTTGGTCTGCTGGCCTCCTGACTCTTTCTTTCAGCTCTGACAAATATACGTAGATGTATTCCACAAGCAGGCGGTAATTGAGTAAGGAGTAACGAAATGGATGAATGTTTGCTCGGTTTTTTTAAATACCTCGCTTGTCTATATATATATGCACATATAGTCTCAATGTATATCATATACCATCCACTGTCATGCTTTTCACAACCATATCCGGCGCTAACAATTTATCTCGAATAGAGACCCCATTCAAGAAGTCATTACTATCCACCCGGCGATATCCGTCTTCTAGCGTCTTCTCAATACCTGCCCGTAGGTGGCGCTCAGCCAACCGGCTCCTTGCTTCTAGCGGATCAGAGTCGACGAAGACACGATAGTCGACGAGCCCAGCAAGCTCACGCCAGCCGGGATCGTCAAGAAGTAGGTAGTTACCCTCGATGATAATGATCTCTGCATCTGGCGTAATGGAAATCCCATTCTCGACGGGATCTTTCGCCTTGTGGTCGAATGTCGGTGCGCCAATAACATCCTCTGGCAACCATGTTCCAGAATAAGGAGCTGCTAGTGGTGTCTCGTCGGCCCAGGTGCGGAGCCGAGAGATAAAATCTACAAAGCGGCTCACGTCGAATGTCCATGGAGCCCCACGACGGATGTGTGCCTCTCTGGGGTTAGGCAGCTGATCCAAGGCTGCCCGCGAAAGATGAAAGCCATCCATGGAGAGCAGGGCAGCGCGGGAAGTTGAGCTCTGATTCAACTGTTGCACCACTGCCTCTGCTGTGGTAGTCTTCCCTGAACCAGGGATGCCTGCGATGGCAACTAGGTAGCGTGGTTTGTGATGAGCTTCGGCCTGATTGCGGATAGTATCCGCCAGTCGCCGGTACTCGGATTCCATCTGTAAACCAAAGTTAGATTGGCTAGTATGAAGCCCTAGATGGGGTTTTACCTTGAATCAATCACACATGGATATATCTTATAGTGACGCAAATTGAAGTAGATACCTCAATCACGGCTGGTGACAATCAACGGATCATGCTGCGAAAATGGCGAAGAGCAGATTTAGCAGCTATCCAGGTATATTTCAACTGGTTTGATAGAAATACAAGGCCAAGTTATGTATGGGTTGGTGGAGCGGGTGTCGGGTCACAGTGTTCCGAAGCAACACAGTGGCCCTCGGTGTTGTGCCGCTGGTTTGTAGTTGTGTCGACTCGGAATTCCTCCACTATTGGGATCTCCGCAAGTGCTTTTTTGGGGTAAGGCAATAAAAAGGGGGGAAACATGGAGGTTGATGCACATGTGGATTTTGATGGCAAAATCATATCGGGGCACAATTCTCCGGCGTTACACCGACTTACACTCCATGGGCTTCAAAAGGACATCATTTGATTTTTGGTAAATAAGACTGGAATTCAAATCAACTCTTGAAATGTGAGTTTACAAAGAGGAAAAAAAAAGGCAAGAATGCAAGAATGTTAAAATTCCGGGCAAAATTCCGGGCAAAAACATGTAGGGCTTTCTTTGATAGCCTTGAGACGCTAGACCGCGACCACAATGAAACCGAAAAGAACAACAACACCCGAACCATCATTTATATATATTCCCAAAAATGGGAATGAGAGCACCGAAAAAAAAATCCTAGTCACACCGTCGTGCCTTTAGCCAAAACCGTTTCCACTTCACGGACAGTTGGCTTCCGATGACTCTTCTGTTTCTTCTGTTCGGGGTCCACATAGAAGCACAAGAGCTGCTGTGACCAACAATGAGAACACTGAGGTCGTGTATGATCACAAGCAGTCCGTTGTTCACGACAGGCTTTACAGTCCCCCGGATTTAGCTGGTAGGGCTTTTGCAAATCTGGGGAAGCTTCAAATGCCGTACCCCGCCATCCAGACCATAGCCACTGGGAGATGCGACCGCAAAGTCCACCCTTCATCTGCCCATATATAGGAGGATCATGGAGAATATGTTTTGGAGGGATCTGTTCTCTGTATATTTTATCAGCCATGACCAAAACCTTGTAACCACCCCAAAGGCTCTAACCGCTGGCCCTGACTCGGCATTATGGAAGTCCACGTTCTCCTTTTACTATAACTGTCAACGAGAGTATTGATTCATGGCAGAAGTGAAGGTGATAAACTAGAATCCAAAAAAAAAGCCCGCACACAAGAAATGTACCCAAGGCCAAGGCAATGCATACGCCGTTAGGCCCTCGGGCCCCTGCATCAAATAAACAAATACCGCACTTCGGGCATATGTCATATCAGGCAGCTGTAGATGCAAGTCATGGGGTCAGGGGGTCAGGGGGAAATAGCACATTCCTAGGGGGTTTTTTCTCAAGACTTTCGGATTCGATCATGTTATCTCCAGAGTAACGCCAGGCGATATTTGATATTCGGAGTTGTACACTTCGGAATCACGTTCCACGAGACGCTGTGGATATCGGGGTTAGTGTAAGCCGTTGAAACGTCATAATAACTTCAGACCAGAAAGCATGTGAGGCAACAAAAGAAATGTTAAGATGAACTTTTAAGGTTGTTCACAATAATTAACCAACATGGTTCGAATAAGCGAGGCCATCAAAGATGATCACCGGAGACTAGAATCTTATTACAACATCATCGTCAACTCCGAAGATGAAGACGAGCAAACCAGATTTCAAAACCAGTTTACCTGGGAACTGGCGCGACACGCCGTCGCTGAGGAGCTAGTAGTGTTCCCTGCATTGGAAAAAGTTCGATCTGACGGCAAGGAGAAGATAGATGATGATCGACGTGAGCATTCAGCGGTAAGTGTTAACATCTTAAATAGAGAGCGATGCTAATATATTATAGCTCAAAGAAATGCTCTACGTTTTCCAGAACCTGAACTCTTCCGATCCCCGTTTCTTCCCTACAGTTACGATGCTGATGGAAGGTCTTGCCCGGCATATGCGCGACGAAGAGGCGAATGACCTGGTCATATTGGAGGAGACCCTCACTTCTGATGAGAGCGAGAAGCTGGGTGAATCCCTTAGTCGCACCAAGATGTTCGTACCTTCTCGCTCGCATTCATATGACCTCGACAACCCGCGCTTTGAGACTGCAGCCGACCTAATCACGGCTCCTCTGGATCGTCTTCAAGATTTGTTCCGAAAGTGGCCGGAGGAGGAAAGCATGCTGACTGCGCCATTGGAGTAGATAAAAAGGAAAGAATTACAGAAATACAGAGATTTTTTTTTTTGGCCTACGATGGAGCCAACTTGTAGCTTGCGGAAGATACAAATCCGTGAACATAATTGAATTCCTCTCCTGGATAATGATTTAACCTCTTTGCCTAGTCACTTTCACTTAAAGTGTTGTCCTGAGATTTGCGATCAGCCCTAGATGAATTATTGTTAGTAATTAGTGCAATAATTATACGCCAAGGTCTCTCACTTTTCCTGGTCTTTACTCTGGTCCGGAGCCTCATCAAGGTAATGCCGAGGTGTATCCCCGTCAAGCTCATCATTGAGAAGGTCTAAAGCATTACGCTTGGCCTTTTTGGATACTTTGGAACTGGTGATAACACTGGAAATTATTAATAACAGGTACAAGATGAAAATGAGAACATCTAGCTCACGCTGTATAGCCACGCCTCGAGCTTACTTCGTCTTCAACAGATAAATCGACATCTTTGGCTTCTCCCAGGCTTGACATCATGTGTTTAGGTCTTGATTGAGTTGCAAAGCCCTGCAAAGATGAAAGTAAGGTTTTAGGTATTGTAAAGCTGGTAGCTATTATTAAAACGTACGAAGGCGAAGCAATAGCGGCAGAGAAGCCCGGGTTTATAACGTCACACCACCATCACGATTGCGAAATAGATGCTGAAAGCACCGGAAATACCCCGGGAGAACAGTTCTAATTACCAATAATGTTTCCAAGATTCTTATCCAGATTATTAAGGGACCACTAAGAGTATATTACCTTCATGTAGGTAGGTACCTGGGCACCTAGATAGAAACGTCTTGAAGATGGTATTTAGTTCCAATAAAATTGCCATTGAGCAACAGCTGTCTATTGTACAAAAGGAAAACGTGATCCGACAAAAGGGCATGTTCGTTAGATGTTGTTGTATCTGCCTTGTCCGGTATATTCGGTAGGTCCGCCATGATTCAACATTTCTAGATCGGGGTCTCCTTGGGTTTTGCGATAGCCCGCGAGAATCTTGCTCGGATGGAAGAAGTTGAAAAGCAGACAGCAAACGAACATCAAGGCCGCATCAAATACGTATATGAATGCCTCTTTGCTTTGAAGGAATCCGTTACTGCCCTGGACATATTCTGCCACTCTGTAGATCGATCGGATGAGGACCAAGACACTGGCGGTATAGAGGACCTTCATGTAGCGGTTCCAGGGAATTCGAGTGTCGCCCGCAGCGTGCATGGGCGTGGCTAGCATGCGGCGGTGGAAAACCACAGAAACAACGATAAAGAACCCGAAGAATAAGATTTGAACGAAAAGTCCGACGACAATCATGTTGTTTCCAAGTTTTACTTTCGACTGGTCCTTCGCGGTAGCGAGCATTCCACCTCCTATAGGAAAGGTGCAACGTTAGTGGCGATTCATGCTGTAGTTAATCGAAGTAACGTACCTCCGCTCTGGATGAAAAATGACAAGACATCACCCGTCACAAATATCTTGGTCAACCATGATGGCCTGACCAGTGAACACGAGGCCCCGTTCAGCAAACGAATGATACGACCGAGAATCATGTATATAGAAGCCGCAAAGAATGCGGGTGCTAACAGGAGCATCAAGCTCTGTGCAATATATGGCTTGGTGGTGAAATTCGGGGCTTCCTCTGCGCTGGCATATCTCGCTAAGTAACCCAACGCCTCGACTGAAAATAGTTCACACTTATTAGCATAGTTTCAAAGGGGGATAGAGAAAATGTAGAAAGAAGACACACATGCACCACCGATAACAAATGGTATGAAGTACCAGGTTCGGTTCCGGCCTAATTGCCAGATGTGTATGACAGTAGTGAGTCCAAAGACTGCTGCAAAGGCGATAGCAGAACCAACAGACGGGTTGTAATGGTACAATTTGAACTCGGACATGACGAGCTAGCGTAAACCGCAGGATGGCTGGTCTTGAAACGTCGGGATTCGAGAAAGATAGGTAGCGCTCTTTGAATATGGAAAGGAGTGAAAAGTCGTAGGATTCAAGAAAGACAGGCAACGTTGAATGAGGACGGAAATGAGTGAAAAGTCCTCTGTAACAGGATTCAGTGAAGAGACTCAGCTCATCTTATGAAAAGGAACTCGCTATTTAAACATCTTTTCATCTTGGCCGATCATTAATATTAGTATGCACGTTGTGCTGATATTTTTCTGCCTTGCCCCATAATAACGGGTCCCTTTTTGTTGACAATAGTTGAAAAGTGAAAAAAACTAGTTCATTTGGGTATAAGATACGAATTATCCGAGAATAACTAAACAAGGTCAAGCTTCGTGCAGTTTAGTTTCTCTTTGTTCTGATCCACCCAAGCAGTTCCTTGTTTCTTGTCCAATCAGAGGTGTTATAGATCTCCCGAAATGGGAAACATAACGAGTACGAGATAGAACTAGCAGGTTGTGGTTTGTGACTAGTACAACGTTATTTGCCAAGATCACTTTGTTATGATCTATGATCTTAATGGATGGTATTTTTCTCCACGGTGTTTCTAATAATAAAGCGAGGAACGAAATACGAAGAGAGCAGCTCATCTGCAAGGCTATGTCGGGAGAGAAGACTCGGTTGCAAGAAGAAGATTTCCCAAGTTCTTTCTGGTTTATACGTACGAGACCTTGTTATATTATCTGCACTAAAACAGGACCTTTCCACAGAATGCTTTCAACTGCGTTGTCGAGGGGATCAGTGCACCGAGCAGATCTTGAAGACAGGGAGTCCCATCAGGACTGAGGATGAGTAGAGCAATAGAACAATGTGAAGTTTGCCACTGTTTCATTTCAAGTAATAGCTGCTAGTATCTCAAGCATCGGATATGCAGGAATGTTCATATTCTTCAAATTTGAGCCTTCCAAGGACCCACGGGGGCGTGGGTGGGCCACACCAAGGGTACATAAAACACAACATAAGGATAATATTGACTATCAAGCTAGCTCAAGGATAAAAAAAAACCTATACAACTAGATCTGACATAAAACTGGGTTAGCCGATCTGCCACTAAGATTAATTCTAAATATACGACATGCGACATGGAAGTTTACATCGCAGCTTAAATAGACACCGCACATGAATATTCCCTGCTTCGTCCTCGATAGCGCTTATTGAGATTGATACTAAGTGATGGGTTTTTATTCGCATTATATATATCCTCTGTATTTTCCCTAACTACTCTGAGGCTTTGACTATGCTGTGCGTATGTACCTTTTGTATGGAACAGCCATACAAAAGATCCTTAATGCTTACTATCCCGATACTGAATAAGCGTTAATGGAGGATGGCCACAATCATCACCATCTATACTCCGTATTCTTAGAATATATACAAACAAAGCAATATCTATAATTTCCCGTAAATTATGTTGTAATCTGTGTTGTGGCGACATTCCTCGGGATGATCGGGAATGTGATATCTTTTGAATGTCCACCGATTTTAATATTAATCTGGCTGAGTCCAATTATCACAAGCAAAGCCGATAATTTGAAAAATAGCCAGTCTACACAGTCTAGACAATCCAAACAATCTTGGACAGTGTCCTGGACAGTCTAGACCTAAGCGCTAAACGGCCAAGAAGGCTAAAGTGGAGAGAGCGGCAACTCCGACTCCGATCATAACATTTGTCCCATTTGGATCTCTCATTTTGCTTCTCATTTGGACTCTGGTATGTGATGATGAAGAGAATCCGAGATGATGATAGATTTGGAAGATGTAATTATCCTCCTCTCTCTCTTTCTCCCTTTTCTTCGTAATGCCAATATTCGCTCTGTTTCACCATTTGTTTGGGGTTACCCCTCGCAGTGGACTCTAGAGGTTTCAGGTTGACACACACCCCCTACAAATTAACGATTAACCGCCGTGACAGCGACCAGTCGATCCTTTTTTCTGTTGCTTGGCTCGTCGGTTTAAAGAATGGATCATCATGAGTGGACTGGGACTCCTGGCATAAAGCGCCACGGGGTTTCTTGACACCGGAGTTGCAGCCTATTACAGACATCTACTTCACCCTAGTCAAAGGTCCCAGGTACTGCTGCGTTGTTACTGGATGGAAAAAATTGATCTCCAGTCTTTTAGCATAAAACAATTTAGGATGGTGCGGCTGGTGAAAGGTATTTGGGTCAAATACTTCCCACCTTCGATACGTTGGACACGCTCACATTCTTTTCTCCTTGTTGACAATCTGGGATTGTCAGTCTTTCTTTTAGTTGTTTTTTTCAGTCTTTTTATCTGCACTCTCACTCTCTTTCTTTTTCATATTTTACTTTTTGCATTATCCCATAAGCAATCTGGTCTTGTTATACATCTCCAGACAAGATGGTTTCTTCAACACGTTCATTGAGCGCTGGATCGCTGATGCTCGCTTTGTTATGTTCCCCCGTGGCCGCCACAACATACTCCCTGGTGGAGAATTGGCAAGGGAAGAACTTCCTGGATTATTTCAATTTCCACGTTGGTTCTGACCCGACCAACGGCTTCGTTAACTATCTCGACAAGGAGACCGCCGAAAGTTCAGGCCTCGTCAAGGTCACCGACAGTGGCAGTGTGTATCTGGGTGTCGACCATGCGACTAAGCTGGACGCCAATGGCAAGAAGGGCCGTGATTCGGTTCGTATCGGCAGCAAGAAATACTACGACCAGTCTCTCGTCATCGCCGATATCGCCCACATGCCTGGTAGCACTTGCGGTACCTGGCCCGCCTTCTGGTCCGTCGGAAAGAATTGGCCTGCGGACGGCGAGATTGATATCATCGAAGGTGTCAACATGGCCGATCACAACGAAATTGTCATGCACACAGCCGGCACTTGCAGTTTGACAGATACGGATATGACCGGTTCCGTCAACGCCACAGGTTGTGGTGAGGATCTGGGCACTGTCGGATGTAAAATCGAGGGCCACGAGGGCAGCTACGGTACATCTTTCAACAAACAACAAGGTGGTGTGTATACACTGCAGTGGACCGACGAGTTCCTCAAGATTTGGTTCTTCCCTCGAAGCTCGATCCCGGCCTCGATCACCAGCGGCAAGCCTGATGTAACGGAATTCGGTACGCCAATGGCCCTGGTGCAGGAATCGTGCGACGTTGCCAGCGCCTTCAAGGCCCAGTCGTTTGTTTTCGATGTCACCTTCTGTGGAGACTGGGCAGGTGGAGTGTACGGTGATTCTGGTTGCCCCATGACCGGCAGCGATTCCTTCCAGAGCTGCCACAACTACGTCGCCAACAACCCAGCTCAGTTTAAGGAGACTTACTGGGAAATCAACTCTGTCAAGATCTATCAGGCTGGTGTGAAGGGAATTGCCTCCGTTTCATCATCCGAGTCCGAGCCGGCTACGACTGCTGCTCCCGTGGTTTCGAAGGCAACTGCTGAGACCCACGCCACTCACCCTGCTACTACTGCTACTGCTGTGCACTCGGTTGCTTCCAAGGTGGATCAAACCGCCGGAGCAGTTCAGCAACTGACCACTGCCAAAAGCTCCGCTACTGAAGCTGTCGAGCAGCCTTCTAGCAAGAAGACTAGCACTGTCACCTCTATAGTCACTGCAACTGAGACCGTCTGCCCCGAGGACGAAAAGTCCTCCGCTATTGCCGCGCACTCCTCCGTGCCAGCCACAGCCACCGCTCCAGCTGTGCAATCTGTCCAAGTCCCCCACGGCAAAGATCCGGAGGCACACACTTCTGCCTCCCCTGTGGTCCCCTCCAGTGTCGTATCCGTCCCAGCTGGCCATGGTCACACCCACGTTCACACCCACTCGAGGCATGCATCCATTTCTGCCACCACTCCCGCTACAACCGAACCCACCTCCGGCGCCTCTGAGAGCTTCGGTGAATCACGGGCCGCCTCTACGGCCCCCTCTGCCGTTGTCTCCGACGTTCCTTACGAGGCCTCCAAGGCCCTGACCCCTGCCACTGCCGATTCATCCGCGCAGCAGGCTACCTCGGCTACATCTGCCTTCTATGTTCCTACCGGATCTGCATCTGGAGCCAGCCCTGTCTTTACCGGTGCCGCTGATCGATTGTCCATGAGCATCTCGGCTCTCTTCCTTGGAGTCATTGCTGCCTTCTTGGCTTAAATATCTGTGATAGATTGCGTTTGAAACTGGTCCAGATTTGGCGGTGGATATTATTTGGTTAATTGTACAGTAGGCCCTAGCGATGGCCGTAGAATACTTGGTTTTGTTTGGATTCGGTCTGTATTCAGTCTGTGTTTTGCCTCGATGCACGCAAAAGGAAGCGTAACTAGCTAATGAAGAATTATTTTCTCGAAATATTACTGATATTTTCCCTCTACTCTATATATACAAACGCCATTGATCTCCAAACTCCACGCTTTCCCGCCCAAATTCGAATACTTCACTCGCTAGGTCGTCCACCTCGCCAACCAATCCTGAACATAGTATCTCAGGATTCCATCTTCAATGATTCTCAATCGATCATTTCGCAAAGTCACACTGCTCCTTTCTGCTTTCTCTGTAACAAACCTTTTAGGCCCATTCTGCTTCAAAGATGATTTCTCCCCATGCATCGTCTCATAATGATGAATGAGCTTGACCGCCGGATTGACAAGTTCCTCCCCCTCGTCTCACTCTGACGAAGTCTCAGCAACCACTCTTCAAAAGACACGACATCGAATCGGAAACCACAATTCTTCAAAGTATGCAGCAAAGACGACCAGGTGAATTCGCGAGAATTACACAAATTGAAAATCGAGTCATCAACATACTCCACCGAAGCCGAGCTGGACGCCGGACTTTCGCCAAACACACTCGGCGTAGCACAAGTCTCGGCTAGTTCAAGAATAGTAGACGCAAGTTTATCCACCGGAAGCCAAGAACACGTCTGCGATAGCTCGGGCAGTGCACCCAATGTCAGCGCCGACCGGATCATTAATGGCAGAGCTTCGGAGTCATTCCAAAGGCCCTTCCTCGAGTGACCTGAGACTTGGCCAATTCGGAGAGAATAGGCCCTTGCTCCACTGCGTCGCGCATTACTCACAATCCGCTCCCCGACTAACTTGGATTTTCCGTATCCCATGAACGCGCTGTCCAAGTCAACTGGTTCTTCGAGGATCTCGGCTGCTCGAGATCCGAGCGCGGTGGATACCGACGAGCAGAACATCACCATGGCAGGCTCGGGTCTATGTACTGACAGGGATAATTGGATCAGATTGTTTAGTCCCTTGATGTGTGGCTCGAATCCGGTTAGGGGGAGATTGAAGTTGACGGGCCATGCCGTGTGAATGATGAGCGAGACTGATTCGAGCATGTGTGTAATTGTGCTTTCGTCTAGAGATAGACCGAAACCGGGCTGGTCGAGACGGCTGTTGAAGGCGACGATCTTTGTTTTCTGTTCAGGGGATATAAAAAGATCTTTGTGGTTTAGAGTGTGGAGTATTGCTTCCAGTGGTGATTCTCGTCGTGTGAGACAGTACACTGTGGAGATTGAGTCGTCATTGAGTAGCTCGTACAGCACATGGGCTCCAATTGACCCGGTGGTTCCTGTTAAAATCTTGGCGATGTCAGCTTCTGGTTCTAACCTCCGACAGTAAGAGAGTCACTCACCACACTATTCGGCCTAGAGAAAGCATGCGGTTGGGGAATATGCCTCTCAAACACGGAGTACTTCTCGATCAATTCAGTCATCAGAGCGACATCACTCTTGGCAGATTCCAATGCCTCCCCTTTTTGTAAAGCACAGATATGCCAAGCCAATTGTGATATACAGCCTGCTTCAAATATGACATTTGGACTAGGAGCCTGGCTCGTCTCAAATTTGAAATGCTGAAGAATGAGACGCCGGAAGTGGATTGCCTTCAGACTATCAACACCCTCAGAGAAGAAATTGGCGTCGACACCAGAGACAGATATTCCAAGTTCTTGCTGTGCTATTTGAAGAAGAACGCGCTCTGTCTCGACAATGTCAAGCTGAAGATTGCCATGGGTCTGTTCCTTCTCAGTGTAAAGGCTTTCGATAAGGTCACTATATTCTTGATATACTTGTGCCCGGATCATGGACCCCTTATCTGTTCGAGAAAACTTGGCGTCGTGTGGCAATATAGCAACCAAATTGCGGGAGATTTGAGAGAAAGCCTCTGCCTGAGAATTGGCTTCTTGGATAGTCGGCCAAATTGCATTGAGATATTTTTCGTCCGAGAGACGGTTGGCTTCAGGTTCCTCTGCTCGCAAAATCAATAGTCCTGGAGCAGCTTTGCCTACCCCGACTACAACTGCATCATGAATAAATGGATGTTGTTTAATGTAACCTTCAATCGGGAGAGGTAAAACCTTTTCACCATTCACCAGGTTGATTCGATCGTCCAATCGTGAAATATATTTCCACCTTCCAGCAATTGTAGGATGAGGGGTGAACACATCTTTTGAATGGAAGGATCCTGGCGGCTCGTTTGAATTCGAGGTTGTTAATGCTGGATGACCAGCGAGATAAACGCACTCGAAAAGCGCTTCTGATTCAGAGATTGGCTTCATCCAGACATATGATCGGATATTGTCAAAGAATTTCATATAGTTCCAATAAGGGTCACCTTTTGGTCTTGAGATTGATTCTGCAACAAGGCCAGCCTCAGTGCTGAAATTTGTTAGTCTTTGCATCGCTGTAAGTATTTGTAGAATATTACTTACAGGCCGAATGAACCTCCAAAGTGTACACCTTCGCTGACTAGACGATCGCCTAACTCATCCGGACAGGGTGCACCTCCATAGGTAACCAACTTGCATTGTCTTAGTGCTGTGATACCGCGGGGATCATCAACCAAAATTTGGAGCATATAAGGAACCGCTGCCACAGACTCTGGTCTGGCTTCTTCGAGGGCCGTAGCGACAAATTCTGCGGTCAAAGGCAGCGCAGCATTCCACATATAGGCTGTCTTTCTCATCCACATTGCCTGCAATGCGGTGGACAGTCCATGGAGGTGATACCATGGCAGGGTATTGAAAGAAGTAAACCCAGGACCTCTCAGCGGGTGAGTCATGATCGCTTTGTGTGTGAGGAAGAGCGGTTTCGGGGTGCCTGTTGATCCCGAGGAATGAAGGATCAAGGCGGCCTTTTCAGGGTTTCGGTTCCGTTGGAGAACGAGTGATGGCGATTGGAGTTTGTTGTATAAAGAGCATGAGAGTATTGGGCGGCATGTCACTAGCCTCCGGCGAAGAATCTCGCCCAATGTTGAGCGGATATTAGGGGATTGGCCATATATTATTGATTCGCAGTTCACTGTTTCTAGCAATGATATGCAAGCTTCACCCGAGAGTCTTGGTGAGAGCATCATGACGGTATAGCCCAGTCGACTTAGGGCAAAGAAGGTGATCACCATGTTAAGGTCGGACAACGTAAGAAGTGCCACGATGGATGGAGTTTGCGTTGACTAAACATTTATTTGTTAGCAGTGTTAAGATTATAGGGGACTTTATGACCAACCTGTTGGAATCCATCATCCATGAGCATGACGGCAGCTTGGTCTATCATAGAATCCAATTGCTTCCCGGTGTAGTATTCATAGCAAGCTGCATCGTTGTCGAAACGGGGATAGGCAAGAATAGGATATTGAACGACATCAGCGGCTCGTAAGCGAATCAAATCGTCGAGAACTTGAAGCGATCCAAACTCCTGTACTAATGGGTTGATAGTAGTGGAGGGACCAGCCTGTGCTGCCTGGCTTCCACGTTGGATGCCCATGATGAGTACAGAACTATTCCAGAATGAAGGGAAAGGTGCCACAGCAGCTTGGTGATTCCAGTGCGATATTGAGGACCAAGCCGTATTTAAGTGACTGTTGTATATTTATATCGGTTCATTGACCCGTATTTCCAGATTGGCGTATATTGACTGCATCCGGGCATCATTCGGGATGCCCGGCAAAAAGAAAGTCCTTCTGCATCGGGAAAAGGATATACATATTACACGGGATCAACCCAATAGCAAACAGATAGGATCAGCTACCATGCTGTGATAGCTATGCAGATGCCAACACAAGTCATCAAGGCGCATATCGAATAGTTGGGATTTGAGGAAATACTATCTCGGGAATAATCATATTCACACTCCATGTACAACAGTACAATTTCAATGCACAAGGAGTGGCTTGCTGAGCGACTTGTTTGTGTCACCACCAAACACTCAGCTTGAAATCAGAAATTTCATTCGTTGAGATTTAACAGTGGCGTTCCGTGAACGTCGAGATTGGTCTACTCCGTCCACTGTGGCTCAGGCTACTAACTAGCTACCTCGCTAGTGGCTAAATTCCAAGGTTTGGAGAATAACCCCCATGTCTAGTATTAACCAAGTGCATGCATTGTGCATTCTCTTTTAATATCGGAGTCAAATTTCTATCGCCACCAGCGGCAATCGTCACACCACAGAGCTGCCCGAGACACATCCGCCTCAGCTGGGATGAAAATCCCGTCGGAAAAGTCCGAAAGAATTTCTACCTGTCACCGGGCAGAAATGGATCTTTTCCATAGAGGGTCTAGGTGATAATTAGTGGCAAAATCACATGAATGCATATTACCAATTCTGGGTCCTATGTTGGGACTCTGAAACCCACTGTAAAAGTCAGTGTAACTAAAGACGGTGGTGAGCACCAGTCTTCGGTCTGGAATAGCTTGGGTGTCATCAATGAAGGCTACACAAAACGCTGTGTTCAGATATACCCCGTTGAAGTGTTTAAATATATTCCAACGTTGTTGTTTAACTACTTACTTCGTTATAGCGTACACTTGCTCTTCTACCGGTGCTAAATCGGACTGAGACCATTCCAGACAGCTAAGGAGTGAAGGGCCAGGCTCATGTCTCACTTGAAAGCGTATGTTGTAGAAGATGTCGCCTTCCACCCCTGGCTAAGGGGATGGATGGGATGACACTGAGGAGTGAGGCAACGAGGAGCTACCACCTTGAAAGATGGGTAAACTAATGAATAATCAAATTCATTCAGGTCCATGTCAAACATAATTCAGGTGTTTTCTAGCAATCTTCGAAGTCATCTCCAGGGCTGGTATGGGGACCCCACTGCAATACTTGGATCGGGAGCGGGCCGGGAGAACCAGCTGGGAAGCCAGGAGTGCCCTGTGGAGTTTCTGATCTATATCTGGTATCTGGTATTAAGGGTATAAGCGTTCTCAGGACCCATTGCTGGATTCTTCTTAAGAATGTGGACCCACTCGATCGGTCTATGTTGATCATTACAACTTTATTTTTATATATTTTCTTGTCTCGCCTTGGTAGGTCTTACAATAGAGACCTAGACATAACATTCCAGGTACCGGGAATGATACTGTGGCGTTCCGTTAGAAGATGCACCCGATGGTCTGGTTCAGCATACTGATTCCACAAATTCCTGTTAATTTCTTCATTTAGATCGAACATTCTGGAGATCTAAAATACTTGGATCGTAGGGAACCAACCCCGGGGGTATGTGTGTAGGCATCAAGCATGACTGTAACTCATTAATATTAAGAACAAGTCTAAGATTCTAGACAGGGATTTGTAAAAGGATATTGCAAGACATTGGTTCAATTTTGTCATCAACTATCATTCCTTTGTATCGGTTGAATGTGCCTAGAGTTCCAACCATGGTCTTAAAAATGCAGAATAACACTGACTGAAACAAAATGCGCTGATCTCCAAGCCACACCAATACCTAGATGGATCCCTTCTCTGGCTTCTCTTCCAACAATTCCATAACCCGTAGCCAGGACCGACTAGCCCGGGCAGCATGCTCCATCGGCACGGCCGGGTTATCTTCCCCGGTGGATCTCGAGAAGACCTCCATACTGACCCACCCGGTATAACCCAAACCGTTAATGCAGGCATCCGTCACCTCGCGAATCGGAAGGTATCCGCCCCGATCCTCTTCACACGGAAACAGACGTGCATTCCGGGACCAGGCTAGCAGAGTGGGAAGGCCTGGTGCGTGAAGAAAGGGCGTTTGTGGGTCGACCCGCTCGCCGTCGGCAAGTTGAACCATCAACACTCGGTCCGGATCAATCTCCCGTACAAGCCGGTCCATCGACTCCCGCAGATCTCGGTCTGCGCTTGGGCCAAGTCGCCCTGTTGCGGCCATGGGATCGGCCCACAATCGCGCTGCTATGTTGAATGTATCAAGACAGATGCCGAGATTGGGTCTGTTGGCCCGCTTGATCACATCCCAGGAGTCTTCCCAGGTGTTGATGTATGTTCCCCATGCCAGGGCTTCGTACGCGATGCGTACGGGGAATGCTACATCTGCAGCCTCGGCCAGATCGGCCGCGAGACGCTCCCGGTCGGAGGTTATCTCCGAGGCGTCGAGGAAAGATGATGGGATGAGGATGAAGATTGAATCGCCAAGAATCTTGCATAATTGCACCCAATGCTTGAGTTCGTCGATGCGTTCCGCATGCCGTTCTGGATCAATGAGGCCTTCGTAGTGTCGGAAAGGTTGGAGAGCTATAACCTGCAGATCACGCTCAGCAGATAGACCTCGGATAGCATGTGCTGCGTCAATCTCGTAGTCTCGATCAGTGCGGGGTGCGCTGTCAGCTGCATGGGCGTGAAGGGTCTTGGCGAGTTGCGCTATATCATCATGAAAGAGTTCGAGTCCTTTTTGGCCATTTAGAGCGACAGCGTCCAGTTTGGCGATGATGGGATGTAAATTCGCAACTCCGAGACTGACTGTTGCAATAGCCGGTTTCCATCGAGAGTCAGAGTCCACTTCGGACTTGAGGGCATTTGGAAGAGAATGCATCACTAGAATAGTTTTGGGGATTGATCTGGGATTAGCAGCAACTGGTGATCTCTATCACAATTTTTATAGCATGAATCACAATCTCACATCAATATGAGATTTCTGCTTCCGTGCCGATCCTGTATGTTTTCTTTTTCTTTTCTTTTTTTGTTAAAAAAAGGAATTCAAATCGGGAAAGTGAGTACAGAAACTACACCACTCACAGATGGTCCGAATTCAAATCGTACACCGTAGGGCAAGCATGTACATCCTTGATCACCTCAATCGGGCCAACTTATTTTTCAAATGCGGAATATTCAAACGACGGGCCGAGAATGATTGAATAGTGGGGTATCTAGAAACGATATGCCCCGGGTTTCAGCTGCTTTCGGGGTCAGCTTACCTATATTGCATTCGTATGTTGTAGGAGTGGATTGAACCCCGATGGAAACAAGGGTCTTTTAATTTATTTGACTTGTCCGATGTCACTGTTACCGAGGGGGGCACCAGAGACTATAAGATGCAATCGAGATCCAGCCAAATTGTTCCCTCATCCTAGCTTGTGCTACTCGAAGCAGACAATTCCACTGAGTATCGTGCTTTCTTTTTCTTGAACAGCCATAATGACGATCACCACACCATTTCATTGTTTGGTCAAGCGTCTTGGCCAGATGGCCTCGAAAGAAGCCTCGGATCCATCTCCACAAGCCCACTTCGAGCTATTGCGAATGATCGACCAGCTCAGGTCTGCAGTAGAAACGCCGACAGAAACTGTGCTGCGTTTGATTTACCAGGTCAGCCGTTCCACGAATCTAAACCGAGTTTGTATTCTGACTGGATACTCTAGCCTCCTCAAAATGCCGCGTTGCGCGTTGTCATTGATTTGGGTATTTTTGCCATGCTTGTGGAGAAGCGACATAGAGAGATGGGACTGTCAGCCACCCAGCTGGCAGACTATACGGGCGCCGAGAAAGATCTAATTGGTACCTTTGCCTGCAATGACAATAGTTCGTCACACATTATGGATCGCCTAACTTTTTAAATAGTGCGATTGATGCGTGTTATGGCTTCTCTTGGGCTGTGCGTCACACCAACCCCCGAGGTCTATGTTGCCAACGAGAAGACGGTGGCACTGACTCAGCCGATTGGGAGAGATGGGATCCCATGCATGTATGTTGGTTATGGTGGCTTGGACCTCTGCATCTCTTCGTGTCGTTACTCACTGACCATTCGTTTAGTTATGATCTTACATTTCCGACGTTGAGCAAGTTACCGGAGTACCTGCGCTTCCACGGTTATGCCAATCCCCAGGATTATACTCAGTCGCCTATGCAATGGGCCGTTGGACAGAGTCAGTTTGAGTGGCTTTCGAGTAATGCGGAGCAGCAGGAGCTCTTCAACTCGTACATGGCTAGCCGTCGTGAGGGTAGACCCATGTGGTATGATATATACCCTGTGGAGCGATTATTTGGCGATGCTGTGCCATACAAAGATACAGTCTTCCTGGTGGATATCGGCGGCAACCAGGGGCATGATCTAGGTAAATTCCGCCGGGAATATGGTCATCTTCCGGGCAGAATGGTGCTGCAGGATTTGCCAAGGGTGGTTGAAAGAGTTGATGGAGAGAGTGCGGGAGTCGAGGTCATGGGATACAATTTCATGGATCCTCAACCCGTCAAGGGTGCCCGTGCCTACTACTTTCGTTCCATTTTCCATGACTGGGACGACCAAATCAGTCGAAAGATCCTTCGAAATACGGTCTCAGCGATGGCGCCGGACTATTCTCGAATTCTCATTGTGGATTTCGTTCTGCCAGACACCAACACACCCCTGATGCAAGCTTCCCTGGATATTCAGATGATGAGTATAGGGGCGGGTGTCGAACGGTCTGAACGTCAGTGGAGAGATCTATTGCATAGTGCCGGGTTGGAGATCACGGGGATTTGGAATCAGAGCCCGGCGATGGAGTCGGTGATTGAAGCAGTTCCGATGTTGAAATAGAACAGATAAATTTGAGATTGGGTATTTGAATTTCAGCACAAGGATGAAACACAAAATAGAGCGTTTGATCAGAGAAGAGTGAGAGAAAAGAAATTTTAAAAAAAAACAGGTAAAACGATGTCTATTTGTCTTTTGGAAAGAGCCCAACAAGACTCAACGACTCAGGTATGTAGCGCCTGAACGGGCTGCGTCTTCAACAACCACTGTCCCTCTAAAATACAAACCGTGTGAGTCCAATTGCTTCTCAAATGTAGCCCTGTATCTATCATTCTTCATCAATCCTCCTGCCAACACCAACACAGAGGTCTCACATGGCTGATAACCAGTGGCTTGAGGCTTCACCAAGCGACCAAGAGTCCCGCTAACAAGTAAAGCTACCTGAGAGCTCACGATAGCTGATGCGGTCTTATTTTTGTCCATTAAGTCGAGAACAACCGGCGCAATACTAGCAATGCGTGCCTTCACACCCTGGGAGTGGTTCTGGGCCAGAATATTGTTCAACATGTCGATACTGGCACTCTCGGAGATTTGACACCCCAGTTTCGCCGCAACCTCTTTAGAAAGTTCATCACCTCCAATTTTGTCGAGCCCCAACGTGATATCCTCGAAGACTCCTAGCGTATGTTGGATGGCTTTCATACCAATTGCGTAGCCACCGCCCTGATCGCCGAGCATGTGACCCCAACCCCCAGAACGCGCTGAACGAGCGTATCTTTGCTCATCCTCAGCCCATTTATATCGCATTGCAACACTCCCCGTGCCTGCAATCACCACCAGGACGGAGGGTGTACCGAGGGATTGTGGAACACCCGCAGTCAACAGATCTACGTCGTTAGTTAATTGGAAGTCCTGTTCTTGGGTGATTCCAAACGCTTGTCTCAGCTTGGGTGCTAGCACTCCATCCAGCCCTGCCCGGTCTATACCAGCTAGTCCAATCCAGACAGAGCTGAACGATGTCTGGAGACTTTCCCTCCGCGAAGGCTCTGTTTGTTCCACGTCGCTTCGCAAGGCATCTTTTAAAGCAGCCTTAGCAGCTTCAAGTAACGTGGCAATGACAGAGTCTATATTTCCAATGCTGTCGGTTCTGGATAATTGTTAGCCTCACGATAACACACAGGATAAAGCTAGAACGAGAAAAGGTCATACAGATTACATGGACCAGCAGAGCCCCGACCCACGACCTTGGTGCCATCGGCTACAGCAGCAGCGCACTTAGTACCACCGCCATCAATGCACAAGGCAAACTTTTGCGTGGCGGTACTTGTGGGCTTCTGTTGGATGGGCTTAGAGATGGCAGCTAGCGCGTTGGCCAACACTCCACCCGCAGCATCAAAGTATCCCTGACAAGTCTCAACTGACTCCTCGCTCTCTGCGACCAAAATGGCCAGTTTGACACTGGAATTGCATCTTGCAAGTAGAGTGTCCAACTCAGCGTCGGATGAGGACTGACACTTTCCACTCAACCTCCGCAGAATATTACGGGATCTTTGCTCGAGTTTCAAATTTGAGGCCACGAGATCAACCATCTTGAACCTGAACATTAGCTAGAGTACAACAGTTAGGGGAAATTACGGCCATACCATGTTTCCGTACGTCTTTCCTGTGCGAATCATAGTACCGGTACTTAGCATATTCAACACTAGCTTCGTGACAGTACCGGCCTTGAGGCGGGTGCTACCAGTGACAACTTCAGGTCCAGACACAGGTGAAATAACAAAGTCCACATTCCCTGAAAGACCAATCGCCGAAGGAACTGTACAAACAACCGCGATTGTCACGCAGCCGAGACGTTTAGCGAAAGCAAGACAACCAAGCACATAAGGCGTGCGGCCCGAGCTTGCAATTCCAATGATACTATCAAGGTCTGGATTCAGATTGAGAGATTTCATCTCATCCTCGCCGGCTTTCTCATCATCCTCGGCTCCCTCCTGAGCCTCTCGGATTGCGGCATCTCCACCAGCAATCAGACCAACGAACTGCCCGCGCGGGGCGGCGAAAGTCGGGGGAATTTCTGAAGCATCCAAGATTCCAAGCCTAGAATTTCGTTTAATTTTTGTTTTAACGAATTGATCAATGTTCACATTACTGACCTTCCACTGGTGCCAGCGCCGACATAAATCACCCGGCCGCCTTGTCGAACTCGCGGGGTCAATGCGTCAATGGCTCCTGCAATAACAGGCAAGCAAGGAACGACACTCTCGGGGACTTTTTGATCGTCGGCATTGATCACAGTGCACATATCAAGTGTCGACATGCGATCAATATGGACGGTTCGGGGATTGACCCCCTCCGTTTGGAGTTGAGATAGACTCCCGAGATCCATTATGCACGGTGTTCTAGGTGGTCACTTGGAAAGACGACAAGCTTACCGCCGTTTCGTGTCAGTGTTTTTAATGTATTTTCTTCACTAATCACGAATCAGAATATGCGGGAAATAGCGATAAGGGGGCTTTTTAGACGATTAGGGGGACGAAGCTAAATCCATTTCCAGTTGACGCTATGCAGGCCAAGTGCCTAATATCGCCCCATTTCCCGAGGCCGATACTGTTGAGGGAAACTAACGAATACCTGTACGTAAGTCTTCTAGAAATGCCTAGCGGTCTGAATATATGGGGGCCGTTACAAGGTAGAGTTGCAATGAAGTGATATTGACTGCGTGGGATTGGACCGGCTAGCAAGCGACCGGAGTGGATTTTCACTTCTTCTCCAGACTTTTCCCAGAATGGAGTCGGATGGAGCCGATCTGAAGGGAGAGTGGAGTTTGTGTCTGTCGGGATTCGTCGGCGGAGACAGGAGAGGGTCGTGTGATAAGGAATTGCACTGTGCCATTCAACCTAAACACAATGGGATTGCTCCACTTTTGCTACTACTTCACAGAAGTTACCCTGGAGATACCCACGCGATATGCATAGAATAACACCCTGCTCTCGTGTGCAACCCCAACCCCGTATCGCGTGGGGCCTCAGACTCGATACGCTGGCCCACAATAATCCGGCATGGGGGAATATCGGCAGTGCTAGAAGGTTCTAACATAAGACTCCGGTCATTTCCCCGGGACTTTTGGCTTCAAACATCCACAAGATGTCGAATGAAACAGTTGAAGAAGGGCATGTCGCCACAGGGATTGAACAAAATGAGAACCGCTCTACCTTGTACAAGATCTGGACGGATTCTTGGTTCCAGATCATCTTGATTAGTTTCATCTGCTTTTGCTGTCCAGGAGTGAGCTTGAAGAGAATCCTATTGTAAAATATAGGTGAACTGGTGAACTAACAATAGTAATAGATGTACAATGCCCTCAGTGGTCTTGGAGGTTCCGGTCAAGTTGACCAGACCGTCGCTGCCAATGCGAGTGTAGCCCTTCTGGCTTGTACTGCGGGAACAGCTCTTTTCATTGTCGGCCCTATCTTCGATCGTGTTGGACCCAGAGTTTGTCTCTTGCTCGGAGGATGGACATACGCATTATACTCCGGTAGTCTTCTGTGTTTCAATGGTATGTTCAGCTGCCAACCCACAGTATGTCATATATGCAGCTAATGTGTACTCCAACAGCAACCGGCAACGGCGGATTCGTGATTGCCTTAGGTGCCATTCTCGGCGTGGGTGCATCGTTCTTATGGGTGGCACAGGGTGCGATCATGACGACCTATGTGCCCGAGTCACAGAAGGGTCGCGCAATCGCAGCCTTCTGGATTATCTTCAATCTCGGCGGTGGTGTTGGATCTCTCGCTAGTTTCGGCCTCAACTTTAAATCGAAGAGTGGAACTGTCAGCGACGCAACATACATTGCCTTGCTTACCATCATGGCTTTCGGATGGGTGCTAGGAGTGCTAATTTGCCCGCCATCGTATGTTAGAGTTGCCCAGATGCAAGTCACACCGGAGAATGAGAAGAACTTCCGTCAGATTATTCGCCATTCCCTGCAGACTATCTGCAACTGGCGAGTGCTGTGCATGCTGCCACTCTTCTTCTCGGCCAATGTCTTCTACTCTTACCAGCAAAATGCTGTGAACGGTATGAACTTCAATATCCGGACGCGTTCGCTCAACGGTTCGCTTTATTGGATTGCGCAGATGTTGGGTGGCCTTGTCATGGGTCTCATTCTCGATATCCCCGGTGTTAGCCGACCAAATCGCGCTCGCATCGCGTGGCTATTCTTGTTCGTCACTGGAATGGCCATCTGGGGTGGTGGTTATAAGTTCCAAGTGTGGTCTGACCTCCGTCTGGAGCAGGGCCTTAAACAGGATATCGATTACACAGATTCTGATATCTCAGTGGGCCCGATGTTCCTCTACATCTTCTATGGCGCCTATGATGCGTTGTGGCAATCATTCTGCTACTGGCTCGTGGGTGCCCAGTCTAATTCCCCGGCCGCGGCGGCCGTTCTGGTTGGAGCATACAAGACCTTCCAGAGCACTGGTGGTGCAATGGCGTGGCGTATCAATGCCATGGAGAAACCCGCGATGACCCAATTCGCTATGAACTGGGGACTTTGCATGGGCTCGCTGGTTATTGCTATCCCAACCGTCCTGGCTATCACTTTGACCAGTGATAAAGAAACACCAGCAGTCCATGAGAAGGACTTCCCAGAGACGGAGGAGTCCCGGGAGGTAGTAAAGTCTTGATTTTTTGTATATCAACTTCTGGCCAGGGAACAGTGCGGAAAATTTGCCGTCGAAGAAAGATATATGTAAAGTAGAAGACTATAGTAACTTCGGAAGATTGACACTGCAGATCAGCTTGTTCGGATTGAGCCACGATTCGGATGATCGGAGATCACGATTAGGGATACATGATTAGGAATATATACACGCCATGTCCCAACCGAAAATTCAAGATCATTTTGTGTTGATACATTCCGTCGCCCGGCGGTTCAGAGTCCTTCGAGTCACCTTACTTAATGCACTTCTTCAGCACAGCCGTTTCCAGCAGCAACTTAGTGTACTGACGGTGTGCCCAAGCGATTTTCTCATCCATGGGCGCACCTTCCGCCTTTCCAAGACCCTGGTAGAAACAGCTCTTCAGACTGAATTCGGCCACGCCTTGGTCCCGCTTGATCACAGCAGCGATTTCGAAGAGGCCGTCGGAGGGACGGACTTCACGGATGCGTGGGGAGTCACCACAGCGAACAACAATACGGTCTTCGGTCTTCTCGACGACTTCAAAGTGATCGGTGACGATGGTTCCTACTTCGTATTTGTTCGAGAGGAGATCGGATCGGTCCCAGAGGTGGTCGGCAGTCTCGGGGCCACGGTACTTTCGTTCAAGAATGGCTCGTTGGGGAATATATCCTGGAGAGAAAACGAAGTTAGGGAATGCTGCATTGTGACGAGGCTGGTTTCCCCAGAGTAGGACTTACCCATGCCACCCCAAACACCGGCACAGAACGCTTCCACCAATTTGCCCTTCTCTTCGATCAATGAGGGCTGGATCTTGTCTAGGGGAATGCGACGAACGCAGAGATCGTGAAGAGTTGGGTTGTTGCTCGGGTTGAACTTCTTGAAAAAGGCCGATTGGAAGATGGGATCGGAGCTGTCCATGGTCTCGAAAATGTCATTACGCGTGGCACCCCAGAAGACACCGACCGAGGCAATGCTGCCCGCGACGGTTGTCTTGACCAATTTGCTGAAAATACCCATGGTTGAGGAGAGAAAGGGAGGGGTTGGAAGTATGTGAGGAGTAACAAGAGGGGAGCGAGTGCTTGGGAGCGACAGCTCTCGGGGAAAGCTCCGACTGCCAAGACCAAGGCCTTCATATCCACTCCGCATTTCACCAACTTCAGCTATCCCACGCGACCTTGTTGCACACTTCCTTTAAACAATACAGATCTCTATTTTTCTTCCTATTTAGAGGCAATTCAAATTTATTTTTGGTACCGATTTCGAAGATTATAGAAGTTGTTTCTGTTAACATCTGCGTGAACAAAGCCAAGTAGGTGTAAATGGCACACCCGACTGAGGTTTGGCTCCGGAACTCTATATACCAGGACTGAGCTTCAATAGGCCACAAGCTGTACTTGATGAGGTACCTAGGTACTGCTCGATACTAGAACCCATGAAGCTGTACTCTTACTGCCAATTTTGGAAGGAAGGCGTGTACTTGCCGAGACTGCAATTGAGGTGTCTCTTGGTCTAGAAACCAGCATATGGTTGTGTCTCTTAGAATATCTTGTAATAGGATGGAGTCGAAAAAAGGCAAAGAGACAGTCGAAAGACTCTATATAGAGGCTCATACAATCAAACCTCGGTGATCAAGATAAGGAGTACATAATCGTAGAAAAGTATTCATATATGTATCCAACCTTGGACAAGCTACTCGGAAGGATTGTTCAGAAAGTTCTCAATTGGCCAATTCAACTAGTTATCCCAAGTTGTTGACAAGGTAGCTCTTCCTTTCACGCCTCTCTTTATTTTTCTTCCTTCTCACATCAAAACACGAGATCAACCATTATCCATCGCCCATCGGATCGAGAGCAATCATCCAGTTCATATCTATTCCATTTTGTTACCTTCTCGCATAAAAATACGAGATCATTCATCATCTAGTTGATCTCATCCAAAACATCGTATGAGTCGTCCCAAACTCATGTGCAATCATGGATAAGTAGGCTACTCTCGGCTGCTACGTAACATGAGAGCTACACTAACATATTCAGCCATGCGGCTCTGCCGCCTTACTCTGCGACTAACAACCCTGTTACCTTACCTCCACCCTACACGGGAACAGATGAGCGTACCCCAGGCCCATGGTCTGTCCACGTGAAGACCTTGCCATGGCTCGCTGCCCGAAAAGGCAGCTTCATCAAATCGGACTTCCATAAATTTCTTCCGACTATGGAACCTCGCCGCGAGCCTACCTTACGGCCTGACAACGTGTGAGATGCTGGCAACTTCAACAGGCTTTTTGGATCCAATATTGCGAATGCGGAAGCAATTTATATGCAGATGGTTGGACGATGGGCCGAGCAGGAATGCACCCACTGTCAACAAGAAGAGGGGCCGTTCCCTCATTGCGTTGTCATCGATACCCTCGGTTGGCCAAAAAAGTGTGCTAACTGCCACTGGGGCGGTAATTCTCGTCAATGCTCCGACTTCATTGAACGCCCTGACCAATACTCACGGCCCATCATCCCACACGCCAGCTTTCGTCAGCCAGCACCCTCTGTGCATGATCGAGACTTAGCTCGGCGGCTCGTAAACGACCATCAGAACCCCCCTTCAGGAGTTGAATACTCTGCGCTCCATCATCGTTGATCTTACCTCTGCCATTTCGTATGCTGATCAGGCTACACACGATAACCTTGAGGCGTGGAGAAGTTCACGTGGAATGGCCCAGGAACTACGATCTCGCCTAAATCAGGGGGATCATATTCGCACCTCAGATGTTCGACGGGTCCGGGCGCAGATTCTAGCTGGGGTCGGTCGAGGTCATACCGTTCAATTCGCTGGACAGGCAGTTGCACGGCACATCCAGGATCTCCAAAGCGCAGTTGATGCTCTTGTTCACCGATATAGCGAGTAGGAGCGGTATCGCTTGCTCTTGTTTACTTCATTTTCATCTTCTTCTTGTCTCATTTGTACTTACGCCGTGACCAGGGTGACCTGGTCTTCGGTCTTCCAGAGTTCTGAACTCCAATACCGGTGTTTACGATAGCTACAAATGAAGTTATTCTATCAATTCTCAATAATAATCACTTTTTCGGCTATAACATATAGAAGAAAAGATATATCTAAAAGAGAGAGATGAAAAGACATCCAAAAAGAACATGCTGCATATAAAATTCCAGATATTATCTTGAGCAAGGTCCTCATCGGTGACTTACTATTGTGCATTGTGCGTTCATATAACTGGCCTGATGCTACCATCTTTCACTGGGGTTAAAGAATGGCGAATCAAAATCCGAAATTTCTGATTGGCTGTCCATGTAGTCTGTACGGGGTACTCAGATACACTCAAATATTTGCCCTAAGTCAAAAATGGCGGATATAGGTCTCCGTATGTCCATAGATTAGGCATCCCGATGCCGACCCGTGGACCCGGCCTTGGTAGTACAGGTCCCGGTAATTCCAATTGAAGCCGGAAAATTCAACCACATGGAGTGGAGATCCATGGATCACCATACAAATTCCAAGGTTCTCAACCAGATTTATATCGACCACGGTTACAAATTCTCAAATTGTCAACCTCTCAACCTCTCAACTTCACAACCAGAGCTCGTCTACCCATATGTTTTAAAACGGTGGATACTCGCCTCAATTTTCTCTGAACTACGAACCACTAAATATCTCAAATATGAAAACCAGTCAATGTTCTCCCCACAAACAGTTCCCCATATTCACGGGGGTTATTCCAAATGCGTCTAACAGTGGCAGAATATGTCGAAACCCTGGAACCCTGGAAGCCCCACGTGCACGCCCAAACTTCGATACTGGGCTCTAATTCGCACTTCACATGCAGGGGCGAGACATAACCTTGGAATGAACCCAAACTTGTGAACAGATGATCGGCAATATCGTGCATTTTACAATTTTGCGACTGTTTCTACCGTTGGACATGACCCATGTGTACCACCGGTAGACCCCAGGGCACCCTAACTGAGGCCTCAATCCGGACAATTGATTGACATGAAACATCAAAATCAAGCTTATCATCGAGGGCTTGGATATCGCGAGCCCTTGGAGAATAGATCTAGCCGATGACGAGCTCCAGCGATCGCCATACTCAACCAGTCAACGGCTGTTCTCAAGATAAGGAACAAAAGCATCCAGGAATAGACCCACTGTATACAGAGGCAAGCGGTAGTTGTTCGCTCTGGAGAATCGATGATGTGCTACAGCTGACGAAAGATATAAAAACCCCTCAATGCCTCTGTTCAATTCTTCTCATCAAGCAGATCTGGTATCCTTCTTGTATACCAACATTATTTTCATTTCATACAAGCCTCCCTCGCTGTGCGAGCTTCATTGACCAACAATCTTTCATTTCTTCAATATCTCCAATACTTCCTTTCAATCCTTTTGCAAGATGAAGACCTCATTTGCCGCTCTTGCTCTCGCTCTCTCCGGCTCTGCCGTGGGTGCCCCGTTCTCTAACAGCACTCACATTGCATCCAACTCTTCTGCTGTGTCGACCAAGACGCCTCTCCCCGGCCTTTTGCTGCCTCCAGCACTGCCACTCCATCTTCTGGATCTAGCCATTTGGCTTCGGAGTCTATCCCTAGCGGCAGTGGGGTGAAGCGCGGAGAGGCCATCTCCATCCCGACGGACCTTCCGTCGCTGGCTTCTGATGCCCAGTCAGTGGCTGCAGCCCTGGCTTCTCTCGGTTCTGGCGCCCAGAAGCGCGGCGAGTCTTTGTCGATCCCCACGGACCTTCCGTCCCTGTTGGAAGATGCCCAGTCTATCGGCAGCGCTATCGCTTCTGCGGGGGCCCAGAAACGCGGCGAGTCGCTTTCCATTCCTACCGATATCCCCTCGTTGGTTTCCGATGCTCAATCGGTCGCGGCTGCGCTTGCCTCCGCTGGAGCCCAGAAGCGTGGCGAGTCTCTCTCGATTCCTACAGATCTTCCTTCCCTGCTGGAAGATGCCCAATCTATTGGTAGTGCTATCGCCTCTGCTGGTGTGCAGAAGCGCGGCGAAGCTCTCTCAATTCCCACCGATGTTCCCTCCCTGCTGGAAGATGCCCAATCCATTGGCAGTGCTATCGCCTCTGCTGGTGTTCAGAAGCGCGCCGCCGAGACCCTTCCTCTCTTGACCCCCACTGGTACTCCCACCCCTACCGCTCCCTTTGGAACTGGCTTCCCTAAGCCTTTCAGCGGTCTTTTCGCATCCCCTTCTGTGACTGCTTCTTCTTCCGGTATTGCATCACCATCTACCCTCCTCTGATCTGAATGCTGGTCATTTCATTTCAGTGCCTTCCAGCTATGTGAGTAGTAGAACTTGACCGTTGTTCTGTTTGAAACTATTGGTCATTCCTAGACATTGTTCCGAATCATCGCTCTTGAATTGTCGCTCGTTAATCGTCACTCGTTTCACTTGGGCATAAATGGTTGTTTTGATGTTTTGATGTTACTGCTAGATCGCAACCAGAATGTATTATCAGACGATCAATTGAAATCTCACTAGAATTTGTGATCACATGACATACGTCTAGATTCGTAGGATTCTCAGGTTAATAATAAACACAATAATATAGATGTTTTAGTTTGAACGGAATACGGGATAGGTACTCCACATCGCGTGTTGTTTGAAGTCGATCGGGGTCTTGTTCAGGATTGCTCCGCCCCACGTGCGGGTACCGGCACAGAGAGCACAGCCACAACAAAATCGATTCTCCCTCTTTTCCTTCGTCATGTCCCAGATCCATCTCTTGTTCTTGGCTTTGGCCTGGTCGATCTTTTTATCCGGTTTTTCGGGCTTTCCTAGTGGTCTCTTTTCGCTTTGTCTCCGTAACCTTCTCTCTATCCCCTTTGTCAGAACCATGGCCCGTCGTGTATGCATCAGAGTCTTATTGAGTGCTTGAAACTTGATTTGGCAATGCGCCTCGATTGTATCAAATACATTGTCCGCCTTCGGGACCTCATCCAGCATGTCCGGTAGTGTTGGGGTAGGGCGCTGGGCCCGACTTACTGGTAAGTGGTGATTCTCGTCTGACATCCCTTCCCCCTTTTCCCATTGCCGCTTCATCCTCGCGAAGTATACGAGTATACGCTAATCGAGATGTGAATTAGGTCGTTTGCCACAATTCCGCCGTCAGCCTCGAGGTTGGCGCCCTGTGGCTCTGCGCCCGCCATACCTGATCTCTCTGATATGTTTGATGTTAACAATGCTCCTGACTCTGGAAGGGTTGCGGCAGTATAGCGATCGCAACGGGGGATTGGTCTTTTTTGACTATACGGAAGATGTCAACGACGTACAATCTTTTGCCTACAATTACCTCCCTATCATCATCTCCCTCGTCCTCGTCTTAGTTTGGACCGTGACCGATTTCGATGTCCTCCGCCTGGAACCATATTTTCAGTTGTCCCGACCCGAGGGAGCGCCGGCGACAGTTCTTTTCATCAACTACAACTTCGGTCAAACCGTTCTCACCCCAATCAATGCCGTAATCCGCGGTCACTGGGTAGTGTTCTGGGTTTCCTTTGTCACACTCTCAATCCGAATGATTCTTCCCGCTCTACAGAGCACGGTATTTGAGCTACGCGAGGTGACAGTAGTCGACGACAGCATTATAAAAAGCTGGGCCGACCTGGTGGATTTGGACACACAAGCGAACATGATCTCATTGCAAGCCGATGTTTTTCACGACGTGTTTTCCTCAACTGAGCTATTATCCCGGTCCCGATCCACCAGGTACGCCGTGGCGCCCGTGGAAATACCCGATAGTGAGCAAGACGACAGCATAGTGTGGACTGTTGACCAGACGATATATTGGGCACACCTTTCATGCGAGAATGTTTTTGTTGGGGAAACGCTCACCGTTGCTATCAATGATCCTGACGGGGTAGATCCTACAGTTTCGTGGAACGCCAGTAGTATTGATTTGGATGATGCATATGGGGGCGCCAACAAATGTGTCCTTGACTTCCAATACGAAAGTGTCTTCTTCCCTGGCAGCGATTACCTCCAAATACGGTATTGGGAGCCGATGATCAGTTCTGCGGCCAGAGAAGGATTTCCGGACCAAACCCAGGCCTTCACGGAAGTCGGCTGCGATCCATATGATCTATATGGTATGCTCATCGGAGTCAATATTACCAACCCAAGCGCGACTTCGACCTCGACCTCAACCGAGTACTCCGCGTCTGGTACAGCTTTTGCCTGTGATATCGTTTATCACAAAGCGGAGGCTCGCGTGACTATGCACTCCAACAGCTCCATAATAGCTATCAAAGTCGATCGAGCCACAACCCGCGAGCTCACAAAAGCCGAGTTCAATATTGATCATTTTCAAGCTCTGCTCTCTCAGCGCGCTCCGTTTACCAGTGACATGCTCTTCATCCATGAAAATGCTACCACGGGGGCTCGCACAGTGACTGAACTCCCTATCATCAGCCAGGACTTAGGAGATATCCAGCCTCTGCTGGTGCTCGACACATCGACCGTCATGACAGAGGCTGAATTCGAATCCAAGATTTCTCGGGACGTCAAGCAGACTTTCGTACTCACCCTCGGTCGCATGTTTGATCCTGATAGTGCACCTAAGGATCTGCCCGCCGAACGCGCGTCGAACAAAGTTGCTATCGCTACCGTTAACTTTGCCGCCCTTTGCTCTGAGCTCATTCTTGCCCTAGCCACTTTGACTACAGTATACCTCCTTTACATGTATAACTCGCGTGAACTGTTTCTCCAAAGTGACCCAGGGTCCATTGGTGCCATGTGCAGTATTGTTGCCGATATCTTTCACCCATCCAACGTCCTCAGTGAGCCAGTGGCGGAATTTCATCAATTTTCCACTCGGCAACTTCGCCGTATCTTCAAAAATGCACGGTGTTATTGGCGACCAGGCCCTGATGGCAACAGGCTGGATATTGTTGCTGACGATGGTTTGTACCACCCCCTCCGTTGGAATGCTACTCATCCTCTAGGATTATGACTGACTGTATTATCAGGATCACCTGTCCAGCTCGGCGAGAACCTCAAAACCCGTGTTGATCCGATGCCTCACTTCCTCGTAATTCCTTTCTTTCTTATTGAATTCTTGGCGCTCGCTGGTGTCATTATCGTCATCGTACTAGTGGTCTCATCTTTGGTTAGAAATGGCTGCTTCCGCGACATGGACCAATCCGGCTCGAGCTTGTCCCAGGTTATCCTTTCCTTCCTACCCTCTGTCGTCGCATCGTCTGTCGGAGCTCTATGTACCTCCATTCACCGAAACCTCAGCGTTTTGGAGCCTTGGGTTCACCTGCAGCGCGGCAACGCCTTGGCAAGGACGTCATTGTCATTGAACTACTCGTCCCAAAGTCCACTCGCCATTTTCTTCAAGGCAGTTCGCAACCGGCAACCTTTGCTGTGTCTTGTATCAATTGCGTGCGTCGCGAACATGGCTTTGACTGTCGTTGCGGGTGCACTTTTCACTCAAGAACTGACAAGCTCAACATTGGAGACCCACGATTTGTCAATGAACTATAGCCAGTCTATATTTTGGCAGACCGACTTCGCTGCAGAGTTCACTGAGTATGATTTGATTCAGAGCAGCATCAGCAGCGGATCCCCTATGCTCTCTTGGACTGGCTCAGATCAGTCTTTTGTCCCATTACACGTCAGCGATCGCAACCCAGATGTGACTTACAGCGCCTCAACACTTGGGGTTGGAGCTGAACTGAAGTGTCAGGCCCTTTCATCGAAAAATCTTGTCTACGATAACGTTAATGGTCAACAATATTGGCGCTATACACTATTTGACGATTCCTCCATGGAATGCATGGCACGCATGCCACCCTTAAAAAGCAAACAGGAAGGAATTTCGCTATCTATTCACTTTCTGTCCCCAGATGACACTGAGGAATCGGACATCTGCCAGACCGCGACTGTTCTAGTTGTCGGCCGTTGGGATTATTTGCCGAACACCCCAGTCACCGATGACAATTCAATTGCATTGCACTGTGAACCCCAGGTGAAGTTGCAAAACTATTCTATCACTTTCGACCGAAAGGGACAGATTGCTTGGTATGACGCTATTCCCAAAACATCCATCACCCATGGAACCATGTACGACAATGCGACCGTTAGTCTCGGTCAGTTCAACAAGGTCTTTGCGGCTATTCCTAGCAGCTTTGTGGGCAATACTTCTATGCAGAACGGAACTTACAACATTTCTTCCTATGATTGGGCAGGCTTCCTTGTTGCCCGTCTCTATGAACATGTGGAGCCCGACTTTGACGCCCTGGACCCCGTTCTTTTGGCCAACATGACTGCCACTGTATATCGATTGGTCTACAGTACCTATTTCTCAATTTGGCGCGATATCTATCTTGAACCTCTACCTCACCCGGTCCCGGCCACAGATGCCACCGTTACCCGCGTTACCTGGCGCATGGTTCAGTCGGCTCCGTCACTTGCCATCGCTCTAGGCATCATTGTATTTGACACGATAGTTGTCCTTTTGGTGTTTGGAACACGACGCGGCCGGTTCCGCGGACCCCGGATGCCGCGCTCCATTGGAGCAATCATTCCCTGGATTTCGCACAGCCAAATGCTTCATGATTTCACCCATACACACGCCTGGAGCAGTGCAAAACGGCATGCTCATCTCGTATCCTTGAACAAACGCTATGGCTTCCGCATGTTCCTGGGTGCCGATAACCGCTGGCGGTTCGCTGTTGAGCAGGAAGCAGAGAACGTTAAACCTGCCGATTCCCCCGACGGCGCCCCAGAAGTTGAAGTGGACAAGACTACCACAATTGAGCTACAGGAGATCCGCAGTTCACCCTCTCCTCTTCTCCTTCCCCCTTCTCCTCCTGATCCCCCTCCACCTCCTCCTCCACCTTCATCTCCACCACCACCTCCTCCACCTTCATCTCCACCACCTCCTCCTCCATCTTCATCCCCACCTCCACATCCACCACCTCCTCCTCCTCCAACCTGATGACAGTACCTCTATGTGCTACGAATTTTCTTCTGATTTCCATGCGTTATATTGTGTTTTGAGGGTATATATTCATTTGAACATGGGCGTTTTTGACTTCGATAACCCCCCTGAGATAGACGGTTGGACAGGCAAGCTGGCCCTTACTTTGTTCACTTTCATTTGGACGTCATGAGCGGGGACGTCACATTGGTACATTGTAAAAAATACCCGAGCCCATGTGTGTGTTCGCTGCAGCGCCTTTTTCACATATTTTGTATTCGGGCTTTGTTTGGAGGTTGCCAATGTGAACAGGCAGTGTTTCGTGTTCCACGTGCATGGGAAAGATCCTTTGACAGGCAAGAAATTTACATTCAGATATATCACGATACTCCGAACACCGCATGAGTCCTACTTCCTCTATAATCGACGCCGAGCAAGGCCGAACGAGACGACAAGGGTATAGTATATTTCGCTACGCACGGCATCCTCAGCGTAGGAAGTGGAGGACTGATCATAGTCTCGGGTACGCTGGACTACCACGGATGATTCAAATAACGTCGATATGGTTTTGGTGGGACTTTTGAAATACATACACCCTTCATTTTATGTAGCTTCTATAGCAAGCTGTACATTATCGAGTTGAAGCCAAATCAAATATCATATTTTTCGTTTTACCTCGCAGCCCTGAGTCGACCATCAACCGCCCGAAGAAGAACGTAGAGAGTCTCCAAATAGGGAGCTTGGATGCCGAGTTCTCGAGATTTCCGCACTGGGAAGCCCAAGATAACATCAATCTCCATTGGCCGTCCACTTTTACAATCTGTCTGCATGCTGCTCCCAATTCCAGGCATGGCATTGATCTTGTCCATAAGCTGATCAATCAGACCATCCTTCAACGGAACACCACAGGCACGGGCGATGTTAATGACCTCCTGCATCAACTGGCGTGTAAAAGGCATTGCATCCTCTGATGACTTCAACCACGACTGTGTATCAACCATAGTGAGTGTGGTCAATGAGTTCCATGCTACGTTCCAGACGACCTTCTCCCATCGCTGAATCTGCATATCCTCAAGGACCTGGAACCGGGTCTTGCCATTGCGGAGAAGATCGGCAAATGTTTCGAGTCGTTTTTGCTCGACTTGGTTTTCGACTTGAGGGTTGGGAAATAAGCCGATTTGCATGTCTTCGGATTTGGTATGTGCGACAATTCCAGGGCTTATCTGCGTGGCTCCTACCCATGTCTGGGGAAGTTAGATGACACTGGAGAAATTGTAGAATTGACAATCGAAATTGAACCCACCACACAAGTTATGATCGAGTTTTCAGGAAATTGCTTTCGGAATGGCTCCTCGTTGCCGACCCCATTCTGAATGATGACAATAGTAGTCTTGCTGTCGATGGCTGGCTGTAGTTTGGCTACTACCTCATCCTGGTCGATTGCCTTATGAGCGCACACAATGTAGTCCACTGGTGAAATGTCCGCAACGGATTTTACCACTTGTTGTCTTGTTAACTAAATGCTTTGCTTTGGGTTGTGGATAGCTCACATACCTCGGTGTGGATAGAAAGTATGCTGGCCGTGATTCTCACTATTGATGGTAATTCCCTTTGGAGTTCAGCTACCAATATTGGCATAGACTAATGAGCAGTAAGATACTCACATTTGCTTTAACAGCCTCATAATTCGAACGTGCCACGACCGTTAGGCGTACACGATCGGAGCGACTCAGGATGAAGGCATAGAAGGAGCCAATCCTATAGAAGTTAGTATAATATCGTTTTTGTGAAATAGGCTTGACTCACGCTCCCAGCCCATATACGAGGATGTCAATTTGATCCGACATTTTGTGGTGGTCAAATACGCATATCCAATACACAGAATAAATGGTATTCCGTTTGAGAGTCGACTTCCAAGGTTCCCCGCATCGGAGGATGGCCGCGTGGGGGTGGGCTGTTCACGGAGAAATGGTGGAGAATTGGGATGATGTACTATTCTTGGCAGTTTATATTCAAGCAAAAGAGCAAAAGAAGTTGGTAAGGCAATGATTCAATTTATAGTTTCACGCTGCCTATCAAGTGCTTCTCCAATCGACTAGTATTCACCATTTCGGGTCTCAACTCTTCGAGACTGCTAACTCCTAGAAAGACCATGTTTGTTTCGATCTCCTGTCGTAGGATCTCAATCATTCGTCGTACTCCATTCTCCCCATATCCGGACAAGCTGAACAAAAAGGGTCTGCCCAATCCAACAGCTGTCGCCCCGAGCGCAATAGCTTTGAGTACGTCGGTTCCTCGGCGAATACCACCATCAATAAAGATCTGCATATTGCTCTCAATCAAGTGAGGCGCGAACTTTCGAATCTCCAACAGAGTCAGAAGTGGTGATTGTGCCCTTTTTATATAAGTGAGTATATATCTCGCGTGGAGAATGGGACATAGTTTGGAGGTATCGTACGTGTCTTGTGAGCGTCCCCCGTGATTTGAGAGTACAATGCCTTGCGCACCATGTTGATAAGCAAGCACAGCGTCCTCCACACATTGGATTCCCTTGACGACAATAGGAAGATCTGTTAGTTGGCGAAGCCATGTCAGAATCTCCCAGTCGATAAATGGAGATATTGAGCTAGCCATGATCTTCGCTACACCCTTTCCTTCCCCAGTATGATGGGTAGCCTAAGACACATTAGTAAATGAAGTGAAAATACAACGATATATACCCAGGCAGACTACATACCGTGACCGTCAAGTTGAGCCGTTCGTCCATTTCGCGTTTCCCCACCACAGGCGAGTCGACCGTAATCCAAATAGCACTAGCACCAGCTCTTTCAGCTCGCCGTATAGTCTCAATAGATTTCTGAATGTCTTTGCTCACGTATAGCTGTTGGAAAATAGGCTGATTTGGAGAGGTACGACTCTTCACCACTTGTTCAATGGGCATGCTGGATCCGTTTGCGAGAACTTGGACTAGTCCTTCCTTACCAGCTGCAGCTGCTAGTGCACACTCGCCGTTTGGATGAGCGAGTTTTGCAAGACCAACTGGAGAGACATATATCGGGAGCGTGGTGGAGTGTTCTAAGATTGTAGTGGTTGTATCTACAGCAAGAACCTTTCGTAGGATACGTGGACGGAGGGAAATCTTTTGATATGCCAGAGCATTATTTCGTTTGCTGATCTCATCATCAGCGCCAGACGAGTAATATGCCCATGTCGTGGCACGCAGCCTTTGATGAGCAACCTTTTCAAAATCATGTAGATTGATCAGACTTTGCAATGGCGGCGGACTGCCATCGTCCAGCTTTGGCTGCTTCTCATCCATCATGTTCGGTTCATCTGCTCGCTTTTCCAATTCGGCGGGATCGACATAACCTTGTAGCGCAGTTTCAGGAAGTGCTTCGCTCAACAACTCCAGCGAGTGAACAGAGTCGAAATCTTCAGTCGCGTCTTTACCTGCACATCTCAAAATCACGGTCGCACCCCCTGGGTGGGAGTCCAAAAATTCTACCGAAGTCAGCTTAAGATCGAAGTCGCTGCGGGTACTGCGAGTCTCCTACCTGTAACATCGTAGACAGCCCCATGGATCGCGACCCAACACGATTCCTGATTGTTATGTCGGTTGATTTCCTGGCGAGTGAGCTTCATGCTGAATTATTAATCTGAATAGCCAACTGCAGCTGGCAGATTCTCATCATAAATGATGACCCCCGTTCTTCCGTGTATAAGCCCGGTGACGATCCCGGGATCCATCCGGGCGTGGGGGTTCACAGCTCCATCCGCAGATCTCGAGACGGGGCAATTTCTCCCGCGGGGGGGGGTTGATCCACTGCCTCCCTGGTGAGGATTTTGGAATTCGATGGAGGCAACCCACGCTCTCGACTTATAGACGAAGTGCTCAACTTGATATTGTATTTTTGAGAACCGCTGTGTGGACTCTTCAAAGAAAATTGAGAATTTATATGGCAGCTTTCGGTATACATCAACACGTCTACTCATTATATGGACCATGATTGGATAAATCCCCTTACTTGGAGTCATCGTTAACGCATGCGTTATGGCTCTCAATAGCAATTAAATTACCCCGGCCATACCAATTGTGAAAATGAAAATTAAATTAACCTAGACCATCTGAAATTTACTATTCATCAAAGGTACCGGCGAATGAGGTCGTTTATTGCAAGGCCAGCCCTGTTGTATGGTTCCCTCCACGTTGAGTGACACATCCATTGGCATGTTGAAAATGTTGGCGTTTGTGATAGATCGCACCGGTTTGAGCTAGCTTTCACGGCGTCTCAGCTTGTTACCCATTAAATCGACTTTTTGTCCCGTCGGGCATCCCTTCCCGCGCTGATCTCTCTGTTCCATACACAACGTGGCATTCTTTTGCTCCGGGCGATTAAGCCGGAATTGCGTTGACCAACACGGGACCCACGATGAAAGCGTTTCGGACCAGGCTGTGTTGGAATGCTCGTAACAGATTTCACTATTAGCCAAGAGGTATTTGTCTGCGCATGAAGGTTTAATATCGCCTTCTTTGCCATTTCGTCGGCCGCCTCATTGCCTGACACTTTGGAATGACTCGGGCTCAAGTGAAGCCCGATATGGACACCCAGACTATGAATGGTCTTTAAGTGGCGACTAATGGCATCCAATTGGCTTGTCACATTGCCTTCGGGGTTGTAGGCCAGGTCAGCTGTAGCACACCTATGCCCCGTGGATTGCCCATGATTCGTTTGGATCGAGGTAATGGTTGGCAGAAGTTTCCACCCTTAGCCTGAATTTCTGTTCTAAAGTTGGTCTCGCGGCTACTCCTGTTGTGAGAAGCGATTTGGTGCACGAGCGAGTCATTGTTGGGTTAGATGTAGGCTATCCGAGTTCGCCTGGCTTTTTCGTTTTTCTCGTTCCAATAATTAGAAGACAAACATAAGTAACTTAATATTCAACTGTCAGCTTGAAAGTGCTTGAAAGTGCTTGACTGGTTGTGATGATCTTTTCTAGAACCCGTACTCGTGGTGCGGTGCAGACCAGGAGGATATCGAGGATATATGGATGTTGACAAAGTTGGTTTGTGTCATTGAGCCATTTTCAAACATGTCAGCTACTCGACTGTGGGAGAAATGGCCATTCTCGTGATGTGATAGAAGTGACATTGCTGCATGTAGTGAGAGGAAGGTTGATGTCGTGCCCAGGCATGTAATTTTAAGAGCGACAGCAGGCAGTACAGCTATGGAAGGTACACCGAAAGGGGAAAGTGCACTTGACGATATACACAAGTTGGTCTTGGGAGTTGATTGACGATCACATTACTGAATTTATAATTGAGCTGTATGTCCTTTTTGATTTCAATTTCATATTTCTTGAAGTATCTTCAGATCTTATGATAGCCCACCTTCCTTGCCCCGCATGAAATGGCAGTTTTCCCACCAATAAACACATCAAAGTAGAAGATGCTTATATACTGAACCGTTACCCCCTCGATGTGACGTGGGGGATCTGACGGCAATCAGCTTAACCGCCCGGACTTCCCCGAAACCCCCGCGTGGGATGCGTTTATGTGGGGTTAGGCCACGAACCTCCTTCAAATATAACTTGGTCGCATCCCAAATTATATTGCTCTAGCTCCGGCATTATACAATATCCGATAGCTTCATTCCGTATCTCACAATGGCCAAGATCAAGTCTATCGAATACTTCCGCGTCAAGCCCCGCTGGCTGTTTGTTAAAGTCACCGATGAAGAGGGGCGCTTCGGTTGGGGAGAGGGTACACTAGAAGGGCATTCTCTTGCAGTCGAGGGGGCACTCGATGAAATTATCACTCGTATCGTGGGATACGAAGCGGAGTATGCTTGAATCTATCGTTTTGTACCATGACCAAAAGGCTAACCGCCCCTGACAGCGATATTCAACACATTTGGCAGACAGTATGGCGGCTTGGATTCTACAGGGGCGGACCGGTATTCATGTCGGCTCTTTCGGGGATCGACATCGCTTTGTGGGATCTGAAGGGTCGAAAGCTGGGTGTTCCGGTTCACGAGCTCCTGGGCGGAAAGGTGCGCCAGAAGGTGCAAGTTTATGCCTGGATTGGAGGTGACCGACCAAGCGATGTTGAGGCTGCAGCGTGAGTTCCCAAAAAGAGAGCAGAGTAAAAGAAATCAGGATCCTAACAACCTCTGTCAACAGGAAAGAACGAATCGCTCAAGGCCTCAAGTGCATTAAGATGAATGCCACTGAAGATGTCAACTGGCTCGACTCACCTGCTGTGCTACAGTCCTGCGTAGAACGATTGAAGCAGGTGAAGGCTCTGGGTCTCGATGCCGGTCTGGACTTCCACGGTCGCTTGCACAGACCTATGGCTAAACAGTTGGCCAAGGCGCTGGAACCGTACCATCCTCTATTCATTGAAGAGCCTCTACTGTGCGAGCATCCCGAGGCGATCAAACAACTTTCCGAGCAGACTACAATTCCTATCGCATTTGGCGAGCGCTTATACTCCAGATGGGATATTAAGAGGTTCCTAGAAGATTCATCGGTAGATGTCCTACAACCTGATATTGCCCACGCAGGCGGTATCTCCGAAACTCTGCGTATCGCAAACATGGCCGAAGCCTACGATGTCGCTATCGCACCTCATTGTCCTCTGGGTCCGATCGCCTTAGCAGCCTCCCTACAAGTCGCCGTATCGATCCCCAATTTTGTCATCCAAGAGATGTCGCTGGGCATGCACTACAATGTTGAAGCCGGAGATATCGATCTGAACAGCTACCTGGTGGATAAGACCGTCTTTGACATCAAGGAGGGATATGTGGCTGCCCCCTCCAAGCCCGGCCTGGGAATTGATATTGACGAAGACCTGGTACGGAAAATCAGCAAGGAGACAGAGCCTTGGCAACCTAAGGAGTTCTACGGACCAGACGGCTCTATTCGAGAGTGGTAATAATGTATCATACGGATATTCCTGCTATAGATAAGTGTTCAAGTGTTCAACATGCGACGCATTCACCAAAGCGGAGACGAAGCAAGCTCGCGATTCAGATCACTAAGAGATATTAGGAGTTTCGCATTTCGATTTTCTTTCTCTTCTTCTTATTTACTTTCAGGTTCCAAATAGTAATATTAAATGGTAATTTAGGCATTATAATGGCCGGCCCTTGATCCGTATGACATGTACGTTTCGTCATCTCGACATGTAACACACCCGCGCAAGAAGTTCCCGCAACAACACGACAGGTTTAGAAAATGATGATGATAGTGGTCAAGAGCTAGATAATTTATTCTTCTAATGGAAGACCCCCGACCTCAAATAATCCGGTGCCTGCCAAATATATCCTCTTCGCTGTGTATTCAACAGCTATATAGGCAAAGATACCAGCACATAATGATCCTGCAAGCTTTCCTAGCATTTACAACGCTGGGACTGGCCGCCGAGTATCCCGTTGTCTCCTTGTTCATCCCCAATGCCGACCCTCAATCGTTGTTGGGTGAAGTTCTGGCAGCGGTTCGTATCAATGGGAACAATCCGCGAATGTCCAACTAACTCTAAATAGCAATCGGCAACAACTACATACAGCATCAATTGCCCGGCCGGAAAAACCAATAGCACAGAATGCGGTATGGGCCCTGGCCTATTTCTGACCGCAGCCCCAACAAGTGTCGAATATTTAATCAGTGCCGAATCCGACAACTTGTGCGTTTTCTCGACTCTCGCCCATTTTTGCGAGATGCAATGGCTTACTCTTTAATTCAACAGATATAACCACGTCGTCTGCGATGTGACCGATCTCCCAACAGGCGTTTATACCTGTACAGACACTGTCACCAGGAAAGGGGCCGCTACGCCCGGAACTAGCACTTCAACCATCGCTTGGGACCAGTTATCCCTGTTGCCGGTCACCATAACTTCCACTGCCGACGTGGTCGCAGCGACAGCAAACGGGACCTCTCTAGGTACTACCCAAGTTGTGTCCGGTGGTGAGGCATCACCCGTTGCTGCCACCGCCACGACTACCCCCGCGGCGGGTGCTACAGTCGCCACTACCGGCGTTTCAGGCGTAGCTCAAAGGTCAACATCTACTGGTCTTCTACTAGCTTCTGTCGTAGTTCAAGCTCTGACATCATTGCTGTAGTGATTGTACTTGATCCTCCATTTACCTGGAATTCGCTGTCTTTTAATATTTCTGACATTCATGGGAGAGATTGTTACAAAATATAGTTTAATAAAGCTTAATGTTAATTTAGACTTGAGGGACATTCCAAAGACCTGTACACCTACTACATAATCGGTTTGAGCACATGGTAAACCTATAACCTGCAAAAACTTTGGAACTTACATCCTCCTGGGACAAGTACGACTATGTTTAAATTCACAAACCCTAAACCCTGTCGATAATATATTGGGTGAACTACATCTCAACCCTTATAAGGTTACTACTCAACCCACTCTACAGGCTGTGGAGGGACAATAACCATGATCACAGGCGAAACTGCAAAGCCCCAGATACGAATCATCTTCGCCGACAAGCGGTAGCCCATGAGTTCCAGCTGATGGTGGACGCGGGACAGCACTCCCATACTGCGTACAGGTGCAGGGTCCAGATGGACAATACCCATAGTTGCAGCAAAAGGAACACAACCCAACGTAGTTATTGGGTCCTGTTCCTGCAATGCAGGTCCTACCCCCACCTCCGCCACCTCCACCGCCGCCGCCGCCTCCATTGCTACCACCTCCGCCATTTCCACCTCCCCCACTACCACCACCACCGCCAGTTGGGGTTGAACCTGGTGCAGTCTGAGTAACTGTAACAGTAACCACGACAGTTGACAGAGCGCTAGAACATTGACCAGGACGTGTTGTACTCGGGGGAGGACTTGGCAACGTTGTGCTAGTGCTTGAAGATGAAGGAGATGGAGGTACTGTACCTAATGAGGGGCTCGGTTGACATGACTGTACACGCAGGCCTTGTTTAAAGGCAGAGAGCCCATCTTGCAGGAGAGGATCGTTGAATCCTGCTGGAAGGGTCCCGACTACACACCAGTTACTAACGGGATCATACACAGTGATCATATCTTTACTTACCATAGGCGTTGAAGTTGTACAAACCACATACGCAGCCGTTGATAATCTCCTTCAAACTGGTCCCTGATAGAATAGTCTGCCCATCTCGAATAACCGCGAAGCTTTGTGAGCCAACTCCCATTGGCACCTCCTTTGCACTTGCACCTGCTGGTGCCTCGTAATTATAGACAGTCCCGCCACTGTTGACCTGGACTGTGGCTGGAGATGTAAGTAATGAGACAACGAAGACAGAATCTGCCATGGATTCCCATCCATCTGGACGACCCATGAAATAGTTTCCACTCCCATTGTTTGCTGGTACCATGCAGGTATCTGTAGAGTCGCAGTTCACCCCACGTGGTGCAGGTCGATACCAGTAGACTAACTCATCAGACGAGATGTGATTGTTGGGAGAAGAATCGCCTGCTTTGAATGCAGCGATGTATGGTTTTGAAATGTCCAGCCATCCATCGTGAGGCCTATAGTCATCCGTTAGTTGGGTTGGTGAAATGGACATTTTGTCTTTCCAAGAGCGGTTTGGATATTCTCACATGTCGTTAACCCATTTCGAGGCCCCGTCGTCAGTATGTGGTGAGTTCAAAGGGCCGATATAATGAGACTCTCCGTAGTCATTCCATGTCACAATCTCGATAAATCGCGGTTTCAACGCAAGGATCTCATTCCATCTGTTAAACCACAGGAGATCAGATGGGAAGTTCCAATTCTTGCTGTAAGAAACTTCAGGTCCAAAATGGGTGAAAAACCACGGCGATACAGCTGCTTTGCCATCAGAACCTTGATTTAAATATCAATAGGAATGATAACACCAACGGGCAATATAGGCCTTTCCACCAAGGGCGTTGACATATACTCGATCCCCATCAGCCACTGTAACGTTATGACCAGGAGTTGGTGCTTTGTTATCTCCGTTATTTGGCCACGCCATCCAATTCAACAGGCCATCAACCGGCGAAATATCCGTCCCCGTAGCGGGGTGGAAGTTAGGTGCGAAAAAGATTGACCTTCCAACTGCGGCTCGCAAAGCTGCAACATCCATTCCGTCCCCGGCGAATGACGAAACAAACACCTTGTTATCGACGAGAAGTTGTGCAGGCTTGCTAGCATACTGGGCAACCTTCTGGCCAACTGCGGTAGCCTGATCGATATGCCACCAGTTGAAATCGAATGAGAGAAAGACCTTCATGTCATTGTTGGCGGCTGATTCGTATGCCAGTTGGAGTTGTTGGTCAGTATATGGGTCTACACCAATGTTCAGAGCGAATGCATCAATCCCCAGAGACTTGGCACGCTTCATGTCATCATCATAATCCAAGGCACTCTTTCGGTTGCTGGTGATTCCGATCTTGAGATTTTAAGTATATGACAAGCATAAAGGAGGGATTCCAGGGCATGTTTACCATAAAGTGTGCAAAGACCAATCGCTCTGTCGATGGCTGTCTTTTGACATGACGTAGGCCATGATTCCCAGTAGATACTGCATGAACTATCGTAGATAGCAATGCAGTCACGCCTGAAATGAATGCTATCTTCCTCATGGTTTGTAACTTCTGCTAGTTTTTTTGAATTCTTATTCATGGCATCGGCATTTGTTTTGTGCAAGTCTCACACTCTTAAATATATCTTTGATTCACCAGATGACTCGGCACTTTTCGCAGCTGACTTACGAAATTTAATCATCAGGACAATGAGTGTGATGTTTGTTATTTATCTCTCCGAACCCAATCAACGCTTTACTTTCAAGGAGCCATGTGGTTGGTATAAAGCTTTTGATGGGTAAAATCCTAGATTTCATGCTTTGATAACCTCACGATCGGGTGATTACGCCTTTTCCTTTTCATTTAGGTACAGGGTGGCTGCCGGATATTTCTATGGGTAGTAGTGGTTGTCTTTGTATATATATATGTGCCGATGACCATACAAAAATAAGTAGCAACATCATCCGTAATGGTAGAAGGTGTAGAGCAACCAGGCCAGTATGCTCTAACACGAACATAGTAAAATACCGGAATACATGCACAAGATCCCCTAACCCTTACCTCATCGGCATTATATCAGTAACCTCCCGAATGTAACCCACGGACTAAACAATTACTTTTTGGGGATGGTTGTATAGATCACAAAAAGCGGGGCTAGATGCAAGCATATTCTATTATTCTAAATGCCGAAAGCCAAATTGTTAAATGATGAAATGGGAATGGGACAGGAGACTTATGTTCTTGTTTACATGCATACAAATATCCCCTTTTCGGAGAAAATCGCTAGCAATAAAATCCCATGCAGCACCTGATTACTAAATTGTACGACTATGAGGGTTCTTCTAATTAGGGTTTGGTAGCTCCATCGGGAAGTACCTAGGTATGGTAGATGGGAAACTCAATTGATATCAAAGTGATACGACCTATATATTTACATATTGAGAAACCATCAGCAGACTATTGTAGTATTTTGTAGTATTTGCGGGGGTTACATCCGTAAAAAGATTGTAACTCCAAAAGCCACATGGTCTTGTCACAATACCACCTACTTCAGGTAGTTCCCTCTATAATGGAAGTGTGTGCAACTTCAAGTTGCATCATTTCCTGCTGACAGGCACTGAAACGATCCTGAAACCTCGGGACCAATTCCTTGGATGATGTCGAGTTGGTAGAGATAGGCACGTGGCTCTTCTTCTCCCACTTCCTGAACCGGTATGAAGCCCATCCCAAGCTGGGTGGTGCTCGAAAGGTATTCGGACAGAGGCATCAACTGCGTCATTGTGTATCAGGCACATTCTCAAAGCATACTAAGTAATTCGTCACGAGCGGGCACATACTATGCCCTGTTGCCGAAATGCTTAGCATTGCTGTTATTGGTCACATCAAAGGTGGATCTTTTTACCTTTTTTTACCTTTTGATGCCTGAGACATCGGGCCACAATCACAAGTTCCCACCTGGTAGTTATTTTGATCACACAACCTAACCTTAGAAGCGATTCGATCCTTACATGAATGTCGCATATCTCAAATCCTTTCAGAAATAATCATCATGCATGCATCTTTTCCTTTTGAACATCTCATTTTTCAATGCCCAAATTTTGTGGGAATGGCGCGATTTTTAGTGTCTTGGCAGTACAAATTCCAAAAATAGTTGGTACCCGCTAGTTGCTCATATTTTGTAGATGAAAAATCAAAATGAAAACAGAAACGAGGCGCGGTCACGGTTATGAATCTATGAGAGGCAGTGCAGAATATGCAGGCAAGAGATCGCGTGATATATGGACTACGTAGTATTTTCGAGCCTCTCAAACTTCAACGACATAACACCGTACTGGGGATGGTCTTACTTCCACTGGCTATAATACTTACTTCCACTGGCTATAATATGTGTGCATGTCATTGAACATCACTGAAACTTGAGTTGAGTACTAACCCGAAATAAACGTATATTGAAGCGTAAAATCAGCCTTGTGGCGCGCCGCGCGGCATGTGCGTGTGCAGTTCAACTAAAGCTTCTCCACCCGCCGTCCACTGGCTGATTCCACAACGCTTAGCACCAAAATAAGGCATTAAACCATAGCAGATAGCATAATTAGAGACTAGATTGATAGGGATATTGTTTTACCCGTCAGTCTAAATATACCGCGTGGCTTTTTTTTTTCTTGCGAATCTATCAAATCCTAAAGCCAGCCTTATATTAGCATTCTGATCCTCCTTTTGGGATTCTTCTCCTTTTTTTCTCCAATCCAATTACTGTATTGCAAATCATGAAGCTTTTAATATTCGCACTGTGCACAGTTCTGTGCTCTCGCGTGCTCGGTCATCCCTATGCCTCGGAAACAACGTGGATTCCAGCCACAACGACATCCGTAGAGGAGTTATGGGAAGTCCCAGAGCCGACCGAGGTAGCCCATCTCTACGGTAAACGTGGATATAGCGAGATCCTCCAAGCCAGAGACACCACTGCGACAACCGACTCTACTACATCCACTGACACCACAACTGATACAACTACATCGGAGTCAACAACATCTACGACCACAACCTCCACTTCGGAAACCTCTACCTCTACCTCTTCCACATCTACCTCTTCCACATCAACAACCTCCACATCAACAACCTCCACATCGACAGCCTCCACATCCACATCCACAACCTCTACATCTACCAGCTCGACTACTAGCTCGACTACTACCAGCTCCTCAACGACAACTACTAGCGCCACAACGACAACAAGTAGTGCAACTGCAACTGCAACCAGCAGTTCCACCGCGGCGCTAGATGGTGAGTCGCCAAACCCATGAGGCCTAGAATTTCCATCATACTAACAATACCCAGAATGGAATCGTAAGGGCAACATAGCAGCAATTGTATTCGGCTGTTGCATGATCTCGCTATTTGGCGGCCTCAGCCTGCTCTACTGCTTACGCAATAAAGCGAGGGCACGGCGAATTGCAGCCAGAAAAGAGCTGGAGGCCAGTCCATCATACTCGAAGATACCCCTTGTGGCCGCGAAACACAATTCCGCCACTAACCTTGAACTTAACCGCTCCTCCATGATGTTCACCAACAAGCCAGAGACGGAATACTTCCCAGCACAAGACGCCCCATCAGTTTCAAATCATCACAGTCACAGTCACAGTCACGCTACCTCCACAACATCTCAGACTACGGCGGGTCAATCATCTACTAGAGAACACATGCCGCGAGCATACAGCAATGATCAGCATACGCCTTTGGTTTGAGTTGTTTAATTTGATTGAATATTCGAGTGTTCGCATTGCTTTGGGGGTTGGGGTGTTTTTGGTTGAATATATTCGAAACGTTAGCATTTATAGAGTTATAAAAATAAGATATGAATTCCACTTATTTTTACCTGAATAACCGGTGTAGTAATATTAACAGCAAATACCCAAAGATTAAAAAAATAGCAGCTGTAATCGATGCGCTAGAAGAGTTGAAATTAAGAATTATATCATCTACAAGATCGCACGTAAGGTGCTGGGATGGAGAGTCCCCGCTTGATAGGGCCCCACTGTCCATTGGGTCTAAAATGAGCCACGCGTTCGGGATCTTATTAGAGGATGAATACTTCAGGATCGTTTGCTTGGGGCGTCATTCCTGGAAAGTTGCTCGTTTTCCCTTCCATTTTGTACCCGCCAGAGCGAAGGGCAGATACAAAAGCGGACGTCGAATTTGTAAAACTAATCTTTTATTAAAAGAGGCAGGACGGTTTAAAGCTGCTTTATCGTGATAGTCCGAACAAACCGCCCTTCCACTATTTGAGTTCTGCTTCGATGATGCTTTGTCCATCGCCAGGCGGTGCCCAGAAGTTGATAACCTGGAAACCAGCTCCTTCTAGCAAGCGAGTCCAATGAGACTTAGATCGCTCCATGCTGTTACAGAAGATCATCATTTCCCAATCCCACATCGCCGGCAACATGGCACCATCGCGATCTGCCAGCACAAACTCTTCAATGATCAGTTTCGAGTAGCCTTGCCTCATTGCACCAGCCAGTTGGGTAAGAATGACATGATTTTCCTCGTCAGACCAGTCATGAAGAATGAATTTCATATAATAAATCCGAGCGCCTGAAAGAAATGTCAATGATTACCAAAATGAAGTAGCAGCGGAAGAAACTCACCATGAATCGGCTGCGGTTTGAACAGGTCAAATGCTTGTTTTTCAATACGACCCACATCTACAGTGCTCTCTTCCAAAACATGCGGCAGATCTTCGAGTACCAAACGCCCTAGTACATCAGGGTACCGTGCCAAAAATGCCGCGAGGTCATGGCCTCGACCCCCTGCGACATCAACCATAAGCGTCTCCCCGCGTCGGGATTAGCATCACATAGAAGACGTTCTTCCACCGGGAACCATTCAAGCCAACTGGGTCGTGCCCCACGGTCACCCTCCATGAAGGTATTGCAAGAATCCAGGTTCTCTGGATTTTGGGGCAACCAAGTCCAAATGGACTCATCAATCTTCTCAGCGAATTGTAGTGGGCCTGTAGTGGTACCCTCTGGGTTTCGGTGGTCCTGGCGGCGGAGGAACTCGGGGACTTTGGCAAGAGTAGGCATCCCAACGTCGAATATAAACTTGATCACCGAAATACTGAGTCGGTCAGTCAACTGCCGTGTCATAGTAGTCGCGATATAGACGCGCGTGTCGCATTCGCCAACATAGTCAATTCCAACTAAGATACGCAAGACTCGTTCTATCCGAGAGGTTTTATCGTCAGTTATCCATACAATGCCGAGCAGGCAATAGATAAGAGCTTACCAACTAGGATTGGACTGGCGTTTTTCACAGCTGCCAGATCATTAAGTGACACCGGCCCATTACGCTCCGTCAGCGTGGTAAATATATCCAAGTCGATGGCAATGCGCACACACATGGTGTGAGTAGGCTAGACTAAGTTAGGACCAATATAGTCACCTTGGATAGTCTAATAATTACAGAATATGCCAAATGGTAGACAGAATCCTGCGGTTTCTGTAATGTATTCACCAGTCTCTGCGCTGCCTTTAGCGCGGCGACGCGATCTGTCTCCTCGCGCTGGCTTCGGAAAGCCCCAAGTGACTCCGTCACCTGGTTCTGTAGCTGATCAATTGCCTCGTTGGATACAGTGGTTACCATCTTGTGTATTCTGAATAGGGATACACGTATGTGTGTGTAAAGGGGGTGACCGGGGTAGTTGCGATTAGAAACAAGGTGTAGAAGAACTGCCGAGAGCAAAATTCGAGGCAGTGAAATTGACGGCAATAATGCTAGATTACCTGGCCCTTCATTTTGTCTTGCATTCCCCCCTTTTTGGATGTCTTCGCTAGTCGTCCGCTAAAAGCGAGAAAGTGGATAAACCATGCTATGGTGTGTTTGGTCGACTCATAATATTGCGATTTCTGGCCCCAACCCTCCTGACAAGGATAATGAAAAATAGTGAAAGACGGCGTCTGGACGGTTGTTTCAACCCCAAAGGATTATAAAACGTGACGCTCACAGATTTCCCACATGAAATTTATCTTCCAAGTAAGGCATTATTCAGTCATAACCCTATAGAAACATTGAGTGCATCTTCACCTTTGTAGGCAGAAGTTCACACGTGGTAATAAAGAAAATGCATTGTTCACCAACGGCCCTGGATCTATGATGCTCGGACTCCGGCTCGTGGCAGGCGAAATGATGAAAGTGGAGAGCGCTATACCTAGCTAGTTGACTTCCGGACGCGGACCGCGCTACCAAGATCCTCGGTTCTTGTTATGAGCCAATAGGAATTTCTCACAGACTCAACTGCGGAGCGACATACATATTAGTGACAGGGATGGAGTTTTCAGTATGTCTCAATACCCTGTCGTGCGCCAAAGCAGAATTTTACGAATATACCCGTTCACAAATAAGGGGTGCTTTGCAACCATCATGGTCGGCGTTTGAGGGTTCTCTTCCCCTTTAAGGCCTTCAGGTGGTGATAGCACTGACCGAAAATTCGAGATAATACAATGAACGAGCATGGCGTCAATATCACAGCAGTGTCATGGTGCTTGGGTGGTGTTGCCCTAGCGGTTGTCGGTGTGCGATTGTACACCCGTGTGGTAGCGCTGCGACGTGCTGGTTGGGATGACTTCTTCATTGCTTTGTCATTAGCAAATGCCCTTGTATGCTCGTCTTTGGTTCAAGTTGGTGTTTCTTACGGACTGGGACGCCATTTGGGCGACATTCCAAATGCGTATCAACAACTTCAGGCAATTAAGTATACAGTTATAGCACCCAACTTCTCTGTTGTCAGCACCACAACTGGTAAGGTGAGTGTGACTATCTTCCTGCTCCGGCTCATGGGACAATCTGCATCTGCACCGCGGCGATGGTTCCTATACATAATGATGGCGGTGTCAATAGCGTGGAATGTGTTGGCCATTGTGGTCATCATTGGATTTTGCCGACCTCCAGAGCGTATCTGGAACCCAAAGGTGGATGGCTCCTGCTTCAGTCTCAACTTTCAATTGGTTGCCGGGACATCCCAGGCGGCCTTTAATGCATTCAATGATCTGGCCCTCGCTGTTTTCCCGGCTTATATTTTTTGGCATGTCCAACTCGCCTCTAAGATGAAAGTTGCAATCATCTCTGTCATGGGAGCTGGTATCTTGTATCTCACTCTTCTCATCACCCGTCAGAGACGTTGGGCTAACTGAAAAGTGCGGCGGCGGCCACGCTGGTCAAATGCATTCTGCTGAAGAACCTCCCTGCCCATGCCGACATCACCTGTGAGTGATCCTCAACTCTTGTGTATTACTGCACCCACCTTCTAACTGCATATAGGGTCATGGGCTGACATCACTATGTGGTACACGTAAGTTGTACATTATAATCATCTGCGCATCATTGCCTACTCTCCGACAGTCCTACTCAGTGGTCCTGCAGCGCTCCCGCAAAAATTCGGTCTACGCGCGCACAGAGTCTGCCCCTCGACAGAGGCCAATCCCCCTTGTCCGTCGTGCCCCAGATGCTTCGTTATTTGTCACCCGCACCGAGCTGCAAGTAGACCCAGAGGACAGCCGTCATTCTAGCCAGGAGAAGAGATTGGAGCAAGTGGGAATACAGAAGACCACAGAGGTTCATGTGTTTCAGGAACCTCGGCGGGAGAACGAGGGGAATCCACATTTCCCACAGTTGAATCCCTTTCGAGGCGTTTGAAAAAAGACCACATGCAGGAAATTATCCTACACGGTGTACCTACATAACCGAATTTGCGACCTATGCGGCATAGCCGATAAGTCAGCAGCATACGTAAGTCAGCAGTGAGGAACACTCCTTGCGCTATTCACATTCAAACGGAAGATTGAGGAGTTATCGGCATGAAATCAGTGCCGATAATACAGCCAATGTATTCGCACTCCACCTTATCCGCTCTCAATACTATGTGCTATCATATAAATGGCGGAAAAGGTCCCAAATGCGGGGTTTCGCTCAGTAGGATTGGAGAATGAGGGGACAAAAAGAGAGAAAAGATTATAAATATACCGTGACGTGGTATCTTCACTCTTTATTTATTTTTGCTAGATTAAAGCATTATTTGTCACAATGTCATCAAAAACGACTCGAGTGGCAGTCACTCAAGCCGAACCAGAGTGGCTAGATCTAAGCGCTGGAGTGGTAAAGACCTGCAACCTCATCGCAGAGGCTGCCCAAAATGGAGCTAAATTGATTGCCTTTCCAGAATGCTGGGTTCCTGGATACCCATGTTGGATCTGGTAAATTCAGTCGAAACTTTTACAATGATCCTTAATAACGAGTAACTCGCCACAGGAGCCGGTTTCTCGATGTCGAGCTAAATGTGGCATACATCAAGAACTCGATTACCCTCAATTCCCCAGATATGAACCGAATTCAGGCATGTGCGAAGAACCACTCGATTGCGGTCTCACTGGGCTTTTCGGAGAATGACAGCAACTCTATCTATATCGCCCAAGTAATGATTGGCGGCGACGGAGAGATCAAGTCACACCGCCGAAAGATGAAGCCTACCCACATGGAGCGTACCATTTTTGGAGATTCCTCCGGAGAATGTTTCTCCAGTGTTGTGGAGCTGCCCTTCGGGCGTGTTGGGGCGCTCTCTTGCTGGGAGCACATCCAGCCGCTGCTGAAATATTTCATGATATCTCAAAGAGAAGATATCCACGTTTCTGCATGGCCTAGCTTGACTCCTCATACTGGAAAGACTGATCTCTGGTCTATGTCCGCTGAAGGTAATCAATACATAATGTGCTCCCAATTCGCACGCTGACTTACTTTTTAGGCTGTCACAGTTTGTCACAGACATACGCCGCGGAGTCGCAGAGCTTCGTTCTCCATTGCACAGCCGTAATGGGTGAAAACGGGGTAAATGCATTGAACACGAGTGGGGGAGTCTTGATGTCTTCTCCGGGAGGAGGTAGCTCTGCGGTCTTCGGTCCTGATGGGAGGAGGTTGACTGAACCTCTTGATAGCACCACCGAGGGCATAATCTATGCAGAACTTGACATGAACCAAATTGTGGCGACCAAGATTTTTGCAGATGCCACGGGTCACTACAGCCGCCCGGATCTTATGTCGCTTAATGTGTGCAACAAAGTGAAAAAGATGGTTCAGGTTGATACGGAGACAGCTGTGACGACTGCGGAGTAGTCATGATATATGTATAATGCTATGAATCACCCGGGAAATTCATTACAGAGTTCAAATTTCTGTATAACCAAGGCCAGGATGTTAATGTATTGCTCTAGGGCGTGTATATGGTAAAGCATAGCCATCCCGAGCAGGAGTAGAATTTTCCCCAACACTGCTTTATTCTACACGGCACCTTTTTTTAATCTCGGTCGTCCTTATTCGGCTTGGGCATAGAATTATGTCAAGTTAGAGAGAGAAACCGACGGGGAAATCTCAATTGGAGTTCAATTAATGGCATGCCAATATCCGCAGGAGTTCGAGGGTGTAACTCTTTCACGGTCATTTATTTGTATTTGAAACGACCATGAGATCAGGATGGGCAACAATTTGGAACCCAGCTTTGCTTCTCTCGAGTTTTCTTCGGTTCTGTTTCCTCGTCACCACAGCCAATGGACTCCTTCGTGACACTAGGATTATCAAGGTAGCTCTCGCGGAACACTCCGATGGATAGAATGTTTAGCCTAAAGTCGCCTTGTTGAGCCCCAAAGAAACTGCAGAATTAGTACCCATTTTCTGGTCTCCCTTGGTATGAAACTCACCTCCGAATCATGACCCGAAACCTCCTTATGTGCGACAAGTCCAATGGCCTGGCATCTTCTACAGGCTTCCCCCGATACGTCGGTTTCAGATCCTTCCATGACAGACGCACTTCCCGCCCTGTCTCACTGGCACAAAAATCATATTCCCAGACAAGAACACTTTGTTCACGACCATCTGGCCTCCGTTGTGGGATTTCGTCTGTAAGGGAGAAAGTGTATCGATTTCCGTCTAACGGAACAATGTGTAGCTCAACACCGTCGTGTCCGGTGAGGTCCCATACTTGTTCGTTTCCGACCGTGCGTTGTGAGGCAAAACCGGCGTCACCAAGTGTTTCAATGTCGAGATTGCCGTGAAAAAGCACCCCTTCCACCGTACGCTCGAGATTTGACACAGACGACCCACCACGGACGCGGTCGTCAGAGGCGGTCCAGAGATTGAGGTCCCAATCAGGACCGAAAATTATTTGCTTATTAGTAGAGTATTCCATTGTAAAGGGGAAGTTTGTTGACAGTCGAGGCCAGTCGACGTGTGTTAGACTGTGGGATTGTCGCAAACTGCGATCTGCCCAGGTGCAATCCGATCGATCTAGTTACATCGATCGGCTGGTTGATTCGCAGGGTGACGTCATTTGTTGACCGACAACCAAATAGTGAAACCTGAAAAACAAGGCGATGAGTGTCTACTTTGTAACTAGTTAACTATTCTACTAGAGGTTGGAGTTGTGCTCGATCTGATCTGAAAAATAAAATTGGGGTATATTAACTGTTTTCGTCAACTCATATCTATTAAACATCATAACGTTTCTTTTCAACATCATAAACCGGCGAGCATGCCAATTTACTCCTCTCTCGCAGCCATGGACCGTATACCTTGAACAGAACAGGAATAGGGATCATCACAACTGCGATACATCCAAGCATTGTGCCCGCCCATTGGACTCCGAGGTTCTCCATCATTTGCCGGGAGAAAAGAGGGAACGCGCAGCCAATAGCTGATCGTAGGATGGTGTTCGCGGCAATAGTGGATGCAGCCCTGTCAATTGGGTTAGTCACTTGGTTTCACAGGAGAGAGGACAAGGTAACATACAACGAAGGATAACAGTCAACGATATAATTGAAACATTGCAAGAAGATCAAAAGATCCCCGCTCCAGTGAGGAGCCCTGAAGCTATAGGAGCCATCCAGTGGATGGATGAAGTGTATCCGGTCCAGCCGAACCTGTCAGGTATTAGCTCGGAACGCCAAAAATTGACGTTTCAAGGAGGGTACTCACCAAAACATTCCCCCTGCAAAAAACACAGCTCCTATAATCGCTGGCCCAAGGCGCCATTCGGGGATAGGCTTATCACCGTTTGCTGCCAGCTTCGCCTTATATGAGCCCTGTATGAAGAGGATATAAACGCCACCAAGAAGTTCGCCGATAATGAGACCGATAAACGCAAGTCCACCGACACCCATACTCATTCCGTAGACGCCTTGGAAGACAACAGGGTATGCTCCTAGCAGAGCATATATGAGGCCATAGACGAAGGAGATGTACAATGAAACCAAAAGCAGTATGGGCTCTCTAACCAACATCACAAGGGGTCGGGCAAAGTTGTTCCGCAGAAGCTCCGCGAGATCCACTTCCACTTCATCTTGCTTTGCATGGATGCCCCAATTACGAGTCTGTCGGCGTAGGGTAGCTGCCTTGCGGACGAGGATGACTGGAGCATAAGTCTCCTCGAGGAAGGCAAAGACGAGAACGAATCCTAGGAATACCATGATTGCAGAGATATACATGATCCAACGCCAACCCAGAGAACTCATTGCAATGAAGCCGCCCACAAACGGTGCCGAAAAGGGTCCGATGAACACCGCCATGCAGAAAATTGACATGACGACACCCCGTTGTGTATTGTTGAACAAGTCTGCGAACACAGCGGGAACAACTGAAATTGGACTGGCCGAGAATAGACCAGCAAAGAAACGACAGATCATGATGGTTTGTATATCTTTGGCAACTGCACATGCAACGGTGAAGATAGCACATCCGAAAAGTCCGAGAGATAGTGGCCAACGCCTGCCGATCAGCTCTGATCCTGGTGCCCAGATGGTTGGCCCGGCTGCGAATCCAAGGACATAGAGTGTCACTCCAAGTGAGCCAACTTCGGTGCTTGTGTTGAATTCCTTGCTGAAGCCAGAGATAGCTGCCGAGAAGACAGCGCTGGTAAACGATCCGGCGAAGGTACCATAGCATAGGATGCAAACTAGCATTATTCTGTTGGGATATTAGCAAGTGTATTTTGGCATTGACGGGGAAGAAGGATAGTGGACATACCGCCTAGGTGTAGACCAGTTGTATGGATGTAACGGATCATTGGCTCCATCAAACTCCACGACGTAGTCTTCAGAGTCCGGGAGTAGAGGTGGATAGTCTTTGTTGGCACCCATAGGAAGCCATCTGTCACGGGGAGTAGGCCCTCTCGTAGAGCCTACTGTTGTTTTCTGTTGCAGTCGATAGGTGTTGATACGGGTAAGTTCGAGAGAGTTGATTTGTTCAATTGTGTCGTCGGATTCATTGCTGCGAGAGTCGATAGGGGAGTCAATATCTAGCTCATACTTGTCTGGGTGTTGGTTGAGATGCTCCATTGTATGCTGTCATATCAAGGTTGGGGATTAGACTAAATCTTTGTGTGGAATTATATAAATCTCTAGTCGAGGAAGGCAACGTAGTATATATCCCCGTTTGTGTCGGCCCATTGATCACATTTTTTCTTCCTAGTCTTCTCGGTCTTCGGCCCAATCCTTGATCCATTGTAAAACGGGCCCTGATTACGGCAAAGCGACTTCAACTAGGGCAAAAAAACACCTTTAGAAGATCCATACTTTTCCGCTGTGGCTTAAAGTGCTTTAAATATCCACTATCCAGTCACAGTGCCCTGACAATGCAAGTAAGTGACCAGTTAGAAATCATGTCTTGCTCGGCTAGGATCGGAGGTGTGGCTGGCAGCCGCTGTGGAGTGGTCTGCCGAGGACAACCGTCCATAACCGTTATCAATTTTGTCTCGGGCAACGAAAACTCTTCAATATCATCTTGTTTGCAGGCTGAAAATAATCAACAATGACACCATGTCTACATTGTAGACTGCTCTTGGACCGGTCCCGACTCGCCACGTGAAACTGGTTGTCGTGTTTCCCGTGCCGAAGCCGTCGCGGGCGGAGATCGGGATTCGGGACCCAGTTCCACTATATAACGGGATACACTCACTATGCATATGATAAACAACCTTAGAATTGTTGCGATGGATTTATCGCTGGCTTCACAACCATAACTGGCGGTCTTACCACAAGATCCATATATGATTTCGGACTACAGAACCTCATCTTTCCCGTAACTACTCCATATCGATATCAGTCACCCCCAATACTGCCTATTCGGGAAGCGTGAACAGCTTTAGATTTACAGTTTGTTCATGTCCCTAAACCTGGTAGGGTGATGCGTTTTGCTTGAGTGGACATTTCTGCCAGGCCAGCAGGCTGTCATCATAGGACTGAATCGTGGTTGTCCCGCGCAGATATTTCCAGACCTCGAGGAAATCCATTTCCTTGTATGACAGCTATACCCCATCAGAATAGTTCAAATTGCCAATACTATTATATGAACAAAAGCCGTTTATTTTCTTATATTACGTAAAGAGTGCTATACTGGAAAATTCCAACCTTGGCAGGTAGGTGTCTGTCTATCTGTGTTACCCCTCACCACTACGTTAGATTGACGGGTACTAACAGGGTCTGAATAGAGGATGCATATACACTGCAATTAATACGAAGTGCATATATGAGATAAAGCGGAGACCGTCGACGTAGGACTATAATGGAATCATATTGGAGTAGAAATAATTTTCTGGGGAGGGGGTTATGATGCCATGCAATCGGTCCCCACATGGCTGATAGGACTTTGATTTCCAGTCTTGCATATGTGCGAAGGAAACCTTGAAAAGCATGCAGGGGCCGGTAACTCTGCATTGGCCAAATGTTCTATGTGAATTAGCATTCCAAGGAACGTTATGCTACATAGATATAAAGTGATAAATTATAGTACTGGGTCTCAGTTAATTTTATATCAACCTCATTTGAAACTCTTGCTTTTCAATTGTATGCCCCCACTTTACCCCACTCCGAGGGTTCTCCCATGTTACAATATGTGATATCTGTACGAACTGGGACCAAGTAAATCAGTTGTTGCGATGGAGTCAAGTGTCGAGGAGCTGTTGAAAGGACTTTTAGTCTTGGCCTGTTACAAGGGGATTCTGGATTCACCCAGACCCCGGGGAGAACGCAGGTGAAGCGCGGAACTCACGGAGCGGGTATATTGCGTTACCCACTCAATCCTTCAGCGCATCGGATCGTGAGAAATTACAACGGTGGATTTGTAAGCTTAAGAACCCCCCATCTTTGCGGCTTGCTGTGGATTCGCAGGTTTTCAGCGACCTTTTAATTGAGAATATTCAACCTACGTTTCGAAATCTCTCCTTTCATCAGCACAGAATCGAACGTGATTTCTCTCCCTCTGGTCTGGGCAATATCCACCAAAATAAGTTCTGTGCACCATTCTCATTTCAATCAGCCAACTTTTGCAAGATGGCCCGCATTCTGATAACGGGTTCTACGGATGGCTTTGGCCTTGAGGCTGCCCGTCAGCTGGTTCAGCGTAACCACACCGTCTACCTTCATGCGCGTACCCAAGAGCGCGCAGATGAGGTCAAAGCAAAATGCCCTGGAGCTGCTGGCGTACTGGTTGCAGACTTGACAAGCGTGACAGAGACACGCAAACTTGCCGAGGAAGCAAATGCGATTGGTGTCTTCGACTCCGTCATTCTTAATGCCGGATTGCTTTACGGCCCTTTCCGCAAGACACCTGATACTGGCGTGCCAGCCTTGGTCTTCGTCAACGTCATTGCACCCTATATCCTCTCTTGTCTCCTTAAACAACCTAAGCGTCTTACCTTTATCGCTTCTGTCTTGCATCGACAAGCCAACACCGACGTGAAGGATATCTTCTGGCTTGAGCGTGGGGAAAAGGATTTCCAGGATTTCCCAGCATACTGCGACTCGAAGCTTCATGTTATGCTTCTTGCTAATGCGGTGGCAAGGCGGTTTAATGGCACTTCAGTCACGTCTGTGCATCCTGGATGGGTGGCTACCAAACTTGGAGGTCAAGGCGCTACCGACAAGCTAGAGGATGGCGTGGAGACATATGTCATGCTGGCTGAAGGCGATTATGATCAAACTCTCACTGGTGTATACTTTGAACCCAAAAGGAAGATTGGTGAACCTCTTCCAGTGACAGCAGATGAGAGTTTACAGGAGGTCGTCGTTAAAGCTTGTGAGGATATCACCGGTCTTAAGCTAGCAGCTTGAGATTAGGATGTCGGCACCCATTCATAATCGGGTAGCTTCAATTCATGAAATTATGGTGTCCTTCATAATAAATAGTTGAGATCACATTGATGGACTGGGAATATCTAAAAAGAAGACTACTCAAAAGACTTGACAAGGCCGTAAATGCGGCCGACTATTCTTGTATGGTATCGAGTGAAAGCTCCAGTGGATAGAAACACTATATCGAGTCGGTGCGTTGCCTGCAATCTTCCGACACAGGTATCGCGAGACGTTTATTTCTTCACTTCTCGCAAGCCAAATTCATTATAATACAATGTCTAGTCGCTCAGCGCTAGATAACCAAAACTCCAAATCCAAGAATAAACAAAAGCCAAGAAAATATATGCTCACACGTGACAGCATGATCAACCACCAAGTATCATGAAAGACATGAGTCCAATCCAGCCAACCACGAAAACTGCGGTCACGATGCCAGCGCCTGCCTTGTCAGCGGTTGTTACCGTTGTCGTTTGAGTAGTAGCAGTAGTATCGCTTTCGCCTGCTGTTGGGTTGCTAGTACTGTTTCCACCAGTTGTCGAAGTCACTGGAGCAGTGTTATTAAAATTGATCAAATTTGACGTGAACACCTTTGTCGCGCTGATCTGTTCTTCCATTCCCATCCACCCATCCCATTTAGACTTGTACCACCGGACACCACATGTGCCATTGTTGTGGCCAGTGCATGACGCAGCAGCTGCCTGGGCCGATGTTTGGAGCTTCGCGATAATGCTGTCAAATGTTGATGGAACGAGCACGGCAGTCAATGACAACCAGGTGGAAGTCAGTCCTTTGAAGAGGATCTCGTTGTTATTGCAGTTTTCTGCAGGCTCGCAGTAATAGTCCTCAATAATTCCACCGGTGAGGAAAAAGTTCTTGAATGTCGCGTTTACTAGACCATTTACTGCCGTCAGCCATTCAGACTGGGTAGTCCCGTTTGTCTGGAAGGAGGGGTTAGCTTTGACACAACAAAGAAAATGTGAAACTCGAAATCGGGAGTACTCACGTAGTTGTACATATACGCTGCCCCCATCAGGTAAGTGCCATAGTTGTACGTCCATTGGGCATTTCCCTGGGTCGCACAATCATTTTCAACGTTGGTGGAATCAGCAACATTCCATGTTGAATTGCTAAGCAAAGGCGATGAGACAGACCAATCCCAAATCTTGTTAGCCCACGTGAGATAGATTTCATCGCCGGTGTATCGGGCTAGACGCGCAGATAATTGGAATAGCCCTCCATTAGAAATAGAATTCTTCATTCCGTAGCCAGACTGGTAGGGCCAGATTTGCCACCGTAGACCACCGCCACAAGAGGTTGTGTCCCATCTTTTAATCTGAGTATTGAAGACACCTTGGGCTAGAGAGAGCCAAGAGAATCCAGTCGAGCGATCCGGGAATGCGTACTCAGCGGCCGTCATGGCTGCTAGGCCCCAGAACATTTGGTCATCGTTTCCCTGGGAGATAACCGGTATTAGATATGAACTTTATCACTGGTTGTTCAGATTATCACGGTGCTAACCAGGTAAGAACTGTAGTTGCTTGGCATATAGTCCCCGTCTGTGCCTGATTGCCATTGCAATCCAACACTTAGTTCGTCGTTGTATGTTGTGTCGCCAGTAAAGTGCCAGTATTCTAAGAGAGCCATGAAGAGTGGAGCTCCCTCCCACCATTTGTCTGGAAAGGCTCCAGGGATTTGACCGGTCTCGTTGCCGTAATAGTATTTCATCATAGCGTAAGCCGTCGTACTCGCAGCATCTTTGATCGACTCTGTTATAAACTCAAACGTTAGCTTCTCGTTCCTCTTGGTAATTGACATGAAGGGAGGATCTAGACTCCGCCACGTACGTTCATCGGTAATATCCAAGTCGATTGCGCGTGCTACGCTCGAAAGGAGAAGTGCACCAACGGCACCTCTCAATGGCGACCACCCCCCGAGAAAGTGCATCTTATCAAGGTGATATTTGAGAAACCATGTAAATTTTAAGCAATGAGAGATATCAGAGAATACGTGTAGGCTGATGTTGAAGAGAAGTCACTGAGGCATTAAGGAATGAAAGAAAATAATTTCCCCCGGGAAATGGAGACCAGGAAATCTCATTTTCATCATATCGTTTTTAAATATAGAAGGGCATGCGTAATCCTCGGCGCTAGCGTCGTCAACTCATTTCATTGTGGAGTGTAAGCCCAATTGTGGGGCCAAGTGCCAAGCTTTTACAAGCTTTCTTCATTTTGATTGAAGGATCGTAGATATTATGCAGAGTATAGAGTAGATCTTGGCCGTCCCGACCCTTCCTTCGATGTTCAATCTATTTAACTTCATTTTTGGTCTGATCGCTCATTTCCTTTTGGCGGGTTTGAGACATCATGAGAAGAATTTTCGGATTTTTTCTCGTGCTTGTGGGCAAGATCCCTTCTCCATTGGTACCCCCGGTAGTAAACAATCCATAGAGCAGGACTTCCCAATACCCAAAGACCAGTGATAAATGTAGCTGTCCATCCAATACCAATAGATTTTATTAAAGGCGAGGCAATAGCCGTGGCTCCAGCGCCCATAAGGCAGCGAAATAAATTGTTCGCTGCCGCAGCAGTGGCGGCACTTTGGTAATTGATATCGACAACCAAAGTAGTCAAAGTGTTGAATGCACTTGTAGTTGTAACACCGGTGAAGAACAACATCACAAGGGGGCCAGCCAGGGAAGTTCGATACTGCATCACCCAACCGTAAGCTAAGATGCAAAGACTTGCCATATAGATTAGTGGAAGAGTAATCGCCAGGCGTGCTCGCTCGATATCGAACTTTTCAATTTCCTGCTGTCGGTTCTTGTGAATGGTCATTCCCTGCAAACGTGCCTCGCGGCGGAAGTTCCAGTCCAAGAGTCGGCCAACTACCCAGCGCGAGCTTATGCTTCCAAGACCCATGGGAAGATAGCATAGTCCAATTTCGATAGAGTTGAACCCAAATCGACTCGCCAACTCGGTCGATAAAGTGCTAATAACGGCCATGTACCCTGCGTACAGAAATGACCCGTATAATAGGACCAACCCCATTTCTTTTTGTGTGGCTATCAAGAGAGCTGAAATTGGGTTTGGCCGCTTCTTCAGTTCCTGAATGGTGGAGTGATCGGCGGTCCCTTGTTCGTCGTCGAATCGTGATGTTCGTACGAATAATGTCCAGAGGGGGCGATTCCACGAGGCAGGTGGTACCGACCCGTTTCCCACGACAGCTCGACATGTCTCGGGAAAAACAATAAGGATCACCACAAAGCAAACACCCGATAGAATGACCAAAAACCAAAATATCGATCGCCACCCCAGGAAATGATCTAGCAGCCCACCAATAACGGGGCCAAGTGTCGGTCCTAGTGCCATCCCAATTCCAGCGTATCCAATGTACTTTCCTCGCTCGGCGCGAGTTGAGAGATCGGCTATCACAGCGGTCCCTAATGCGATCGTGCCACTGCTGCCCGAGGACTGCATACAGCGCAAAATCATTAGTGCCGTATAGTTGTTTTGCAAAGCGAGACCAATATTCGCTCCAAGATAAATAACAAATGCAATGATATATGCAGGACGGCGTCCATAGCTATCTGAAAAGCTACCAATGAAGGAAGGTGCGAGTCCTTGGAATATCTACAAATAATCAGTTTGATATTCTCTATGCTTGGGTCGGTGGACATTACCAGGTATGTTGTGATGGTCAAGTTTATCAGCGACACAGAAACATTCATGTCATTTGCCAGGGATGGGAGGGCCGGCAGGTAAATACTGCTGGACAGAGGTGAAAATAGGGCCGCAAAAGATCCCGCCATCATAACGAAAGTCTTTTCGCCATTTGGCATCACACTGTGAAGGGGGACCTGTTCATCGTTGATCGTTTGTTTTTCCTGATCAAGTTCTGGTGTTTCGGATTGACTCGGGTTAGAGTGTTGGGGTTTCTCTGCTTTGGCTGCATGCTGTACCTCACACAAGGGCGATAGACGCGGCTCGGTCGCACAAGGACCGGATGGGTGCACAGGCTGCATGGCCGAGAAGTCTAGATTGTAATGTCATTTTTCAGGAACCCCCAAGTAATATGTATTTTCTTCATTGCGATTGCGCTTTATTTCAAGCTCAATTTTTCCTCCTCCTTATCTTTTGCCTAGCGTTAGCGGACCGTTACCGGGATTGTCGGAGAACGGTAGACAACCTTGGAACATTGGAAGTGGGTGCCTGAGCGCCTGGATCTCAGTGGAGCCTTGGCGGTCGGACCTTCAATGTGATCACGTGATAAGTTTACTGGTATGTTGGTGCCTTAGGCAGAGATTTATGTAGGACAATGCTGATAGAAAATTTTATCTTAGGCAGCTTCCGAGGTTAAGCTAGATGGTCAATTTCAATGCTTGTAGTGAAGAGAGATGTGTTTTGGATGGTATTTGTGAAATATGAGGACCATCATAAGTGCATCTCTAGACAAACCCGTCTATGCGGTTCCCCAAATTAGCAATGATTGTGTCAGCTATCTATAAAATATATCCACATATCCATACACCCTAACCCTAGCTTGAAATAATACATCTTTCTTTCCTTTTTTTGATTACATATATGTATGTAGGTAATATTAAAATAGATGGAGGGCGGTGAGTAATATACCATTGAAGGGGTGTTAGGCAAGGTTCAGGGTTTCCTTGGTCTCCAAGCCTTGACGTCAAAAGACAACATTGAAGGCATTGAAACACTGTGTATAGATTTTTAAACTGGAGTTGTGCAATGGTTGCCATTCGAAGGATTGTAATATTGACTGCAGGCCTCTTTGGTGGTCTAATGCTAGCGTCCCCTTCCCATTCAATGTCACATTCGCCGATAATCGCCTTGGAATATTCTCAGTATCAGGGAATCACACTGTCCAATGGTGTTGATCAATACCTCGGGATGAGATACGCAAAGGCACCACTAGGTGGCTTACGATTCCGAGGCCCCAGAGATCCAGAAGATACTGTAAGGGTTTCGGATGCATCATCGGTAAGACTGCTATCCACCCTGGCTGCAATGCACTGAACTGATTTGGATAGTTCGGACCCCTTTGCGTGGGAGTGGGAGAGTCGACAAATGATTTCTTCGCAGAGGACTGTTTATTTATCAATGTCTGGCGGCCAACGAATGCCAGTGCAGATTCCAACCTCCCTGTCTGGCTGTTCATTCAAGGGGGTGGATACGCCAACAATTCGAATGGCAACTATAACGGCAGCGAAGTCGTTCAGCAATCCGGTCACAACATTATCTTTGTCAACTTCAATTACCGCGTCGGTGTCCTTGGATTCCTTGCCAGTGAGCACGTGCGAAAAAATGGAGATCTCAATGCTGGACTACTCGATCAGCGGAAGGCACTCTATTGGGTTCAGAAACACATTCGCAACTTCGGAGGCAACCCAAACCATGTAGTCATCCACGGTGACTCTGCAGGTGCAGGCTCAGTGGCCTATCATCTCACCGCGTATGATCAGCGCAATACAACCCTTTTCATCGGCGCAGTGGCAGAGTCGCCATTCTGGCCTACTCAAAGAACAGTCGCACAGATGGAGTTCCAGTACGACCGATTCGTGAAGGATGTTAGCTGTCACAAGGAAAAGGACTCCTTGGCATGCTTGCGCTCTGTGGATATCAAAACGATCCAAAAGTACAATGTTGACAAGCCGTTCCCAGCGGGGAGTCCCACTCCAATCCCTCGTTGGTACTTTCTTCCTGTTGTGGACGGAGACTTGGTCCGGGACCACTTTTACAATTTGTTCAGTGAAGGAAAGTTTATTCATGTTCCCTTGTTAGTTGGGGATGAGACAAATGAGGGCACCGATTTTGCATACAATGCAAGCACCAAGTCCGAAGTGGCCCAGTTCATGAAGAACAATTATCCCGGACTCTCTCGTAACCAACTCGATGCCATCAACAAGGCATACGAGGATGTAGAGCCCCTCCCTAAACACGCGGCTTATTTTGCATCGGCTGCGGGGGCTTATGGAGATTCAACCTTCACTTGCCCAGGGAACTTCATGACTGCAGCGACGGCTGCATCGTTCTCGTCTCACCGCGTCTGGAATTATCGGTACAATGTCCGCGACCCCACAAAAATTGCAAATGGGATGGGCGTTTCTCATATATTGGATTTGCCTGCCATTTTTGGGATAGGAGGAACCAATGAGCCAACCTATTCATATGCCAGCTCTAACGCAAAGATCGTCCCCATCACCATGAACTACTACTTGAGCTTTATCAGAGTCTTAGACCCCAACATTTACCGGTACAAAGACGCTCCTGAATGGCAACCATGGGGCCCAGGGGCTGGGCAGCGACTCAGACTCCAGACAAATTCGACAGAGATGGAAGCTATTCCCAGCTTGGAGATTGAGCATTGCTCAATGTGGAAGAGTTTCGCAGCAGATATGCAGCAATGAATGATACGGTGCCCGAAGGATTCGTGCCACTTCTCATGCCAGCCTTGAGAGTCCCCTATCATATGAAAATCAGCATTGATACAAAGTAATACAAAGTCATTGCAGGCAGATATGTTACTATGCCCATTCTTTCGATTTCCATCGACATTTCCAGTTACCGACTTTCTTGCGAATTGTGAGAACAAACTCTTTTTCTCCTTTGTGGTCTACTGTGATTTTTAGGCATAATCCTGGAGGCTTCCAGGATCTGTGGAAGGTCTTTTCTTTATTTTCTTCACCTTTTATTGCTTATTGCACACGTTTTGATTTGCATGCCTTGAGGGTCTTTGTCCACCAAGAAATGGTCAGCCCAATGGAGATTCCCAGTGCCAAGTCAAGCAACTCGGGTTGTCTCAGCTCGTTAATCTAGTACTAGAGATAAAGAAACAATATTACAGCATATAAAACATGAGGAGTAGGAAACGATGAAATGGAGGATCAACCCCCATATTTCTGCATGATAGCTCTGAATGATGGGTCTTATAAGACCTGCGTTGCAGTCAGACGCTGCTCTGGAAAGTATTGAAACACTCTGTACTTCAGAGAGGCCACATGCTGTCGCTCGATTGGATCAGCATCGGGGCGACAGTATGCAATTATTGAGGCGACATCATGATTCCTAAGAGTTGACTTCTTTTGGTTTCGGCCCGACCTATTGCCGACCCCGCATTTCCTGGGTCACCCAATCAGATGAAGCCGATCGCCTTGGGCCTCCACCTGGGCAGCTCTGGAAGGCTCCTTCCGATCCACACCCATCCATGAGTGTATCGCTTCCAAGGTTCTCAGTGGTGAACCTAAAGAAATCAGCCCAATTCCTCCTTCCCAACGATTACGTCACTCGGATAATGAGTTATACGGCCTACTAGCATCTCACGACTTGGTCATGTGGGAGCCCCTCCCATTGCATCCATTTTGGCCCAATAGTTCAAATGAACCAAACCTTCCATCTCCGAGCCACAAGTCCACAAAGACAGTATGACCTAGTCGTTCATTCAAATCAACATGGAGACTCGGCTTCACGTCGATGGCGCCCACTGGGAGGAGTAGCGCTTTGTTCATTCCTAGTCAATATTACCATTTGCAACCTTCGCAATGAGAAGGTCCAGTATGTTCGCCGAGTGCGAGTCGGCCAGACGACCACACCACCAGAATTTTGCTCGGATGACAGGGATTATAGGTTATCCCGGGATTAAAGCCCCTTTGCCGTTCTGATTTGCACGCCGCGTGGAATTGGAGCTACAACATGATCAAGTGACCGAGAAAGCCCAGGATTCACCAGTTGGTCTTACTCCAGTGTCCTGATCCCGAAGTCAGTTGCATCAGATAAACCTCGGCCTCAGGCTCCCCAGGCCTCGACCATAGCTATTACTTTTTCTCATCCGCTCACACCTTCCGATATAATCCTTGATCCTTGCTAGGATTTGCCGGGAGCACTACATCGAGCAGGGAATCTCCGATAGGCATGTCGACTAAGATTCCAGATCATCGGAAGCTTTAAATAGAAAGGAGCTCGTTGTTGAGAATTTGCATTGAGAAAACCACCATCTCGAAATGAATGTCATCGCTAAGTTCCCTCGGGTGGATGGTTGAGTATTCTACCTGTGCCGTGTAAGATCTCTGCATGTATTTATAGTGCAATCATGCCCTTTCTTTGCATTCCGGCTGATTCCGCGAACACGGTCAGTCGACCAAAGTTCCAAGGTTGTCTAAGTGAGGGGTAATAAAGCCACCTGGGCACATACCTGGAGGTTTCGGGAATCCGGGGAAGCTCTTTTCTCCACCCTCTCCACGTTCTCCACCTTTCGTCATTCTTCACTCTTCCATGACATGTACATACTCACGCAATGAAGCCAGGCTCACTAGCTTATCTTCCTTCCCTCCCAGTTGAGCTGGTCGAGTTGATTGCAGACTTACTCGATGCAGATGGCTTATTAGCCCTACGTTTAGTCTGTCGTGGGCTTCAGAGGAAAACGTTTCATCACTTTGCGCAGCGGTTCTTTTCATCCATCAAGACCGACCTCTCTGGAGAAAGTCTGCGCCGTATCAACGCTCTGTCGCAGAATGTTGCATTACGTCCTTACGTCAACGGGTTGGCCTTCATGCTTCAAAATGGGGTCGGTCGCGGCTTGGTTTGGGACCGACATCCATGGGGTCCTATCTCCGCTCCTCTAGAGGTTGAAGCGATTCGGTCTCTGCGTGATAATCTGGTCCAGAACTTGACTAATTGTCGATCATTCTTTATTTTTTGTCGATATCCAGAGGGTCATCCGGATATGAGCCACGTCACTATCACGGACGCTGTCGCTGTGTTCTTTGCCCTTGTCGTCGATGCTCGTCTGCCAGTTTCCTCGTTCCATCTTATATATGCCAACAAATACTCGCGCACCTTGATCATGGACATGCGTCGTCTCCCCAAGCTTCTCTATCGCCAACCCGAGTTCAAGATTGTGTGGGCCAATCTACAGAAGCTATCGTTGGAACAATATCTCACGTTGGATAACTTCGGCTTCCTGCTTGAGCTCGTTCTTAGCGCTCCGAATCTTCAGACCCTCCTATTAAACGTCGGCTCCCACGACTTGGCATCTGAGTTCGTGCATGAATTAGCTGAGAGTGCCAGTTTTTCTCAACTACGCGAACTCGGCTTGTTCCGAACGTCTATGCGGGGTCCCGATCTCCATAAATTACTCGCCAATATCCGCCCAAACTTGATTTCACTTACATTATATCATGTTTCTCTAGCGCCAGGAAGTGACTGGGCTCCTTTTCTCGAGGAGTTAAGTCAGGGGTTTCTGGCTCTGCAAAGTATCTCGCTATATTGTCTGTGGGCCAGTACGCCTGTTAAAGATCTCTTAACCTTTCCCGACATTCCAAAGACAGCTTCATTATGCACTTCGAAGGGCCACCATCTCAACTTATTTTACTCCGAAGATCTCAAAGCTCCCACTATCCTTGGGATCGATTATTCTGGGTCGAGGATTTCACATGTGTTAAATTTATTACAGATAAAGACTGAAAGTACTTTAGGGAAGGTCGTTTCCATATGACGTTTGTACATTTTACATTGTGGCGCATGTTTTCTCTTTATTTTTTTTTCTACTCTTTTTCTTTTAGGAATACCTCAGGACTTTGACAAATATCTGCTTATAGGGTTCTGTGTTGACATATCTACATAATTTTTTCAAGTCTTATATAGTAAGACTTTCTTTCCGTATAAAACTGATAATCTCTCTCCTTCTAGACTCAGTAATAGAATATTTGAATAGTGCATTTTGCAGCCCTCGTTAATATCTACCCGTCGCACCCTATTAAAGGCAAAAGAGCGCTGCCGCTGTTACGTTGTCATTTCTAGGTTAAGGCTGATTTATCGAGGTGATATTAAAGTGTGTCAGCCTCGAACCAAGACTCCAACGATGGAAGAAGATAGGGCGTCTGGATTGGATGAAATGTGAAATTGCAGCGTTCTTTGCCCAACCGAATTTGGTCTGAGAGTCTGGGAAAAGTCAAGGAGCTGGCCAGTCCAAGCAGATCTATCCTGCTTTTCCCTTTGCGCCCCGGACGACCGGGCGATGTTATCGCTCTAAAGTACAGCTGTCTTCCCTTGGCTGTCTCTCTCTCCCTATCTCCTTTTTTTAAAGCAAGTAAATGGCATCTACAGGCTAAGTTCACATATTTGATGTGGCACAGTGGTGCGTTCGGCGTACTATAAGCCCTGAACAACAATAGGTATCATAACCATAGTATTCATCAACATAATATACTGGAATAGGAAACGAACTATCAATCCTGTCTAGCAGGGTCCTGGGTAGGCTTGTTAAGCAGGTACTCATCAATCTCTGTCATGATTTCAGGAGTCAACATCGGCAAAAGCTTCAGGCTTTGTACGTTGTCGACGATCTGCTCTGGTCTCGAAGCACCCGTGATCACCGATGCGACATTCTCGTTCTTCAGACACCATGCCAGTGCCAGCTGCGAGAGCTTGACGCCCAGCCTATCCGCTAATTCCTATTGAGGGTCAGTCACATTCTTGATCCGAGTGGTTTGATGATGGGTATACCTTAAGTCCGGTAATCTTGCGAATGTTCCTGGCCCATTCCTCGTTCTCCCAGTCATTCCGGACACTGCTCGCAAACTTGTCGTTGCTCTCGGCAAATCGTGAGCCTGCCGGGGGTGCTGCAATCGCATCGTTGTACTTGCCACTCAGCAGACCCATCTTCAACGGAGAGAAAGTGGTGAGACCAATCCCGCACCGCGAGTAAATCCGCTGGAACTGTCCCTCAACCCTCTCGCGATCCAACATATTATACAGAGGCTGCTCAACAATAGGCGCGATGAGACCCAGGGACTTGGCTATCCCGCAAGCTTCGGTGATCTCATCTGCAGACCATTCAGAAGTTCCCCAGTAGAATGCCCAGCCCTTTTCAATAACGTGGTTAAAGGCGCGGACGGTCTCTTCCATGGGTGTCAGACGATCCGGGCGATGGGCGTAAATGATATCAACGTATTCGAGCTGCAGTCGCTCCAGAGAAGCCTGAGCACCCTCAACAATGTGTTTCCGTGATAGTCCGTGGTTATTGACCAGGATTTCGCCATTTGCAAGACCCCAGTTTAGCTTAGTAGTGATGACTAGATCGCTGCGCTTCCAGCCGAACTTTTTAATGGCTTGTCCCATTACGACTTCAGATTGACCATCGGCATAACTGCAACTGTGAGCTTATGGGCTTTTAGTATATGTGCTCATCGCTTACCTTTCTGCTGTGTCGAAAAGATTGATACCGCAGTCATAAGCCTGCTTCATGCAGTCAAAAGCAGTCTCTAGAATGTCAAGTTAGTAATAAATTGCGCCCTTGGACTGAATGCCACTCGTACGGTTTTCCACATGGCCTCCGAACCTATACGATTTGCCCAGGTTAGAAATTTTCATCCATCTTTTTCGGGTGACATAGAAAGGCCTCTCACGTTAACCATCCTCCCAATCCTAGGGCAGATACATGCAGGCCGGAATTTCCCAGACGGCGATATTGCATGTCTTTGTTCTTGTTGGGCCACGCCATGGCTTGAGTGTCCAGTCAGTTGCTGGAAAGAAAGAAAGGGGGAGAAATCTATCACGAATTGTAGCTAGAGAAATTGAAATAGAGGGGGATCAAATTAATTTGTACTGCGACTTGCTGCCCAGGTGTTTACCTACTTCAGCACAAACTTGGTTGTGATCCACGATTGGCTGAATAAAATCCGGACTGGGGCCAATCATCATTTGGAGGGTGGAGACGGATCGGAGGCATTCTCGGGATCCAGACGATGTGGGTCTTGTCTCTATGGCGTGCCCTGTCAACAGTATAACGCAATTTATTATCAATCCCCCCTTTTAATGTTTCACTTGAATAACGGCTTTAGATTCGGCATGGTTTTGTGTACCTGAGGACGCATAATTTACCCCACGTATACCTTCAGCATGTCTGCCAGATCACCGGCGACCAAAACCGCCTGCGATGGCTGTAAGATTCGAAAGGTGAGGATCGCGATAGAATCAGCGCTCACTAGAATGTAGGATGTGGTGTTAATTGAAAAGTTGAAGATCCGATGCAAAGATGGCTATCCATGTCATGGTTGCCGGAATTCTCGCATCAAGTGTACATATCTTCGAGCCCAGCAGCCCCGCGGTCCGCAACGCCTGCGTTCCACAACCCAGTATCTGATCGATCAAGTCCAGCGCGGAGCCGCAGCTCAGTCTAGCCAGAATACGAGTCACTTCAGGGAGCTGCAGGGGGCGGACGTCCCAACTCAATTTCCAGCGGGCGGGCGATCCAGTGATCGCCAATCAGAGAGGTGCGTATTCAAATGTCAAACATTAACATGTTCCTTCCTTATTTTGGCCATTATTGAACAGTTTATCATTTACATGCCGAATCCCAACGGATGTCATTGCCTACCCCCTCTATATCTATCATGTGCGCATGTATCCCGTGTGGCCAATTGTTGATGCCAAAAATGTAATATCTATTCTCCAACAAGTCACCGGGGACGTCGACATTGAGACATATGCGTTGGCGACAGCTGTTGCAGCCGCAACAATTGCCCAACTGAGACTCGAGCAGACCTTCTCGCATGGTAAACCGATCACCGCCGATACATTCGCAGCTGAAAGCATGAGAGCCCGAAGGTTGGGTGAATACACGTCTGCAGTGAGTTTGAATAAGGTGCGAACGTCATTTTTTCTGCATATATACCATGAAAGCAAACATGCAGGTGGAAGCGAATCGCTACTTTTCCTGAGAGAGGCCATATCTCTCGCCCAGATGATGTGTTTGCATCGCGAAACAGCATATATTGGACTACCACAAGATGAGCAGCAGATTCGCCGACGAGTGTTGTGGCTGCTATTTATCACAGAGAGGTAAAGTTCTTCCCACTTTCTTGCCAAAGGATTCAGACTCTAATATTGAAATAGGGGTGTCTGCATTCTTCACAAATTTCCTGTTGTGCTTAAGACTAATATTTCAACACCCGAGCTGGATCTCGACGGCGAACCCCAAGTTTTACCTGCGTTTTTAAAGCTTCTAAATTTGTTCTGCCTCTTTGAACAGTCCAGGATGTTCGATTTCATAGAAGACGACAATTTTGGGATATGTTCAATCCCTGACGAGATGAGAAATCTGGACACGAGATCTTTTAAAATGTTGCATGATGGGCTACAAGATGGGTCAACTTTAATGGATCACATATCGGACGTACAGAAAGCAGACCTGTGCGTCACTAGGCATTGGATGCGCATGATCCTATGGAAAGTCTCAGCAAAACACCACCAATTCTTTCCTTCTCAATGCGCTGACTCTCCGTCGTTTCCCATCCTGGTTGCAAAAGAACTTCTGGACATCGTATCTAAGCTACCTCAAGCTGCAATTAAAGCCCATGGGCTTGGTATGGTACGTTCCTAGAAGGATGTTCTTAGATGTATATTACTGACGAGAGACGCAGGAGTTGAAGTTGTATGGGATTGCCAATTCACTGGCTGATGCGGTGATTAATATGGCCATGCTACCCAGGGCTTCGTTCTGGAATGACGATAGTCGCCCATGCAACATCTTGGCTCGACTTCACTCATTTTTATCCGCCTTCCATGGCGGTGAGAATAAGGAACTAGTTGATGTGTTGTATAAAAAAATGACCGAAGCGCAATATAAAGCCGATCTCGCAATGTCGTCTGCAGTACGCGCGGCGGTGAACAGTAGACATTTCATTGAAACACCTACATCCGAGAATCAACTAGTCCAGGAAGAACCTCCACTTCCAGGACCCGACCACATCATTACAATTCCAAGTTGGCGCGAAAGCGGGGAGCTGAATCCTGCAATCCACCCCACTGGCACGGATTGGTGGGTGCCTAGCAATCTTAATTCACTGGAAGAGCAAGCCGATTACCCGATTTGTCTAGACGATATGCTAGCCTGTGGGTTTGCGGAATCGTGTTTCTCTTCGGCAAATAATGGCTACCCTGCATTCGGTTACGATCCACAGTTTACCGGAGGTATGTAGATCCACTAGAATTGGATGATACGACGAGGAGCCACTCGGGGCACCATTCATTATCACCATCGATGGCCCCTCTTCCGTCGAGAATCTGATTGGAAGTTTTGTGACCCAGAGTAAGCCCCGCCAACTCCCGTCTGAAAGCTTTTTTCGCTAATGAGATGGCAGCCCAGAACTTTCCTAAAGGATTCGAAGTTGGACGTGTTTGATACCAGACTATGTCTTGCATTCGGTCTTGCATATTTGCGTTGCGCTCAAATGTATATATCCAACCTAAATATATGTGTACTTAATCCAAACATAAAACCGAATGACCTAGTATGAAAAGCGGAAATCTAGCCGTTTGTTGCCCTCCTTTTCTCTGGCAACTTGATCGGCTTGGTACAGCTCTTGCTCCTCGGGTGACATAGCATTCCACTTCTTCTCCTTTTGGCGGTTCAGATAGCGCAGAAGCTCACGCTGGAGGACGAAGACAACCAGCGCTAACACACATATCGAAATGAGAACTTTGTTTCCGGTGTGATAGTACGGAGAATCACTGCTGCGGTAGATTTCTGTACGTAGATTAGCAATAGATCGGGATGAAATAAAATCGGGGTAATAGATGCTCAAAAACTCACGGGACGAAATCACGGATCCAATCTGCACGATGACATTGTACGTTGCTGCGGTGAGGGCTCTCTTCTTGACATCAAACGTGTTCTCGGAAATCCATGCCGACACGATCGGGTGGAAATACGGATATCCCGAGATAAGGGTGGTAATCGTGAAGCGTGGCCAGTTGTACCCGCCGTTCGGCAGGGCGATCAACGCTGCCAGCAGAGGCAGAGACCACAGCTCGCCGAAGAGGCAGTGGAAGGTACGCTCTTTGAAAATCTCGCTGCTCTTACAGAGGGCAAGCATGAGGATGATCTGTAGTGCGGCCGAGGGGATCGAAAGCATGTTCGAATCAAAGGTTGAAAATCCAAGGCGTTTGAGGGTCAGGGAGAGGTAGGCCTGGACCGGGCCTTGCGGAATGTATGCAATGAGGCCGATCAAGTAGAGTCCCCACATCGACTTGTCGCTCCATGCGTCGAGGAGATCATGCAAAGTGGCGTGTTCTTGGATATTAGTGAGTCCCTTCGAGGGGTCGTCGCGGAGGAGACGCTGTTGGGAGTTAGACAATTCATGGGCCTTTAAGACGGGGAAAGACACGTACGTTAACCATGATCACCTCCTGGCGTTCCGTGTACCAGGGGGTGCGGATGAGAAAGCTTTTGGTGTTTGTTGAAGAGCTGGGCAGATAGAGCAAGGCCTGCAAAATGTCAGAATGCATATTTCCAGTGAGGTTATAGAGTTAAATCGTACCACAACACCGATCATGAAAGTGAGCAGCCCCTCGATCAGGAACAACCAGAACCAGCCGGTCTTTCCCTGAACTCCTCGCATTTGGAGAATTCCTGCTGCGAGAAGGGAAGATATAATGCGGGCAACCTATGGTAAAAGCAAATAATGATTAGTTCGAGTAGATTTGCAACTGCTACAGAAATGTAGAGATGGGAACATACATTGAGTGTCGACCAAAAGAATGCCAGGCGCACAGAGAGTTCGCGTGTTTTGTAGAAATAAGTCGCAAACAAGATCGTTCCCGGAATGAAACCACCTTCGAAGGCGCCGATCAGAGCGCGGGTGATGTAAAACGTAGCACGATTTGTGATCCAGGCTTGCGTCCATGACACCAAACTCCAACCGATCATCATGAGAGGCAAGATTCGATTGAACCCATAGCGCTTGATGAGGAGCTGCACCGGAATTTCTGTCGATAGGAATGCAAGCAACTGGATAGTCGTGCCCTTTAAAATGAAATATTAGTATGCGTCGTGCCACTTTGTTTTGAACCTTCTCACATTGTTGTAGTCGTTGGTTGTCATTCCCAAATCAACGAGGAAGTTGTCCGTGACGGCATTCGATAGATTTCCACGGTCTAGTTGGAGACCAAAAAACTGGTTCTACTTAGCATTGATCTTCATAAACCGGAGAAAAGGAAACATACCATAAGACAAATGAACGACAACAGCATCAAGTCCGTCTTGAATACAACGCTTCTCTCCTCTTTGGCGGTCCAAGTAGCGGACGGGTCAAATCGATGGTATCCTTCATAGGACTCATGGGGAGCAGTAACACTGGCAAGGCTGCCCTGTATGATGTCTGTTGGGGCTTTGGGGTTGTTGTTTTCCTCGTCGCTAGATTTGGTTTTGCCTATGGGGCCATGACCAATCTCGGCCATGATTGTTCTTGCAGGACTTGTAGATTTTATACACTTGGGGAGACCCTATGAACGCAAAAAAGTAGAATTTGAATAGCAACGGTGAAAAAATTATATAGCATGGGGATTTCTATGGTTATATAGTCATGGGTTATCTAGTCCTTGTAGCCAGTGTTGGATGATTGTCAGAAACACGCGCATTTTTTTTTATATGCCTAGTCCTGCTAACCGTGAATACTTCAAATCTAGAAGGGATTGCAGAAGATAGAGTGTAAAGCACATCATCGACTAGGCAAATCTGGGACAAATAATAACGGTTATTTCCAGCGAACGGCGGTTTCTATTCCTTAGCGTCAATCCCGAACTAAAAGATTCCAAGGTTGTTCCTGATATTTTCTATATTTCTCCCCTGAGCCACGAATCAGTTATAATACTCATACTGTTCAGCTTCCTACGATCGAATCTCCAAAACTCCAATGAATTTTCCCAGGCGCTATATCAACATTAAAAAAATACTGTTGTGGTTAGTCTTAAAATATTTCATCACATTGGCATATTAGCACGCCATAGTCACAGCTCCGAAATTGTCGCCGACACCCCACCGAAAATAGCGCCGTTTAACTTTTGCCTAGCGTGGTACATCTGAGGTATGAAATGCCTCGGCTTTAAAGCTTCATGGAAGTCGCTATTTTGTCATCTCGAATTTATCCGATCGTTGAATTAAAAAGGGGTAAAATGCCAGCTATCGCCGCCAACGCCAACGCCATGTCTACATTTAAGGGAGGCAACGAGGAGGCACAACCTCGCATCTCGCAACCCCTTGAATATTCAGGCAGTTTGGACTCATATTCCCATAATGACCTAACGCCTGTTATTGGCACAGAATACAAAGGACTGCAAATCGCAGATATTCTGAAATTGGAGCAATGTGACCAGTTTATTAAAGACCTTGCCGTGACCAGTATGTTAAATTTCCATGTTCTTGTAGCATGTTTCTAACAATTAAACAGTATCGAGACGAGGTGTGGTCTTCCTGCGTGACCAAGATTTGACGCCACAGCAGATGCAGGCATTCGGGGAGAAATTGAGTGTGATAGCAGGATGCGTGAGTTCCTTTCACGGCTAAGCCATGCTCTTTTCCTAGGGATTGCTAGACTGACTTGATGATAGCCAGAATCTTCGGGCTTACACGTTCATCCCTTGACGGAAAGTGGAAGCGAGCTTGGCGACCAAATCAGTGTTATTAGCAGCGAGAAGCAGAAGAAGGGTGGCGGTCTCACCCATCAACTCAGCGATACAAGCCGATTTGCTTCAGTGGGATGGCATTCCGATATTAGCTTTGAGCGTGTGCCATCTGACTACGCGATGCTCAAGATCCACACTCTCCCAGAGACGGGAGGAGATACATTATGGGCATCGGGGTACGAAGTGTACGACCGTCTCTCGCCAGAGATGGCAAGATTCTTAGAGGGCTTGACAGCCACACACGATGCGACATTCTTCCACGACGAGGCACGACGGCTGGGAAATCCCTTGCGAAAGGGAATCCGTGGCTCGCCTCTCAACCAGGGCGAAGAGCTCAGGGCAACACATCCTGTCATCAGAACTAACCGTATGTGGCTCTGCATCCCTCTTCTAATTTAGATTACTAACACTTCCCAATAGCGGTGACTGGCTGGAAATCCGTTTATGTGAACAAAGGATTCACTAAGCGAATTCAAGGCGTGACCAAAGAAGAATCGGATCTATTGCTGGAGTATTTGTTCAATGTAAGTTGAGAAACCTTGCTCTATGACCTCACTACCTAGGTATTCAGGATGGCTGACAGAAAGTAGTTGGTGACTCAAAACCACGACGCCCAGGTTCGTTTCAGGTGGAGTCGGAATGATTTGGCGATCTGGGACAACCGTTCTACATGGCACTGCGCCACATACGACTATGCAGAGGCTCGAGCTGGTGACCGGGTATGCAGTCTGGGAGAAGCACCTTATTTGGACCCTCAGTCGAAGTCTAGGAGATCTGATCTGGGGAAGGCTTGAGAGGGCATTGGGAGACAAGGAATATACATGTATTAATGAGAACGAAGACAGCAAATCTGCTCAACGGCAAATGCCCTGGTTTTACACGAATGAAAATGCGTCATTGAATCCACGAATGCCACATATTCGAGGATAGCTTCAGCCATAGTAAAATAATCCCCTTTATAATACATGTATAAATAATTGACATATAACTAACTAGTTATTTAAACCTGAGAAAGCCGGGGAGGTGATTCTTTCTTTACACTGCGATTACCACTGTATTTAATGAACATTGTTTTCAATATTTGCAAGGTTTTATATAGCAAGTAAGCTACAACCTTCTTCATTTGCAAGCAAGACGTTGACTCTTAATACAAATTCACATCCTAAGCCCTGACAGTCACTTTCTCCACATTTCTTCCTGTGATTTCGATCAGAGTATTCTTGATATCTCCTTCAAATGCAACAGTCAACCGCAGTTGTTCTTTCGGCCAAAGAGTTACATAGTTGTCAGACCAATAAAGCGGTGCAATCTCCGCGTTTTCGGAGGTATTTATAGCATTCAGACGAATGAAAACTGCAGGTCCTACAGATTGGTTTTCGAGCACGACCTCGGCATGAGTCAAACCATCGTCTGTTGGCGACTCCACGCTGTGCAGTGAAGCCTTCAAAGTAGCCGGTTTCAGTGTCTCCAGCTTGGTGTATTTGGTAAACTTCGTAACTGGTGTGGTGTACCAGTTAGACTTTGGCCAGTTCAAGACATCGGTGGTAGGAGAGAGCCAGTAAACATTGCGGCTAAGGACAGCTTGAGATTTTGAATCGCTGAGCGTAAGACGAAGGAAGCCGATATCTTTGACTTTCTTAATTCCGGCAAGCGAAGCTACCACCTTTGAGGAATGGGGCGTTGTATTGCTCTCCACTGTGGCCCCGGATATTTCTTTGCCATCTGCATCAATGAAGTCTACCATGATTTGCCGGTTTCCGCTCTTGTCAAGCGAGTGGTTAATGAGCCAAATTTCATGGCTCTCATAATCATAAGCCACATGTTCCGTGCGTGCTCCAACCTTGGTGCCGAAGTAGGCTGCCATAGGGCTGAGATAGTAATCAAACAACTGCCAATGCAGGTTTGGCCAGGCACTATTTAACATCCAATAAATAGCTCCTGTGGCAGGTCGAGTGGCATTTTGCTTTGCTCCGTAAGCTTCAAACTGGACTCGGGTGGCCTCATAATCTGCCATCTGACTTTTGATGATGTAGTCTTCCAGGCTAGTAGGCTTTCCGTATCGGGCAAAGAGAGCCTTGTTGTAGAGCTTCCGGTCGTAGAACTGCGAATCATAGCGGGACATATGATATTGGTCTGCATTTGGTTCTTTCCAGAGAGTTTCCAGCTCGTCATCAGTCATGAACTTTTTCAGGCTGCCCATCTCGGGGGTTCCAACTCCGGCGCCCAATTCAGATCCAAAGCCAAATGCTGCTCCTTCTTTGTCATTGTACCAGTAATTCGGGGGTACCCAGTCGTATGGGCCGTCCATCTTCATTCCAGATGGTCCAAGGGCTTCGGGGTAGCCACGCTTGCTGGCTGATGCAATGATTGGGTTGGGCCAATCCATAACTTTTAGGGCATCTAGATAGGTCTCGGCGGCCTGCTCATTTGGCCAGAAATCTGAGCCCACCAAAAATCCAAGCATTGAAGCATGGCTTTGCATCATCTCTGCCTCGTGCAACATTGCTGCTTTCGCAACCGGGTAGTCTGCTTTTCCCCATTTGACACCGTCGGCCTCGTCATTGTACTATGTTTTCTTTTTGTCAGTGGTCTGGCGTCTCAGGTAGAGGGTTGAAAAGACTTACCGACCATCCCTCCCATTTATCACAGCATTCCCATCCCGCCAGGACCATCATCCCCATTTTATCTGCGAGGTCATAAAGTTCGGGGTGCTCCTGTTTTCCCTCCAAGCGCACAGTATTGAGCCCCATGTCCAGCATGTAGGCGAAAATCTTCTGTACCCGGTCAATATCGAATCGCAAAAAGATATCCGGCCCATATCCAGCTCCGATGACCTGGAAAGGCTCGCCATTGACATAGAATTCGGTATCATTGTGGTTGTTCAACTTCGATGACACATGGCGAATTCCGAATTGTTGAGGGATTGAACTATCTGACACCAACTTCTCGGGTTTCTGGATGATGGCGCTAGCCTGTACTGTGTATAAAGGCTGTTCACCCCAAATGGCAGGCCACCAAATATCAGGGTCCTCGATTGGCACACTTATAGACACCGTCTTTTTTTCGTTCGACCTTAGATCAAATGTCTCGCTAATCTGCACAGTTGCGGAGCCATCTGGCCCTTTGATAGTGCCTTTAATCGTCACCTGATGGCCAATTGATTCGTGGTTGGTCAAATCAGTTCGAAGGGTGACCTTCACCGGCTCAGAGGTAGAGTGAGTAAAATCGGTGAGGACGCGGAATGGCGACATCGAGACCGCACCAGTCTGAGAAACCTCCACATTTCGCCAAACGCCGGTGCCATTATCGGCTGGGTATGGATTCCAGTCCACAAACCCCTGGGCAAAATCACGAAGGTAGTTCGTTGGGTACGCGCGAATGAGTAGACAATTGGCTCCATCCTCAACATGCTCGGTCATGTTGTACTGGTGGCCGCCATAGGTGCCTTGCTGTTGGTCACTTGATGCAATGAGCACTCCGTTCAGATAGACGTCTGCCTTGGATGTGATACCGTGTGTCTTTAGGGTAAAATATTGTCCCGTGGATGGGTTCAATGTAAACTCTTCTCGGTAAAGCCATGGTGCATCGAACATGGAGGGATCAGCGGCGGATTCCATGTTGTCCGAGTAGAACAAGTCTGTCTCGTTGTATACCCCATTTTCAATAAGGCCAGCCATGACAGTGCCACGAGCACCAACCCGATACCATGATGAGACATCTTTCCCTGGTGCGGAGAGTACATCCATCCCACCTGATACTTTGGTCGACGATTGGAGGTACCATCCTGGGATAGTAGCAATATCACCAGCAGAGGCGACAAGGGGTTTGGAGTCGGTAGCCGCTACACAAGCACCGGCACTGATGGCCAGTGTTATGCACAGTTTGCTCATATTCTTGAGCATGATCATTTCGTCTGCTCTGGTCCTTCAGAGGCCAACAGTGATGCTGAGCTCGTATTGGAAGAATGCATGCGACTGCTTGTTCATTTAAAATATGAAAACCCACGAAGTGGCGTTGAGAGCAAAGTAACACTGCATCACGCGATGGAAGGTTTATACGACCGTAGGATTATAGGTTGTTTTGTTTGTTTGGATTATGTTCTCCGACGACTTTCTGGGCTAGGACTAGTTGATACGGGCATTTCGGCAAACATGCAATATTTCCCGGTTCTGCGTAGGATCACCAGGGGTACTTCCTAACAGAGTTTCTGAGAAACTTCAGCGTCCGAGTTGTGAGAGTGACCGGGGTTCACTTCTGTTCCGATGAGAGAGAACAACCTGACCATATTCCTATTCGGGCCATACCTATTTATCAGACTCTTCTATTTCTTAGTCCTCTTGAGGTTACTTTGAGGGCATTGCATCCTGCCGTGCAGATCTCTTGGTTATATCGAATCCAAGGTCTGAAATAAAAAGGGATCTTGTTCCTAGAATATCCGCGCCCCCTAGCAATGTGGAAATGATTTCGCGATGGTTTATGCCTGGTGAATCAGGCCAAGATTTTAGGCCTCAGAGTGTTGAGGCATCAAGGAGGCACCAGGGCACCAAGTAATTCAGGCAGTAAGGCATCAAGGCTCCGATCACTTGTCACATCTAGCAAATACTCTTCCAAGGTACTTATTGTAGTCCTCGGAAGTCTCACATGATTCTACTCCTTTTAAAAAATTTGACTGCCTATTTACTGGCTCAGAAAATCTTTCTTACAACATACATAGCCTCCCTTAGGGGCTCCCCTGCGGTATGCCTATTTTTCGGGAACTCGTAGGTTCTAACCCCTACGTTGTATGACAACTCCTTTAACATGGGTTGCGTTTTTTTTTTTTTTTTTACAACAAGGACATGGTACTCTTCTAGATAAGAGAAAAGTAACAATGTAATTGTACTCTTCTAATTCACGCGTGCAAGGACAGGCGACAGGGCGTGGGCCCCTACCGGACAGGGGTACAGGTTACAACACCGGAATGCGTCAATTGTTGCATCGCGTTCGTTTGCGGCCCTACACTGCCCTGTCTACACCCCTTATCCACTGTCTCCTCTAATCAATCATACGCCCCGGTGATTCGTCAGCTTCCCTCGGTTCCAAGGTTGATCAAATTGATCTGTTTGACAGCTGCTCTGGAATGTCACGGCGATCCCTTATCGTGGAGCACCAACATGGAAACCATGGAAATGAAAGGCTGCGCGTTGCAATCTTGTCATCTTCTCATCCAACCTTGGGTAGAACTCCATTGTAATTGTGGGTTTCACGCTTGATGCAGTCAAAAATGGCAAGTACTTTGGTGCAATTCCCCCTCCAGGAGGTGCAAATGGTCCGGGGAACCACGCCTTGTTACCATGCCAGTGCTCCTACGCGGTTGGAATGTGGTTGTCCAATCCACACACACACACACATATACATCCCCCTCTAACTTCTATGTTGGGGAGTCTTATGTTGGCTCGGTGGCTTTTCTTCATCTCTCTATATCCTCATCTCGCCAACGATTGAGGGCCAGCTATACCATTCAACCTTACGAATTCTTAAGCCTCATAGTTGTGTTGATAGGCAATTGACTCCGATACTTTCAACAACTCCACTGGTTTTTGGGGACGTGTCGCTGCCCACCTCCGAGAGCGTCCTTAGAAGATTCAAGCTTAGCTATTCTTCTTTGAACTAAGCTTGAAGGAATTTACTGTTGCACTTTCATCTCAGGTCAATCGGTACATCAGCTGTCATGCGCGTTTTCAATTATGCATCACAACCTTCATGGATGGGTTTGCTGGCCACAGCTCTTCTGAGTACTTCAACTGTGCAAGCGATAGAGCTGGACCTTGAGGATGGAGGTAGGTATTCTTCTCTCATCTGTCTATGGTCAACGACTAATTCAAAATCAAAAGCTTCTATTAAGAAAGCAGCCAAACTGGTCGCCAGCAACATGATGAGCTACTACACTGGTATGAATCCTGGTGACAACCCAGGTAATTTGCCGGATCCATACTACTGGTGGGAGGCGGGTGCCATGTTCAACACCCTTATCGATTACTGGTTCTACACAGGCGATGATACTTGGAACAACATCACGACTCAAGGCTTGCTCTGGCAGGCTGGAGAGAACAAAGCATTCATGCCAGCCAACCAGAGCAAAACCGAAGGAAATGACGACCAAGTCTTTTGGGCCTTCGCTGCTATGACTGCAGCAGAGCGAAACTTCCCAAACCCTCCAGAAGGCCAACCCCAATGGCTTGAAATGGCCCAGGCCGTCTTCAATACTCAAGCTCCCCGGTGGGATACTTCTTCGTGTGGTGGTGGCCTGCGCTGGCAGATTTTCACGTGGAACAATGGCTACAATTATAAAAACACCATCTCCACTGGCGGATTCTTCAATCTTGCTTCTCGCCTGGCAAAGTACACCAAGAATCAAACGTACCACGATTGGGCTGAGAAGGCCTGGGACTGGACTGCCGAAGTTGGATTCATGACCCCCGAGTATCGCTTCTTCGATGGAGCTAGTGACCTCACTGAGTGCAAGCCCATCAACCAGATTGAATGGACTTACAATGCTGGAGTATTCTTGCTTGGGGCAGCTAATATGTATAACTTGGTGAGTGCACTCCATCTTTTGATGTCTTCCGAGGCTTCGAAACATAATCTAACACTAAACAGACCGAAGAACCCAAATGGAAGGAGCGCACCGAGAAGATCATTAATTCATCAAGTGTTTTCTTTTCGCACGACCCACCCAACGTTATGTACGAGCGAGCCTGTGAGAGCGTCAATACTTGCATGGTCGACCAGCGTTCTTTCAAAGGATATCTTTCCCGCTGGATGGCTCAAACTGCTCAGATGGCCCCTTTCGCATACGACACAATCATGACACGGCTAAAAGCCTCTGCACAGGCAGCTGCCAAGACTTGTACCGGTGGTATCAACAAGAATGTGTGTGGTCTCAAGTGGACAGAGCAAAAGTGGGATAAGACAAAAGACTTTGGTCAGCAGATGGCAGCCCTTGAAGTCATTCAAGCGAATCTGATCACACACGTCGCAGCCCCGGTCACCAAAGACGATGGTGGGACGAGTAAAGGCAATCCGAATGCTGGTACTAAGCCCGAAAAGAAAATCCCGCCCGGTCTCGACTACGAGATAACTTCAGGCGACAGGGCTGGTGCAGGCATTTTGACCGTGCTATTCATGATTGGCCTCGGCGGTTCCACTGGATGGCTCATTTGGGAGTGAACTTGATTTCTTTCCTTCGGTGTTTTTCTTCTTTACTTATTTTCTTTTTCTTTTCTTTTCTTTTTTTTTTTTTTTTTTTTCTTCTCCTTTTTTCTGGCCCTCTGTCGCCTTTGCGACTCTCTTATTCTCTTATATTAATTTCTAGACGTGATTAGTGACTTTTTTGTGAATAATCTTTTGGAATATGACATATCATTCTCGCTCTAAAATGTCTTGCTTTATCTCTCCGGATTCCCGCGATTCCTTGATCCTGCTCGCCCGATGCAAAGCGGGAATGCCGGCGGTTAGGATGCATATGCATGCCCGCATACAGATGTACCTACTCCTCAGTCAAGCCAAGCCATTTACGATGAGGCCAGCAAAAAGAGGGGTTGCATACGTTGCAATCACAGTGTATTCTGTATTTCCCCGGCTTGTTGCTATCACGGTGTATTTTCTATTTCCCGAGCTTCCTGCCGGGGAGTGATTTCGACTTTCTCTTCTGAATTCTTTTATATAGTGTGCACGAACGACTCTTCGGACAAAACATTGCATTCTTGAGCTTTCGCAATACAGATCATCACAACATGGGCTCCATCATGGATTATTCTCAAGTCGAGATTCCCACACACTGTAAAGCGGGGGTGGTGGTCAACGAAGGCCCCAATTTCCATGTCGAGGTACAGATGGTTCCTGTGCCACAACCAGGTAGGCCCCCAATCTTCATTGGGTTGACAAATATTCCAGTGCACACAATTTGGCGTCCACTAATGCTCTTATATAGGCCCCGACGATGTTTTAATCAAGCTCAACTACACTGGACTTTGCTCGTCCGACATCCATATGATGCAAGGAGACATAGGTCTCCCGTTCATGTCAGCGTTTGGTGTGCGATCGCCGGGACATGAAGGTGCGGGTGTAGTGGTCAAAGTTGGAGCCAACGTCAAGACTTTCAAGTTAGGCGATAGAGCCGGAATCAAACCGATGATGGATACATGCGGGTCCTGTGCACTTTGCTGGGATGACAAGGAGACGTACTGCAAGGGCGCAATTCTCACTGGTCTACAGACGGCAGGTAAGGCTAACTTGAAAAATCATTTCCAATGGTCCGGATTGCGGCTTATTATATCAGGTACTTACCAGCAATACTTGGTATCACCGGCACGATATACATCGCCAATTCCAGATGGGGTCCCCGATGAAATTGCTGGCCCAATTATGTGTAGTGCCAGCACTATGTACCGATCTCTGATTGAGTCTAACCTTCGATCCGGGGCTTGGGTTGTTTTCCCCGGCGGTGGTGGTGGTGTGGGAATTCAAGGTGTACAGCTGGCTAAAGGCATGGGAATGCGTCCGATTGTGGTAGACACGGGAGCATCCAAACAGAAATTGGCGCTGGAGATGGGTGCAGAGGCTTTTGTGGATTTCAAAGAAGTTGCCGATCCCGCCAAAGCTGTGATGGAAATTGCGGACGGCGTTGGGGCTCATGGGGTGTTTGTGACAGCCCCTGCTGCTTATAGAACAGCAGTTTCATTTATCGGAGACCGGATTGGAGGCATTGTGATGTGCATCGGTCTTCCTCCTTCAGGGTCGATGACGATAGGAGCCGACCCCTGTCAGTATATCTTCAAAAATCTTACCATCAAGGGCACCCTGGTTGGTAGCCGGAGTGATACTGCCATGGCATTGGATTTCGCACGGCGAGGGGCTCTAAGGCAAATTTGTGAAGTCTACCCGATAAATCGCATGCCCGAGGCTGTGGAACAACTACGGAAGGGGGAGGTGGCCGGACGGATTGTGATCAATTTCAACTGGGAGGAGTAGACGGGTGGAAATATATATCCGTGCGGATTTTCTTCCATTGAACTGCTCTGCAAATCATATGCTGTTTCATTCATCCACCATTATTTAGGGAACTTGGTTTCATTTTAAACTACTCCATACAAACAACACACTTCAATTAACCATAGAATAGTCCCAAAAAAAAGATATACAAACAGAAAATGTTCACACTCGGAATTGGTAAGTAAAAGCAAAAGCGCAAAAAAATTGGACTCGCAGGGAATCGAACCCCGGACCACTCCCATGCTAAGGGAGTATTATACCACTAAACCACAAGCCCAGTTCGATGGATGATGCAGCCTATTAATGCTACATAAGTCTAAAACAAGTGTCCAGCGCATTTTAGCAACATATTCGAGGTCGATATTCCAGTAATCTTTCAAAGGACTATATCTATAATAAATAATGTTAAATTTTTGAGAGTTGTGACTGTGCCTGAACGCTTAAATGGGATAATGGCGGGCCGCTCCGGATATTCCGAACCCGGGATACGACTAGAGTAGTAAAATACATAGACGCGTTGATATGACGTGACAGTTAATTGTAGCGAAAGTATTGTCAATCTCTTCGGAACAAGGTTTCTGTTCAGGATATGTTTCCGGTTCGACTTTCTTTCCCCAACTTTACTAGATGGGGATCGGCACGCGCACAATGCGGAGAAGCCGGGGAATACCCCAAGTAGTAGATGTAATAAGCCATTGCAAGTCCTCACCGGCTTTGTATGCCGATCAGCACCATTAAAGGCTAGATACGTGACGCTGTGGCACTGAACGCATTCCAATTGACTTAATTTGAGTTTGGCGCCATCCATCCAGTACTGTTCCCATGGACCGAGAATTAGCCGGCACCCACTGCCGTCTGAGGGGGAAGTCTTATTTAAGGGGGAATATTTATTTGAAAGGATCGTTTCCTAAGTGCAAGACAGCAAAACTGTCTAATACTCTCCTTAGAAATGCGGGTGCCGTTCATTTCCATTGCTGCTTTGGCTGTAGCCACACAGGCACAGGAAGTATACGTGACAACAACCGGTTACTCCGCTCGACCACAATGTACACAGTCGAATGTGACCCCGAAGTATCACTTCCAGCCCTTCTCTTACACTTTGAATGAGACAGTTCGGTAAGAAATACCTGGAGATAGTTACTCTATCGCTTGCTAATTAGAGTATGAGATATGCAACCTCGGTTCCTTCCCCGACGACAACAAGGAAATATGCCGCGCCTTATACAGACGTAGTCAAGCAGTTAACCACCAGCTGGTCGACCTCAACGTGGGGCAGTTGGGTTCCAGATCAAACCAGTATCAGTGCAACTGACACGAAGGACCCGTATGGACAAGCTGCCTGGTCCTCGATGTGGCTACAGGCAGATCTTCACAACTATGTATGTCGTGTGGCCCGGGATTTTTCTCTCATTTAAAATGGAGGTGATGCTTACTCCGTTAGACCACCACTGGGTTGTTCTCGACAACTGTTAGTCCCACACCTGTGCCTAGCAGTGAGTTAGTCTTGCCACCGCGTGACTATTTTGGTCCCACAGACTGCTATAATTTCCCCAAAGACTTTGTGTTTGGTGTTGCAGGGAGTGCAGCCCAGATCGAAGGCGCGATTGGGTTGGATGGCCGAGGACCTTCGTTGTTGGAGAAATTGGTATCCGACAGCAAGCCGAAGGACTATGTCACCAACGAAAACTATTTCTTGTATAAGCAAGATATACAGCGACTAGCTGCGATGGGTGTGGAGTATTACAGCTTTACAATTCCATGGACGCGGATTTTGCCTTTTGCTCTGCCAGGAACACCTGTTAATCAACAGGCCATTGATCATTATAATGACTTGATTGATACAGTCCTCGATGCAGGAATGACGGTAAATAATCCCAGACGTCTCGGTATATTCCTCTAAAGTCTAATATTCTAATCATCATTGCAGCCGGTGGTTACAATGCTTCATTTCGACAGCCCGTTGATGTTTGTCGCTAGCGATAATATTACGAAACAACCAGATATTGGCTACAACAATGCCGGGTATCAAAATGAAACGTTTGTCGACGCATTTGTCAACTATGGAAAGGTATAATTTCTGGTCCACAAGCCATCAATATTCACGCAAGTTTGACGTGGCTAACTCTCCAGATTCTTCTTTCTCATTATGCAGACCGAGTCCCAATATGGGTGACCTTTAATGAACCCCTGCTCTATGCATTCAATTTCAAAGGAGTGGACCATGTTGTCAAAGCACATGCCCAGGTCTATCACTTCTACCATGATACGTTGAATGCTACAGGGAAGATTGGCATAAAGTTCAACGACAACTTTGGAGTGCCTAAAGATCCGAAAAACTCTAGCCATGTTCTGGCAGCTGATCGCTTCCAAGAAATGCAACTGGGTATCTTCGCAAACCCGATCTTCTTGGGTAAACAATACCCAAAATCCGTGTTAGACACACTTCCTGGAGCCAAGCCCTTGAGCAAATCCGAACTGAACCACATCCACAACACATCCGACTTCTTTGGGATCGATCCGTATACCGCTACAGTAGTATCACCAGCCAATGAAGGCATCGAGGCTTGCGCTGCCAACCAATCAAGCTCGAATGAACTTTTCCCATATTGCGTCAAGCAAGAAACAAAGAATGTTTATGGATGGAACATTGGATATCGCTCCGAATCCTACGTGTACATCACACCAACATATTTCCGAGAGTATCTCTTCTACCTGTGGAATACTTTCCGAAGCCCAATTCTGGTGTCAGAGTTTGGGTTTCCGGTACACGCAGAAGCGGAATCGGAGGAGCTCTCTGATCAGCTTTTTGATTCTCCACGCAGCGTCTATTATCTTTCCTTCATGTCTGAAATTCTCAAGTCAATATATGAAGATGGTGTGCATGTTATGGGAGCCCTTGCTTGGAGCTTCGTTGACAATTGGGAATTTGGAGATTACACGCAGCAATTCGGTATTCAGGCAGTCAATCGCACGACCCAGCAGCGATACTACAAGAAGAGCTTCTTTGACTTGGTTGATTTTGTGAAAACTCGACAGCCGAACAAAGACTGAGGTGGCTAGTGGTGAATTTCAGGGCTAGAGTGATAAATTTAGGATCGACTCGATGAACAAGCAAATTGAATCGCATTTCTCACAATAGCCGTATGTAGTTATATGAAAAGAAATCCCTAGTAGCACACAGGTCCTCCTCTGTGAGATATGAAGTAATCCATTCTTTTGTGTGATTATTCGTTGTGGGGCTCTTCCCTGGTATGGTATTCTAGGCAAAGTGTCGAAATGAGCTCTACCAGATCACCAAGGGATCTCTTTGCCATCATATTGGTTTGGACCCTCTCGCGTCTCCCATCCAGGGACATGTATGTTAAAAAATTTCCTGTTCTGCTCTGGCGTTGCCTTTTGTATGATATCCAGGACCTTCTCCGCGCCTACTTCAACTGGAAGATCAGCTCGACAGCCACCAAGGTCAGTGCGAAGCCACTTTTGATGTTAGTAAATTGGTGAAATTTGCGATCAACAAATGACATGAAAGGCTTGACTTACCCCAGGACTGATTGCAAGAAAGGTGAAGCCATCACTCGCATATTGCTGGGCATATTGCACAGTGAGCATGTTTAATGCGGCCTTCGAGATCTTGTATGCCGGCGACAACAAGGGCCGAAACGCATCAGCCATAGCCATAGAGCCTAGAGTGGTCGATCTTTTGTTTGGGTCAGCTTCGTATAGTAGTATAAAGAGGCTCGTGTCATTTCTTTCCAGTATTCTTACATGTTGATTACCATTTTCTTCTCGCCTTTGCGCAAAAGTGGCAGGAAAGCGCGCGATACAAGGTGTGGCGCAGTGACATTGACATTGAAGGTCTCGTTTAGATTGTCCCTATAAAATTAGTATCATAGCAAGATTTCCGACAATAGATTCAACTTACATTCCTTCCAATCCTTTTGGGGACCAGTCACTCACTCCCGCGTTGTTGACTAAATAGTCAAGCCCCTTCCCTTTCAGTTGGCGCTCTACTGCCGCGACCCCATCTTTTACACTAGATTCATCAGTGACATCTAATTTGACAATCTGCACTCGCAACGCTGAGGTATCTGCAATTTCCTTCAATCGAGCAGAATTGTCCTGGCGCGTGGTGGCGATGATTGTCCCCACCTCAGTTTTGGGCAATGTTGCTAGACGGGTGACCAGCGCTAACCCGAGCCCTCGGGAAGCGCCAGTCACTAGATACGACGCCATAGATTAGGAGGGTAATTTCCAGAGAAAGTTGACTGGCAGGTATAGGATGGGAGGTTTGAAGTGCAATGATTACGTAGAAAGTATGATGGAGAACCCGAGTGACTCTCAGATAAACAGAACTTGCGGGGGTGCCAGGTACATACATGTATTTAAATACTTAAATTACCTACATAGGTATACATGCATGGATATACATATATATCTCTATTAATTTCCGATCGGATATAACTTCTAGGAATTTTTATATGTACATAGGTTACTAGATATCGAGGTAGACTTCGGTTACCTTAGACTTGTTGCATAAAATCCGGAGATATTTAATTTGTAGTATCAGCGTTTGATATATGAAGAGGAATGTCTGCTTTTGGTGTGCTCAAGGACATTTCCCTTAGATTTACATTGTTTATTAGCTGCAAGAAGGACTAGTGTTATGGAGGGCTATAAATATATATATTGTGCTTTGAGACATCGATGTTTCCCACAGTGACTATTTCTACAGTTCTGTGGAACTTAATGCAAAGCAAATTACTAGGACCACCGTTTTATTTTCAGTATAGGAAAAGAAAACCAATCTGTTAACAATGGGGGAACAAAAGTCAACTGCAAGTGACAATCCCATCTCAATGCCAGGGACGATCACGTGCAACTTACGTCACCGAATTAAGGTCCCTATCAGGTCGTCCACTTGTTCTTCTTTCTTTTCCCCTCACAAGCCATTGGTTTTGCTAATTTTCGCAGAGGGGTGGATCTTCAGGTGCATTGACACCATGGCCGACTCCTTCACCCTGCCTTTGCGCCCCATCCCTGAGAAGCGTGATCGCCCAGATACACTACCTGTGGAGATCGCGCAAATCAACAATCAGTGGGGCTCTTTTCGCGAGGTGAACGAAGATGTTCTTCGAAACAAGATTGCTGAGGAGGAAGAAAAAGATGGGTTGGACGAGGCAGATGAGAGTGACCAAGATGCGAGCGATCTTGACTCGACAGAGCGCTTGGAGCAACTGTACAAGCGGCGCGCCGAGATCACCCAGTTCGCCATGTGAGTCTAATGGTATTGAAGCCATGCCCTCAGCGCGAGAACTGACGATTTTTCAGGCAAGCTCACATGGAAACCATGTTCGCCCTCGACTTCGTCTCCCTTATGCTCTCCAAGCAAGCCCCGCGTCAGGCCGAAACCTCCATGTCTGCCTTCCTCAAGCAAGTCGCACCCCTCGGTTCGCTAAATGCCGAGGTCGTGAACCCTCCCCCGAAACCGGAATCTAAAGCCAAGGACATATCAGCAGTATCAAGAGGATGGCGGATCCAAAATTTCAATGCGGCTGCAAACAAGCTTCTGCAGGCCGCCTCCAGACTTGAGACCGAAGTCGCGTCGGAGACTCGATACTGGAACGAGGTGCTGGCTGTTAAGGATAAAGGGTGGAAAGTTTCCCGTCTCCCAAGCGAAAAGCAATCGCTTGGTGTGCAATATGGGTTCCTTGAAGGTGAGCGCATACCGGCGTGACATCGATATAATATGAAGCGCCTGCTGACCACAACCAAATACAGCCACGCCAGTTTTCCGCGACCGCGGCCTTGCTTCCTTACGCCGAGCCGAGGATGGAGCTTTGCTATTGGACGAAGGATTGATCCCATCTAAAGCCCGCTTTGTCAGAGTACGAGTGATACAAAATGGTCGGCTTTCGGGAAGCTCTAAACCGACCCGTTCTACCTTCAATGGCAACGAAACCATTGAGGATCGGATTTTGCAAGCTCGTGATACTGTTTATGAAGAGGAGCTCTTCCATGAGCTAGTCCGAGAAGCTCGAGCGATCGCGAGCTTTGGCGTGACGACACGTCAGAATCTCATTCAAATTCCTGCCTCCGATGATCTCGAAATTTTACTGGACTTGGTTGATACTGATGAAGATACCCCGGAACCCGAAAATGATATCTCACAGCAAGGAACTTCTCTTGCAGAGGGTCTGGCACATACGATCCGGATATTGTTGGCGTACGCCCACCGTCAAAACTTGCGTCGTCGGACTCTGCTTCCGCTGCCTCTGACCCCGAAAACGCGACCTGTTCCTGAGCATCAACTTATTCGGCCAGCTCTAGCTTACATCAAGCATATGTCTCATGTACGCTGGCTTCAGTCCTTACTGAAGGATCTCTTCGGTGTTTTGCAATCGGCAGGGTTGAAACCACCAGCGTACACCTCAAGAGTCTTTTCAGCAGCAAGAAGGAGACAAACCTCTTCTGCCCCAGCAGTAGAGACCCTCGTTGATCAGTTCCTTACCCCCTTGCTGTCTACATTCAACGGCAAAATCTTGACCCCTCGGGGTTCTTTCTCAATCGCCATTCACACCAATCTTTCCTCACCACCCTTCGGCACCAGCTTTGAGGTGTCATTCAATATGCCCAAGTTCCTGGACCTTGAGTCTCCCGGTAAACTTTCTCATAGGGAAGAAGTAGAAGCCGCCATTACCCATCTCTTGTTGCTTGATGTTGTTTTCACTGTCTCGTCCAACAACAACCTACCACAACCCGGAAGTGACAAAGACCAAGCAAAAAGCACCTGGGAAGCGATTTACCCTGAACATGGTGAGCTTCTGATCCCTTCAAAATCAGAAAAACGAAAAAAGATGAAGATTGCTCTCTCCCGTGATGAACTGTCTGTCGAGGTCTATGCCGTGCGCTGTATTGACGGAACTGGGCGCGGGCATTGGGAATTGCCTGCTTACCATTCAATCCCGCATACCTGGAAACCATCCCCTATTGCCGGATCACCCAAGCAGTCCTCTTTGATGGATTATGTGTCAACCAATGTGTTACGTTCGTGACCCACAGAGAGCGTAGATTGCTATCGGGCCGAACCACTCCACCCTAGCCCGCCTTGAGCCGATAATCGTCTCCCGATCTTCAATAACAGGGCTTGTGGTTTAGTGGTATAATACTCCCTTAGCATGGGAGTGGTCCGGGGTTCGATTCCCCGCGAGTCCAACTTTTTGTCTCTGAATATTTTTTTCCTGAAGCAAAATATCATCATAGCTCGCGAGGTGAAGTGGGTCGAGGCAAATTTTTTTTTTTCATTGCCGTCTTTTGCAAAAACCAATAATAGACAGACACTTCAATACCCTGTACAAATTATGGCCAGAAAAGGCTGAATTGAAATGCAATTCCATTTAAAAAAATCTCTTATAACTTCGAACTTAGCGCCTTCACGGCCCTTGGGACTGTGAGCGTCTCTTGGAGTCTCTTTTCGCTCAGTCCATATGCGACTGGGAGCCAATCACTGACATCCTTGCCTAAAATCATCGAAGCCAACGCCTCGCCACTCATTAGGCTGTTCGCCATGCCATATCCATTGAACGCAGCGGCAATCCATTCCCCGTCACCTTCCCGCCCTGTTAGCTTCGGTGACAATCGTCCGACCATTGGCAGACCATCAGAGGAATAGCCCATAATTCCACTCCACGAACTGATCAGACGCCAATCGGATCTGTCATTTTTGCCAAAGAATCGTGGGAGGACGACTTCCAAATGTTCAACAGAGTGGTCGGCCACAGAAGTGTCATCTGCAGATACCGACTCCTCCAAACGCGCATTCTCACCGCCGAAGTAGAAATAGCCGGTCTTAGCACTCTGCCCTAAGTAATACAATCCATATCCAAGACGTTGGGTTTCAGGATCATAGGATGGAGGATAGTGGAAGCCCCAGGATACAGCCGTGCCTTGATTTGACACAGCATGCTTTGGATCTTGAACTGTCATCGTGCCTTTGAAAGGATGGACAAGCCCTCGCAGGTGAGGAAGGAGATGTCCGCTGTACCCATTGGTGCAATGAACTACAGTCTGTGCTCGTAGTGGACCGCGAGACGTGCGCAGTGTATACGGATAAATATTCGTCACGGACGAGGCAGATGTTGAAATGTGCTCAACAGACTCAACCGGTGTGTGTGTCTCAATTGTCAGGCGACTTGGGTATTTTTCTAAGAGTGCCTCAAATACTTTTGTGACAAGACGATATGGCCAGACTGTTCCAGCAGGAAGCAGTGCTCCTCCAGATGCTCCATGGATTCCATACTCCTAAACGGAAAAGATCAGAATGCCATCTTCTGACCACATAGGCGATACGACTCACCTTGAGGACAGCATCCGCATCCAGAATTGTATACAGCCCCTTCTTAGAAGGATGATCCACTTCCAAGCGTGCGATACTTTTCTTGAAGTCGTCAAACTTCCCTTGACTCAAAAAGACTCGTAGTTTCTGCAGACGTTGCATCTCACTCAACTCTACGGCGTCATATTCTTCAATCAATTCCTGCATCTTCTCCAGATTGCGGAATGTGAAGTCCACAATCTTGCCCGCCGTTTCGACTCCATGAGTCTCTGCAAGATTCATATACTGCTCTCCGGCATTCGCAGCCATCTGGCCACCATTGCGCCCAGTCGCACCTGAACAGAGGGCACGGGCTTCCAAAACGGTTACTGTGGCGGTAGGGTGTCGTTCCAAGAGGGATCTAGCTACCGATAGACCCGTGATACCGGACCCAATGATTACGAAATCTCGGTCAGTTGGCAATTTTGACGATTGGACGTTGGCGAGAGCATGTGGAATGTGCTGCCAGTAGGCCTCGGTGGGATTGGGTCGAGGCAGGCCTGGGTCAGCTGTGACGAGGCTGAAGACTGTACTATGTTAACTTTTCAATTATACTGCGGGAGAGTCAAGCACGATATCAAACCAGCCAACTTTATGAATGGGGGTCGATTGTATTACCTGAATCATTCGGCGCCATCGCAGACGATGTAAAAGGCCCGGGTTTTGATAATTCGGGCTAATAGCGAGAAACTGCAGTAAATTCTTCACTCAAAAATAGGTAATCCTATTTCGCTTTTGAGAAATAGGAGCTGGCATGGAGTAAATATATTGATGTAGACATCGTGCGGGGTTTATCTTATCTCAAAAGGATAGGACTGCCCAAGTGGGAATAGAGTGAATTTTCTCTGGTATCCCGATGTCGGAATGATAGCATTGAAGTCTTCGTTGTTATACTATTTACACTGCTTGTTCCAACCCAGTTTAATATTTCCCAGGCCTCTGTACAACATACTCATATAGGGTTGCGGGTTTTCCTATCCAATTTATCATGGGGGGTGGCGTAAAGATGTTAGGAGACTTGCCAGGTAGAGCTATTTTCTATTTTTGAGGCGTTATGGTATGGCATACTTGGCATCAAGATCTACGATTTCGAGCTTTACTAGTCTTTTCTTTTGGATGCGGTCCTTGCCAGTCGGTCCTAGGGACGACGGGATAACGGATAACCCCAAGTATCTTGGCAGATCCTGATATGCAACTCCACGTGAGGCATGTAAATGGCGCAACTGCATTCCGGATAGCATTCCATACCAACTAGCTAAGCTTAGAATAAAAATGTGAATTGCTTGTTTTATGACCGCATGTCTTCAATGTCGAGGGATGACCTTGCTATAATAGTTCAATCATTCCCACTTCACCTTTTAACTTCATCCTTTCGTTATATCTTGAATATTTCATTTGCCTCACAATGAAGCTTTCTTCTATTTTCCTTACAGTCTTTGCACTGGCCACAACTGGCCTTGCAGCGAAGACATGTACTCCTAGCTTTGATTATTGCTCCGATGTCCTGATTAAGGACAAAGGTAATCTATTCCCTGTCACTTATATGCTGTACCAGGCTAATCGAAGACATAATAGGGTTCACCGAGGACGATCTGAAGGAGGTTTTGAAGGGGTCCGATCTAGAGAATGAGGACCTTAAGAATGTGCTATTCCATTGCAAGAATCCTGGAGATGTTGGCCACCCCAAGCTCTGCTCGAGCGGGTGCACAAACCCAGCGACAGAGGGTAGTCACTCATGCTCAGCGTAAGTTATAGTATTGCCATCAACTTACAATTCGCAGCTGACAATGCAGCAGCTAAATCATGCTGGTTGTGAGAGGACACTAGTTGCGCAATTATATTTGGTAGTAAAGCTTCGGCTATAAATGGATTCGAAGGCATTCACAGCCAGAATATGATTCATACTACAACATATGTATTCACTCATAGTACCCGCCACAGCGTAAAGACACATGTCAGAAGGAGTCAATTCAAAAATGGAGCTCCACACTACTGCTGACAATGAAACAAATAATATTGTTAGTAGGTAACACTCACCGCATATTTTTGGTCAATTGGATCAGAAATATACGCAAAGGCTGGTTTGCTTTGCGCTAAATATCAACCCATCACTAGGTTTGAACACCCTTTCCAAGCAGTCATCAAATGAGTTCGTCGGGATCGATATTGTGGGCAAGTGGTCAATACTATACACAAGGTGCCGAAGAAGCCGATTGCTGAGATCTCAGGGCAGCAATAAGACAAGATATCCGCATAGGCATCAGCCCATTCCGCTATGACAGCATTACGCTGATACTGTATCCACGCCGGATCAAATCCAAGGATAGTGTTTTTTGTCCTCAGTTCTGCTGTTGTCCATGTATTCGACGATAGTAAAATCATTTGTACTGTGACAGTGGCGCCCAGAGCTTTCAGCTAAGTAAGTACCTTTTAGGCGGGATCGAAGGGGTCTGTGGAACACTGCAAACAAGGATTAAACAAGGAGCTGCAGGCCCAGCGTGTTAGCGCCATAAACGTGGCCCCAGGCCATATGTTGTATGGACAGATGCAAGTGGCACCGTAAAAGTCCTCGAACTGGTGTGGCACTCCACTACAGATCAGATGCTTCCGAGCGAGGCAAGTAAGTTCCACATGAGCAATATTAGTATGTGAAACCGTGTGACAATATGTGTGGCATCACTTGTTTGGCGCAATTCTTATGCACCGATGTTGTGTAAATGAACCGGTCAGACCATGTTTGGCAAGGGCCCACGGGTGGCTTGTACACCAATGATAATTTGCTGCAGGGTTAAGCCATCGTGAAACAGCAAAATAATGAATATGATGATGTTGATGACTATAATGGAGAATGACAATAACAAGAATCAGCTCTGGAGGAAAGGGAGAAGATGTCATATTGGGGGCCAAACAAAACCAAACAAGTCAAACAGGGTTAGTGACGTCAGACAACCCTCACCGCCTACACTAAACCCAAATTGACCAAGCGGTGACATGCGTCTTGCAGTCAAATTGTAAAGGAACGCAGGTACCATCAAGGTATGGGAAAAGGTCAGACCACTTGAATTTTAGGGGAGAAAATATATACAAGCCTAGAATAATCCAGTCTAGTTTATCATTTCCCTCATTTTCTCAAGAATTCCTTATGCCTCTTAATTTCAACATATTACTTTAGCTTCAAGTTGTTTCGACTGTGACGCAAAGCACCCACCTTCTGCCCAATTTCTCTCACCGGATTGGGTTTGACCCCTCCACACCCCACCCATTCATAACGGGAGCTTTACAACGCCTTATCAGCTTCTCTTTTTTTTTGACTTGTTTTCTTCTCATTCACTTTTTTTGTTTCATTCTCTTGATTAGCGACCTGTATCTCAGGTCGAAGCCTTCAATTCGATATGGAGCCCATCAAGATTGCCACTCAGCCGGCTAAGAGACGCCGCATCGGTGTTCTCACCTCCGGTGGTGATGCTCCCGGTATGAACGGTGCTGTGCGGGCCGTTGTCCGTATGGCAATCCACTGCGACTGCGAAGCCTACGCCATTTTCGAAGGATACGAAGGACTGGTCAATGGCGGCAACATGATCCGTCAACTACACTGGGAGGATGTTCGTGGGTGGTTGTCCCGCGGTGGTACCCTGATCGGCTCTGCCCGCAGCTTGGCATTCCGTGAGCGTGTTGGCCGCATGAAGGCAGCGAAGAACATGGTTCTGAAGGGTATCGATGCGCTGGTTGTCTGCGGTGGTGACGGTAGTTTGACCGGTGCCGATGTCTTCCGTGCCGAATGGCCTAGCTTATTGGCAGACCTCATTGCCTCCGGGGAGTTGTCCCCTGAGCAGGTAGAGCCCTACAAGGTGTTGAACATTGTGGGCCTGGTAGGTTCCATTGACAATGACATGTCTGGAACAGATGCCACCATCGGTTGTTATTCATCCCTGACCCGTATTTGTGACGCCGTCGACGACGTTTTCGATACTGCATTCTCCCACCAGCGTGGTTTCGTCATTGAGGTGATGGGTCGACACTGTGGATGGCTTGCCTTGATGTCTGCCATCAGTACTGGTGCAGACTGGATGTTCCTCCCCGAGATGCCCCCCAAGGACGGTTGGGAAGATGAGATGTGCTCCGTGATCACCAAGGTGGGAATTACTCCAACGTTCTTCAATAACATCCTTTTGCTAACTTATGGCGTTTGATAGAACCGAACCGAACGCGGCAAGCGCCGTACGATCGTTATTGTCGCCGAGGGAGCCCAGGATCGCCAATTGAACAAGGTCTCGAGCTCGAAGATTAAGGATATTCTTACAGACCGGCTGGGATTGGACACTCGAGTCACCATTCTAGGCCACACCCAGCGAGGTGGTGCGGCATGTGCTTATGACCGCTGGCTGTCAACTCTGCAGGGTGTGGAGGCTGTTCGTGCCGTGCTAGAAATGTCACCCGACTCCCCTTCACCAGTTATCACCATCCGTGAGAACAAGATCATGCGCACCCCTCTGATGGAAGCAGTTCAAGCAACGAAAGATGTGTCTGCCAAGATTGACAAAAAGGACTTCGATGAGGCCATGAAGCTCCGTGATCCTGAATTCAAGGAGTACTACAACGCATATTTGACCACGGCGACCCAGGTCGACCCAAAGAAGATTCTCCCAGAGGGAAAGGTATGCACCTAATTCCTCGGACCATCTGGGTTGATAAGCCTCCGCAGACTTCCCATATGCTTACCATTTTACAGAGAATGCGAATTGCCATTATTAACGTCGGTGCCCCGGCTGGTGGTATGAACCAAGCAACCCGTGCCGCCGTTGCATACTCCCTGACCCGTGGCCACACCCCACTGGCCATTCATAACGGTTTCCCCGGATTGTGCCGTCACCACGACGATAAGCCAATTAGCTCTGTCCGCGAGGTTACTTGGCTGGAAGCTGATAGCTGGGTCAACGAGGGTGGTTCAGACATTGGTACTAACCGTAGCCTGCCATCTGCCGATATGGAGAACACTGCCAAGTGCTTTGAGCTGTACAAGTTTGACGCCTTGTTTGTTGTTGGTGGTTTCGAGGCTTTCACAGCCGTCAGCGAGCTGCGCCAAGCTCGTGCGAAGTATGATGCGTTCAAGATTCCGCTCATCGTGCTCCCAGCTACCATTTCTAACAACGTCCCGGGTACTGAATACTCCTTGGGAAGTGACACCTGCCTCAACACCCTGATCGACTTCTGTGATGCGATTCGTCAATCCGCTTCCTCTTCTCGCCGCCGAGTATTCGTCATCGAGACCCAAGGTGGAAAATCTGGATATATTGCGACCACAGCTGGCCTCGCCGTGGGTGCAGTGGCAGTGTACATTCCCGAGGAAGGTGTTGATATCAAGATGCTCTCGCGCGATATCGACTTCCTGCGTGACAACTTTATCCGCGACAAAGGAGCTAACCGTGCAGGTAAGATCATTCTGCGTAACGAATGTGCCTCCGGCACATACACTACCCAGGTGATCGCCGACATGATTAAGGAAGAGGCAAAGGGCCGATTCGAGTCTCGTGCCGCTGTTCCTGGTCACTTCCAACAAGGTGGAAAGCCTTCGCCAATGGATCGTGTCCGTGCTATGCGTATGGCCATCAGGTGCATGGAGCACATCGAAGGGTATGCCGGCAAGAGCAGCGATGAAATCGCTGCAGACCCTCTCTCCTCTGCTGTGATTGGCGTCAAGGGCTCACGTGTACTATTCTCCCCCATGGGTGGTGAAACTGGACTGGAAGCTACCGAGACTGATTGGGTGCGCCGTCGCCCCAAGTCTGAGTTCTGGCTCGAACTGCAGGATGTTGTCAATGTTCTTTCTGGACGCACCCACGCTAGCACCAACGAAACCTGGTCCTGCTATGAGAGTACGTAAACCGACTGCGACCCTACTGATTTGCTTGTTCAACCCCCATCCAATTCGTTTCGTCGCTGCTCGTTTTGCTCTTTGGCCTCTTGAGGATTTGCTCCCCCGTACCGTGATTATTTCTGAAGCCACTTCATTACGAATGTTAACGATTACCCTTGTTTCCTACTTTTCAGAACCCTCGACAGTCCGATCCGTTCCCTCGGTTCCCAGCTCCCCTTGAAAGGATTTCCACCCAAGGACTTCAACTTCTTTCCAACCAACCATGGAATCCACGCCAATGATGCACCCGGGATACGCTTGAATGTTTCTTCCAAATACTGGCCGGCGAGCTATCCGCTAACTTGTGATGTTGAGGGCGATCGTACTGAACGTCCGTTACGCTTTGTACGATGCTATGCAACAAGTCCTCCAGACCCAAGGATGGTTTACGTGACATTTATGCCTTGGAGTTTGGGGAATTATGCTTTTTTGTTTGATGGGTTTCTATCTCTCCTGAAGACCCTTGGTCTACGACATAAAGTGCGTTGTAGATAGAACCATCAATTTGAATCTTGAAATTATTTCAAATGAAGTAAGAATGCCGCCGGCGTTTGCTATCGTGAGTAAGAAAGAGGCAATCCAGAAACAGTATAGTAGAATGGCTGAGGTAATGTCAGTAGTAGCACTGACCCCGAAATCACGCAGAATGAAACCCGGACAGATGCATCATTCCAGGGTTTAGATGTAGAGTTCAATGACTACGGGTGTACCGTCTTCTCCAGCTCATCGAGTAGCTCCACCGTCTCAGCGGGGCTTGCAATCCAGGCAGTTGTGGAAGCAAGGCGGGCCTAATTAGAAAAGATGTTAGTCTGACCAGCAGCTAAAAAGAGATAATTTTCCCACCTTAAAGTCATTGGCTCCAGCCGACAAGAACTGATCGCCAACA